TTTAAAATCCCCACTGTAACTATGCGGCCTAAGAGAGTTGCTATGGCTGTAGACTACATACTACATACAACATACTTAATCAGTAGGTACAGCATATATCTACATACATAAACATACAGTACATGTTTTCAAGCAAAAAAACATATAATGACCGAATTCATCTGGACTTTACGTCATGACCTACTTTCCTTCTAACTTCCTTTTTTCTGAAGTCCAAATAAACTACAAATATCTTGTCTACCTCCGCCATTCATGCCTTTTCAAGAGGTGTTAAACAATAATAAACCTCCTCACAAAGCATTCATTAAACAGCCAAACTAAAGGTGTCGACATGCTCCAATAACGACAACAAACCTTCAAAAAAATATCCACTGCAGTTTTCACGTTGTTTATTATGCTACTTTTGGATCATCCCCTTCTTGTGTTAAATGATGTCAATCGGATGTGATAAGAGGTCAAATAAGCCACATTGGTGAAAAGAGATATAGAAATAAGGGATGATAATGATTGTGTGAGTTGTGTATCCTCAAAAGAAAGTTTGTAGACTCATTTGAATGTGAACGCAGCATCAAACTTCCTGTTAATAAACTTGTCCATTGGTTCATTCTCTTTCTGAGTGCACTCTTCGGCAGCTCTAATGGGTTTGCTCCAGAGACCTCACACAGCAGCAGGCCTTTTTACAACTACTTTGTGGGGGAAATATAAATTAATTAAAGGGTTCAATATTGAATCTACTATAGGACATGGAAAAAGGAGTCATAGGAGTAAATACAGACCTAATAATAGTGTAACCATGACACTGTGAAAGGTCATTCTATCTCAAGGCTGGGATTATTATGTCCTCTTTTATTCCATAGCAGCTTTTTCCCCAACACCTGTTTTATTTCATAATGCCATTTTAAATAATCTAATCTTTGTCTGACAGTCAAGACCATAGACTGTATATATAAAGGTCAAGACACACAGTAGATATGTTTGGAACATCATTTATACATTATCATGTTAGTGATAGACTACCTTAATGTGGGAATTGGGTTATGGGAAGCTACTTTTACTTCTGTGTAGTTTAATCTAGAATAATGAATCCCATTTGAGTATTTGTCAACATGAAAAGTAACAGTGCAAACGACTTCTGTCAGGTTTTTCTAATGAAGTGAAAATATTTCTACTTGAATTGTAGTGGAGTAGAATTATAAAATAACACACAGTTAAAATACTCAATACATATATAAGTGAAGAATAACAATGTATACATTATACCTTATTTCAGTAGTCTAGAAACTGTGTCTTTCCACCACTGATCATGTTTGTTTTGTATTTGTACATCAAAAATCTAACCCTAACCCCGAATAACATCAATTGTAAGTGTTGTTAATTTTGTATAGTTTGATGTTTGATGCTCCTTCTTTAAACAATTATATTTTCTTTATTGAGAGAATTTCACATTGAGAATGATGATTGATATGTTTGTGTTTGTTTGCTCAGTTATTTATTTCACATTGTATTATGTTTCAATTTTTTTGTACAATTCACAACAAGGTTGATATACAGAAAAAAGTCATTCACAAAACATCAATATCCTTCATTTTTTTGTTTTTCGAAAATTAAATATACTCACAGCAACTAAAAGTTATAGAGATGAACCGCAGACAGGTATTAACCTTCATTGTTATACACTTTCTGTAATACTGGTATATTTACCTGTGTGGGCCCACAAAAAGAAGTGCCTTATAGGGCACAAGAAAATGCCCTTCAACCAACAGGAGCAACAATATATACAGTGCTTTGAGATACAAGAGGAGCGACATAGTTGCAGAACAGGTTTATCAGAGACTGTTCCCTTTCAGGAAGGCTGTTCCAGTTGGTGCATGCTGACGTACTGAGGTCATTTTTACTGAGAAAAGGAAAGAAGGGAATGGAAGCGTGCAGTGTTTCTTCTGTGTGTATTCTCAGATGACACTCAGTGACGCCTGTTTGACGAGAGAATATCTGACAGCTTAACCCAAAGCCAGGTGGCTTTGCAGAGCCACAGGTATGTGGTGTTTCCTGTCACTGCTGCTGCAGCCCCTCTCCCCTCAATACCAGTATAAGTCCTTCTTTTCCAGACGCCGTCCTGTCCCAGAGGAGACAAAATGTCAATGACTTCCAAGCAGCTCTAATGAACAAGCATGCAGTGTAAAAATAAGCAGTAATACAAATATGTCATCCATTTCACACGGCAGCATTTCTTAGAATTAGATGCACACATTCCTGAGTAGTTACCATCAAGATAATAACAAATACCTCACCTATAGTTCCTAAATAACTCAGGAACAGGATCTTAAAATCATTGGTTTTCTATTATCTGGTTATTAGCTCAACCTTGCACATAATTACACAACTTTTAATGTGTTACTTTAAGTTAAGCAACATGATTGTAACAATCGCATGTGTAAATCAAAGTAAATGTTCTCTATGTTTGGGTAACGATTTTTTATAATTTACTATTTATTAACTACTAATACCTTCCAGTAAAAACAAATCTAGTAATTGTTCTATAACTGTTACATCTACTTTACCTGACACGACACAAACATAGCTGCACATATGCTCAAAACCAGGAAGAACAGGTAATTTATTAAGGGACATTTTGCAACTGTCTAATATTTAAAGCTTAGGAAATGTAGTTTTTCCTTAAAATGTGGAGGCTTACAAGAGTTAAATATGATTCAGCTGAGGCTGAGATATCTTCATGTCAAGATGCTAAAATGCTCGAAACTACACTTCCCACAATGCAACTTCAAATTGTTTGTTAGACTCTCCATGCCTTCCAAATGTCTACATCCAGATCCTGAGTTTGTTATGCAAGCTTTTTATTAATATTGGTTGAAAGACATTAAATATGTTACAGCTGAAGGCTCACCATGTTCAAAGCCCACAGCGGGGTCCCCAGGGTCTCTAAATCCCTGAGGCATCGTCCAGCTGGGGTGCAGATCTGGTTTGGAGCTGGAGGCCATGCTGGGTCCCATCTGCCCCTGGTCAATATGCAGCAGGTTCAGCAGGGATGTGGCGTATTGCTGTCCAGTAAGACTCAGCCCTTCTGGGGACAGAGAGTAGGCGATAGACGGCAGCCCCGGGCCCTCTCCCGCCCTGGTGGTGAACGAGGACCACGATCCAGGAGCATCTTCTGCAGAGCTGAAGTTGAGGAGCCGTCCTGCTGCGGGGGGGGCCCTGTGAGTCTGAGAAACAGTCAGCAGGTCTCCCCTGAGGGCTGTTGTCTTCTGAGGGGGACACAGAAAGGAGTGAGGATTAATGGGATTGTCCTGTTTATAGTCAGGTTGGTCATACACTGTTGATTTTGTCTGCTTACCCAGTTTAATGGTTTTACGGATTTTCTTTGTCTTTCCTCCCGGCGCCTTGGCCTTGCAGACTTTGCTGAGAGCACGGTTAAAGTGAGCATCCACCATGCTGTTGATGTCCCCCTGGAAATAAGTCAGGATGACGCACCGAGAGTGCTCCTCCACCTTCACAGCTATGGGACTGTCTGTTCTGTCCTCCATGGTCAGCTGTGACTGAAGCCCCAAAACAGGTCGTTTACTTCACAAGAAACCTCCAACTGTGTTTAATATCATTTACAAAACAGTACACATTTCAGTTGGTCTTTTTTTGCATATTGTAATGACATGTTATTTTATTTATTGCTTCCCTGGTGCTATTAATAATCCAAGTATTTAAGTGTTTAGGATGACTCACTGCTGACATGTCCCTGAAGCAGACCGATTATAGTTCACAAAGAATTACAAACATTTAATAAAAACTGTATGATGTTATGTTAGAGTGCATGGAAATCCCTTTTGGGCACACTATGTTTACTACAACATCAAAAAATCAATTCTTAGAAACATGTTAACATCTGGCAAAATGCAGTTCTTAATTTGCCAGAAAATAGGGATTGTATTTGAACATTTAAAAATGACTTAGTAAATGATATATTGTGTTAGTTTGCATGGCAGGATGTTTAAAAAAGAGGCTGAATTGCACTATTAATGGGGCCTAACTTGGGGAAAACATCTCTGCCACTGTAACTGAAAACTATATGAAGTATAGTACAGAGGTATACAGTAAAGTGAAAATTAACAATCGCTTAGTGGATTGAAACAAACGTAATTTAAATGCTGTTGTGAATAACTGGATTATAGTTTCAGTTCAAATAACTTGCTTATCTCTTACCTGACCTGATGATTGAACAAAGATGACCAGTGAGTGCGTCCTTACATTTACCGGAGGATCAAAACTGATGATGTTCACGTACTTAAGCAGCCGTCGAAATGGTTGTAAAAAATGTCCCCAATCTTAAGTTTAAACATCAGAGTGATTGATAAGATTTTAAGAACCTTGTCTCTTCTACGGCAACATACTTCCTTCACTGAGCCTCCAGAGGAACATGACTGGCAGGGCGTGCTTCCTGAACACAGACAGCTATGAACAGAATGCCATCCAGCAAGTTGCTCCAGAAACTGACTGACACCTTATTAAAACATTCCTCCGTCGCACTGTCAATGAGTTTCAACAGTTTAACAGAAGCTGTACAGTGATCTGCCAGTCAGAGAGGCTACTTCTTTATTTTATTTTTAAATTGAAGATAAAGTTAAATCTCATTAACGTGTTCCCTAGTAAACAAAAACAACATTTGTATTCATTAAATGGACCAGAAGAACCCATTCATGGCTTGTGTGGTTGGTTCTCATTATTCCAACTGCATTCACTCAGTGTTGGACACTATTTGTTGCTATAAGTATTTATAGATGTGGGTGGCAATATCCCCTTTGAAAACCTACAAAAATAAGAAACACATTTATAAAGAAGCAATCAGGCTAATAGGGCAATAATTGTTTGCTAGTTGTGTAGATTTGATGTAAGCAAAACATATATATTTTAATCATTTCAACATTTTATACAGGATATCAGTAAATAAAGATAGGAGAAAATAATCATACCATTTTACCACACTATGTTCTCAGTCAGTTGTAGTCAGTTACTTTATTAACATTCAAATCTTCACACAGGAAAGAAAGCTACTTTTAGATGCTCATAAAGCTTACACTTATATTTTGTTAGCATTGACATTAAAAAAATACCTTAGCCTTACCATCATGAATACTAACATTGTAAAGGTCAGAAGAAGCACACTGTAAACTTAGAGCTGTACGATGGTGTTATGTCTTAAAAATTGCACATAAAAGTATAGAATTAACTACAATTTCTCACAAACTGTACTAGACAACAGTTCTAGGTTACAGATGCCGCTCTTTATATAACATTTCTATTACATTTAAAACTGCTTCTGTGTCACATAGACATCACTCATGAATTTACTATTCAAGTTTTACAAACACAAAATGTTCTTTTTAAGCATCAGCCATTCAGCTCTACAGTACGATGAAAGCAGTAATATAAACTTTAAATGTGAGATGTAGATTAAAGGCTTTGGAATATACATTTATCAGAGCACACCTTTACTGTCCTGTGATCTGACAGTCAGCGCAGTATATTGATTATTTTCGTGGCTATGATAAGGATTCAGGAGTGTCCACAGACACATTGTACCTCGTTGAACTTGTGGTTTATTTGCTCTTCCCCTGCCTATAATAACAGCCAATCAGCTGCTCTATGTTCTGCTATCAGTGTTTGTGATTGCAGAATGGACCTTGGAGGGTAAGTAAAGCTGTACTGTACACAATGGCACACACAGAGGCTGGCTCACGCCCTCTGGTGGTGGTTTGGTGCAGATCCTGTGGAGGAGTCAGAGACCTTCCTGTTGGTGGAGGTTTCGTCAGAAGCGACTGAGTCAGAGTTAACAAGATGGTTATTTTTGCCGCCCATGGTCACAGAGTGGCTCCAGTCTGCACACACAGGGGACAAGAAAGAGAAAAAACAATGCATCATCCAGAACACTTCAAACCATCTGTCCAATAAACTGCAATATGTTCTTCCTGCATAAACAATATGTACCTGAGTAATCACTGAGTCTGAAACGTCCACAGCACAAGTGGATTTTCCACTGTTTCCTCACATTTTCCTTCATCAAACAGTGGAACAAAAAGACAAAGAACCCTAGGACAAAAGAGCAGATATAGTAGACATTTGTGAAATACAACAGCATTATTTAGACATTTTTCTTTGCAGTTTGTTTTATATCATAATTACATTTTCATGTATTATCTTGCATTCTCAAAGTGTGTTGACAAGGAGATACACTTTTTATTTTTTTTAAAGCAACAAGTAAATCTGACCTTTTGAAAGAAAAATGCCAGAGTCTGGACAAGACTATTTGAAGATGACTGGCCCTTCCATAACTAATGACTGCTTAATGACCAGCTACAGCTCATATTTACCCTGCAAGGTGTTGAAGATGGAGAACAGGTACATCATGGCCACTTTGCCAGGCCCAAATGAAAAAAAGCCCATTGACCACGTCAGGCCCAGCAGGACGGTGAGACTGGCCACCGCCCTCAAGTCTTGCAGAGAGTTGGGGCTGCTTGTTGACCGTTTATTGGTCCTCATGTGTCTGATCTGGATCAGAACCACGACGAACACAGAGACGTTGCACAACAGGATCAGAAGGACAAATGCCACCACCGTCACGTAGAAGAAGACGTCATTCTGCAGCCAGCAGCTGCAGGAGGGAGAGGGTTGGATAATGGGTCAGAACACTGCACTGTAAAAAAGGATTTGATCATTAAGTTATTGTAACTTTTGTCTTTAAGTTACTTTCACTTAATAAATACATTTATGCAATTTCTACTTAATTTCATAAGTTGTTATTATTTCAACTCAGCTCTGTAAGCCAGTTCAATGACCTCTACATTCTATGAAGTCAATTTGACTGAACAGTGTGAGTTGTGATGTGTAATGTTCTGGAACTTTTCCATGGCCTGGTATGTGAACATAACCAATAACCTACCATAGCCAATAACAAATAAATGTAACGTACTTTATTTTTGTTGTTCATTTATATCTTATTTTACCTAGTTAACAGTTATTTATTTATGCATATTTTTTAATCTCTCCAGTTTTAAAGGATATTTTTGGTTTACTGTCTATAGTATACATTGGAATGATTTCAAACCTGTTTTTATTTATCCTAATAATTATAAAGGAGTGCCTTGGAAATATTTGTTTACATAAATTGTGACCAAACCGTTTGAGACCCACTGAGATAACTTAGTGAACTATTTAAACACTCAGAGTCCTTTACCTCACTGAGCCTCTCAGGGGAAATGGAAAATGTAACCGGGGTGAAAAGGGTGTTATCTTTACTTAAAGGGGACCTATCATGCAAAATGCACTTTTGTATGTCTTTTATACATGAATATGTGTCCCCGGTGTTCCAGGGAACTCACCAAGTGTCAGAAAACACAACCCTCTCTATTTTCCTCCATACCCAAATCTCTAAAAAAGGGGCTGCAACGGATCTGATAAAAACTGATCCAGATTTGAACACTGTCCTGACGTCAGGACAGTGGCGCTACGGCTATTGGGCCAACTCCACCAATCAGGAGGAGACAGCCACGGCCATTGCCGTTCGAAAGTGCTGGAGACGCTGTAGTACATATGCCAGGCCAGTAAATGGTGCTGTTCTCACTGAATCTGCAGTATAAATATGCCTTATGGTATGGTCCTACACTATATTATTCAAATATAGCATGATAGGTCCACTTTAATTATGAATGTTGTTACATCAATGCCGAAAATTAGTTTTTTTTGTATTATATTTGTATTATATTTCCATTAATCTTGTGGACGTGCAGATTCCCTGTCCTCCATCAGGGGGTGCTGCAGCACCCTCAGCACCCCTACTTCCCATGACTTCCCTAGTGTTTGTTAACTGGGTTTTTAATGCAGTTGGCTTTTCTTAATGGTTACAATATTGCTATGAGTTATATCTGAAGCAAATTATGTTTCTGAAGTAGTGATGTGTCGGTCGCGAACGAGCCGGCTCAAAGAGCCGGCTCTTTTAAGTGAACGACGGGAGCCGGCTCGCGCCCGCGAACGAGCCATTTTTTTGTTTTTGTTATTTTTTGTTAAGTAATACAAGACAGAATGATATGATGATCTCCACGCTACAGCTGCTCCGTGCATGCATGCAGTGACATGTAATATCCAAGGATTAGAGACTGTTGGATGCTGCTGTTTTGAGCATTGCAATACATTTATTTGTATTATGTTTTTTTATGATTAGAGACGGTTGGATGCTGCTGTACTGAGCATTGCAATATATTTATTTTCACTATGTTATTTATTTATGATTATCCTTGGGCTCAGCAAAGATTTGATGTCAGCTGTTGCTGTCTTTTTTTCTATAGTTAATACTGAAATAGAGCCCTGCTGTTTTGTCAGGGCCTTTTCTTTAAATATCATTTTAAAATGTCGATACAGTAGCCCCTTTTTTTAAATGTCTATGCTTAAGTTTTTATAGGTGTTGCTATCTGCTTTGTGTAGCGTGGTTCTACAAGCAAGTCAGTGCATTCATTGGGTGGTATCAGAGAGATACAAGGGTCTGTAAATGCAATGAAAACAATTGGCCACAGCAAATAATTGATATTAAACATGTAATTTTTACTTTTGAAGACTTCAGTACAAAGGATGTATTGAATAATTTAAGTGATATATGTACACATATAAATCATTAGTCAAAACAGGGCTACATTTGATTGAATTATAAAAGGTATAATATGTGGTAAACTGAAGAGCCGTTTGGGAGCCGAAAGAGCCGGCTCTTCTTGGTGAGCCGAGCCAAATGATCCGGCTCACCAAGAAGAGCCGGAATTCCCATCACTATTCTGAAGATGTGTAGTCAATTCCACCCTTCAATGTAGCATAAATGTGAACTCTCATTACAGGAACAATACCGGAAACAGACATAGGAAAGAGCCTCAGCTCGCTGATTGGATGTTTTAGCTGCAATGCACGTTGGGATATGGTGTTTATGCGATGTGAAATCCGAAAACATTTAAAAAAAATAATAATAATACTTTATTCCGAGTGTTCTTGCTTTTCTCTTTGAAAGTCATCACATAACGGCATTGTAATACACGGTTCGGCTGCATTAAATATTACACATCTGCTGTAGTTCTTTATTTATAGAGCCCTGATGAGAAGACTTCTGGACAAACAGGAAGAACTGCCGCCAAAACTGAATACGTGACGTGGATCATAAATATATCAACAATTAAACAACATCTTACATTTCTTTTCACAAAATACGTCTCCTTGCAGTATCAATACTAATTTGGCTGACTTTTATATTTGATCCAATTGGTAGATAGGTTATATTTACACCATAACGGTGCACAGCTGATAGAAAAGGACTTGTAGTTTTTAAAGATATTACTGATTTTCTTTGAATATAAGAATGTAAATACTGAGTTGAGAGAATAGTCAGGGGATTTGGGTGATGGGAGACACATCTATGGAATCACAATTTCAATAGCTTACCATCAAATGACGGATATACCTTTCTGTCTGTGATGTTTTACAAATCAGATATTAATGTGTAGAAGTAAAACATGAGAAATAATATAGCAATATCCTGTAAAATTATGTAAAAACATGAATAAAACTACACATCTTCAGATGTTATACATACATAAGTGTCCTACACTAATAATACAAAGTTATTATTAGTATGCTGTGTGTACCTTGTGTGCACCGCCTAGTGGTTAAAGCACGTTATTTAATTATTTTTGTTGAATAATGTTATTTTTGTTATAAATAAATAAATAAAAATATTAAGAGTACATACTTTCATAGGGGGAAAGTAGAAGGTCAATGATAGAAATATAGAATATAAAAAATCAAGAAGATACTGTAAGTGATCTCTACAATAAAACACTTTAGTGCCGGATGTACAAAGATATTAATAGGAGGATGTGCAAAACAGACAAACTAATTAACCTTTATTAACACATTAAAGAATACTTTAGGTTAAGGTCTTCTTTCAAATAAGAAAAAAGCTTTGGGGGTATCTATCTACAGATAAATATTAAGCCTGACAAAGTACTTAACGTCTAATATATTGCTTTCCTGCAATGTTAACTGTGTTGAAGCACTTATTTTAACTGATATTATACACATTAATTATATTCTTATGTATGTAGATAGTATAAGAAATGTGCAGAATTTGACAGTTTAATGGTGGAGGTATACACACATATTGATATATGTCTTGTAATGCACTGTTGAGGAACCTGTGACCCAAGTTTTTCATTAATTGCATAACTTCAACATAGTTGTGTATATGATATGTCAATAAACCTTAGAAAATCTTGAAAGGGATGTGCAAAATAGCTATTATATACAGTTTTTAATTAACCATTAGTAGAGAATAACGAGTAATGAATATACTTTATAGAGATCTGCAGATAAATGTTTAGTCTTCTCAAGCACCAACTAATATCTCGCCTGATTGTTGGCACTTGACAATCACCTTTCCCTGAATTTTACTCAGGTGTAACTAAAGTCTGCTTTAAGAGTTGTTTATATTTCACATCATTAATCAGAATCTGCAAAGTAACTAAAATAAATGTAGTGGAGTAAAAATACCAGGTTAACCTCTGAATTGTAGTGGAGTAGAATTACAAAGTAACAATGAGCTGGCATGTGGGTATATATTAATGCTTCCCATTATGGACACAAGCGATTTTCACCCATTTATTAATTACATGTTTTACATTTGTACACACCAATGTGTTTCCTATCCCCTAAACCTCCAGGGCTGTACACAGTTTAATACTGTCAACTTCTAATTTTGGGAAAAACGAAAACGTCTTTTAAAACTACAATTCCCAGTAGAGACGTGTCATAGAACATGTTGCGAAACACAATAGAGTGGCGAAGTCACGCCCATCTACTTCCGCCCCATGGGACCTTATTTCGGAAAAATAATGTGTTGAAGTCAATGGAGAGAGAAAACTTATCTTTCGATCCCGTTTGAATTGTGCCATGAATTACACATATGATGTTTGTCAATCTTAAAAAATCATTTCCATGTCAAAAAAGTCACAGTTTGTCGTAAAACTGTTGAAATATAAGACTATGAAAAATACGCAACTAGAAAGACTACAAATCCCAGGGTCGCGTAAGTGATGTCACAATTGTTTTCCTCCACTAAGAGATAGCTAAGTTATCTTATCTTAGCCAGCGCCATATAGATAGATTCTATCTATATGGCGCTGGCTAAGATAAGATAACTTTAACAAGATGCCTGTGTGCTTAGTACCAGGTTGTTCATACCAGCAATGGGTCTTGCTCGTTCTTTCGCTTCCCGTCTGATGAAAGGACCAGGAGTGTCTGGATCAAGCTAGCTAGTAGCTAGCACGTTAGTTAGCATTACAGCCTTGTCATTTTTATTAGCCTTAACATTAAGTAACATTAAGTAACCCAAAATGTTAAACAGTAAGAGTAGTAGTCATATTTCGTGAACCCTTTGAAGAGTACTGTCACCGGTGTGATCATTCTATAATACACAATTTAAGCCCGGGGGAGAAATGCTAACGCTAACGCTAGCGATCTTCTCTACTTCATGCTATCTGCACAAATGGTTGACATTTAACATTAAAACGACCAGGCAGTTCAGAGAGAATCAAAGGAAGGCAGGCAGGCAGCTTTGCATGACTTTCTTCAGGACGTGTTTCATTGTGGTGATAGTGAGGGTAGTCAATCGTTTTGTTGACAAGACAGTAGTGACGGCCACCTTGGTGACGTGTGTTGTTGACCAGAGATGTAGTTCATTGAGCGTTTCACACAAACAAATGTGTTACTTCACAGTTTTACGACACATCTTTTTTTTTTTGACTTGCAAAATTATCTTTTAAATTGACAAACATCATATGTGTAATTCGTGGCACAATTCAAACGGGATCGAAAGATAATCTTTCTCTCTCCATTGACTTCAATACATAATTTTTCTGAAATAAGGTCCCATGGAGGTCCACCGGAAGGGGAGGGACTTCGCCACTCTATAGCCACCATGTGTAGTTCTGGGGGGGCGTTCGAGTCCAGTTTTGGAAAGTCTGCCGTGGTTTCGTTCCATTTCAAAGAGCTGTTTGGCGCTCGGCGTAACCTTGGCGCACTGCCACTCCAACATCCAATCCCAGAGCTTGAAGATTAATCACGGGGTTTGTCAACGGGACTGTAGTCCCAAACGATAGCTGGGGATTATGGGTAGTGTAGTGTCTTCGGCCATCCTAAACTCTGATTTTTTTTTCGGATATCATATCGCATTAACACCATATCCCGACGTGCATTGCGGCTAAAACATCCAATCAGCGAGCTGAGGATCTTTCTTACGTCACTTTACAGCCCCGCCCACTTTTGGGGAAACCAGCTGTCATTTGAACGGCGATCAAGCCTGAAGCCACAGAGCTCTAAACTGTCCTTTCTTCTTAGGCCCCGCTCACACGGGACCGTTTGCGTTTATGCACAGTATGCGTATTCAAAAAAGTCTTCCGTTCACATGCATTTGTTTCATTTAACGTGTCTGTTCAAACGAGGCCGCTGGAAACGCTGTAGTACATATGCTGGGACTGTAAGTGGCGCTGTAACTTCCGCCAAAATACACCAAAAGTAGCGAAGAAGAGCAGCCCAGCAGCCCCCGCCGCAATGTTGCCATGGCTACCCTTCTGCGGTGTATTTAGCAACATGTAGTTCATGTAATTCTCCATGTCCATGTGTTGCTGATGGTTGTGGTAGAGGAGCTGTATATTTTTGCACTAATATCTGTAGCATGGTCAGTAGCAGTAGCACTAGCAGTAGCTACTGACAGGAGGAAGTCAGTGTGTGTGGCGATTGCTGGTATTCAGCGGGATATAGTCATTTCCTCAGCATATGGATAAATGCAACGGGGAAGTTAACTGAAAGAAACCGAATCTGTAGATATTGCATCCCGACCAAGAAGCACGTCTCCGTGGAGAGGACGGCTCAGAAAGAGAGAGATATTCTCTACAAACACCGGGTGAGATCCTCCTTTGTCAATATAATGGATCAATGCATGAAATCTGACTCTGTTTATTTTGTTTAAGGAGTATATTGGGCGTTAACAATTCTGGTTTGCCTTTTATAATATTATTTCATTCAAGAACCCCTTGTGCGTTTAATTAACACAGCTATTTTTGATAGTTGCTACAGCAGTGAGCAGGAGAGGTGGGGAGAGGCGGGGCTATCGCTATTTTTTCAGGAAATATTCGTATAGAGGTGATTACACGGACTCGGTTGACCCCCCAGAGCGTTTCGTTTGCAAATCTATCCACCTTGGGACCCGTTATTGTTTGTGGGGTCAGTTTCGATCGGCCTCGTGTAAATAATAGGGCTATACGCACGCGAAACTATGCAGATACAAGCAGTTTTCTCCTCGTGTAAACGGCGCCTGAGAGGAAGTACAGAAACACGTAACTTTGGATTTGTTTTAATGTTTGAGGAGCAATAAACGACACAGCAGCTTTTTGGCATGTTAAAACTATTATTTTCTGCCTCGCAGCTGGCGAAATTACAGCCTCGCCTACTGATTTTAATTTAACCATAGGATATCGAGCCCGATCGTCGATTTCAAATGTGTGCTCTAAAATGATATTTATAAATGACTATTATCATTATTATAAGCAAGACAATAAATGGCAAAGATATGTAGAAAATAAACGTATTTAAGATACGTTCATAACAAACGTAACGTGGGAGAAAATATGTTTCTAGAAGATATGTAGAAAATAAACGTATTTGAGATACGTTCATAACAAACGTAACGTGTGAGAAAATACGTTTCTAGCTAAACGTAATTGAGAATGCAGTTTAGTTCTGTGGGAACGTAATTTGTAGGAGACAGGGGGTGTTTCTCAATCGCGAGTAAAGCTGCTTCAGAGCCACTATTTCAAGCATACTACGTCATCGAGTGCCGCCGAAGTACTGTTCCAATCTCCAGTATACTTGGAAATCTACCGAGCCCGGCGTACTCCGTTTGGAGAAATATCGAGTCTGCACATGAGTAGACTTCGCGGTCTTAAAATCCCCACAATGCTTTGCGCACGGACCAATTTCCCCAAATCTGTGGCGGAAGATGTAAGGCGGGGCCTCTCATATGACGCACACCTGCACACTTGCTAGCGTGTTCCACACTTCGTTTTCCGAATGCCAGGAAGTATTCTTGACTCGCTTCTGAAGCAAGATGCTCGGCAGACATGTGCTACCAAGCAAGCGTACTCGCAATTGAGAAACACCCACAGTTGCATGTGCAGCCTCGATATTTCTCCAAACGGAGTACGCCGGACTCGGTAGATTTCCAAGTATGCTGGAGATTGGAACAGTACTTCGGCGGCACTCGATGACGTAGTATGCTTGAAATAGTGGCTCTGCAGCAGCTTTACTCGCGATTGAGAAACACCCGAAGTCTACCCATGTGCAGCCTCGAAATTTCCCCCAAACGCGGCCTCGGTGGAATTCCAAGTATGCTGGAGATTGGAACAGTCCTTCGGCGGCACTCGATGACGTAGCATCCTTGAAATATTGGCTTGGAAGCCAATATCCTCGCAATTGAGAAACACCCACAGTTGCATGTGCAGCCTCGATATTTCTCCAAACGGAGTACGCCGGACTCGGTAGATTTCCAAGTATGCTGGAGATTGGAACAGTACTTCGGCGGCACTCGATGACGTAGTATGCTTGAAATAGTGGCTCTGCAGCAGCTTTACTCGCGATTGAGAAACACCCGAAGTCTACCCATGTGCAGCCTCGAAATTTCCCCCAAACGCGGCCTCGGTGGAATTCCAAGTATGCTGGAGATTGGAACAGTCCTTCGGCGGCACTCGATGACGTAGCATCCTTGAAATATTGGCTTGGAAGCCAATATCCTCGCGATTGAGAAACGGCCACTGTCTCAAAACTCCATGTGTGTAAAAAGACATCCACAAGCAGAGATTTGAGATCCACAAGCAGAGATTTGAGATCCACAAGCAGAAATGTGAGATCCACAAGCGCATTTTTGGTTGACAAATACAAAATGGATTCACAAATGCCTGATCGAAAGTTGTAAATGTTAAAGAGATATTCAAAGATCTTTTTTTATTTGTAAAAATATTTTGCGCATTTGCAGATCCGTTTTACATTTGCAAATTTATTTGTGAGTTTGCAAATCTTTTAAATGCATTTGTGGATGGTGTTTTACATTTACAAATCACATATTTACACACAAATTATTTTTCTGTTCACACAAATAATTATGAGACATAGCCTATCTATGCCCATACCTCTTAACATGGCAGTAGTGATGGCATATTCCTGCCCGGTGAAAATAGTCCCGGTCTCATAGGTGTTTTCATTAATTGAAGGCATTTAACAGGGACATGAGTTATTTATTTTTTTACGATATACAGCAAGTGAACCACCGAGTTCGATTCGCCATTATCAAAAGAAGAACTTCAAGCGGACAGATTGATGACTAGTACGAAAAGCTAAGCGGCGGATGAATACGTTTTTGTAAAGCGATGTGACAGTGAGTGAACATGACCTACAGAGTAAGGGGTACGCAGATCTTTTCGGCTGTCGGCTGATGAACCACTGACGGACAGGCAAAGTGAGGTGAGTGGTTGCATATTTAATGGTTTCAGGCAAAACGAAAAGTAGCTAAATGGAGTTAAATCAACACCTAACTGGTGTTTGAATGTTTATAAAGAGATTTTATTTGTGAGTGTTATGAAAATGTCAGTTAACCAAGTTAACATTACAGGATTATGATTATCTAAACTTTTATTAAATAAATAAGTTTCAAGCATTGTTACTCTTATTTATGACGCTTGTGATTTTTTAAAAGGTGTGAATGGTAACTGCCTATGTTTGTAGCTTAATTTAGAGAGGTTTTGTTTGTTCGTTGCAGTAATTAGCCGTGTCCCGGCTCTGTTCCGCTCAATATTGAAGCTAAACTAGAGAATGCAATTCCTGAAGAAATTGCTAGTGGGAATGCTTTATGCTGAAAAGCTGACGCTAAACTGCTATGCTGAAATGTAATGTGTAAGAAGAAAGTGAAGAATTTACATTGAAATGATACATGAACTTGAATGTGTGATGAGAGAACAAAGAGAGTAAAAAGGCTTGGAAAAGCAGCAGAATATTTGAACTGCAAACCTTTGAACTAACTTGATGGTGAATGATCTGTCGCCATGGAAACGGCATTTGAAGAAATCTCAAAACTGTGAGAGGAGAGAGAGAGAGAGAGAGAGAGAGAGAGAGAGAGAGAGAGAGAGAGAGAGAGAGAGAGAGAGAGAGAGGAGAGAGAGAGAGAGAGAGGAGAGAGAGAGAGAGAGAGAGAGAGAGAGAGAGAGAGAGAGAGAGAGAGAGAGAGAGAGAGAGAGATGTTTTCCTACGTTTGTAATGAAACGTTTGTATGTCTCAAGAATGTAGGGTTTGGGAATTATGGCAGTTTTAAAAAAAAATATGAAGGCACATTTCAAGATTTCTTACCCTCTAGCTGTGACATCACACACTCTAGTTAATGTTAAAATCTGAAGAAAACCTCTTTAACAAGGTCTGAACAATGTTTAATTCTCTAAAAGTAAGAATCTAATTTAAAAGTTGTGTTACACGAATAATGTCAGAAAGATGTGTAACATTTTAAAGTTGGAATGAGGTTTCTGAGTGAAAGTATGAATGAACAGTTAGCATTTTAAGTCGCATGAAGATTTGTTGAAGTCTGAAGAATATCTCCATTGACTTCAATGTTAAAAATTTGATGAATTATGGGATGTATCTCTGGAATTATGAAAGTTATGAATGATAAAAGTAATAGCAGTCGATTCCCGACCGAGCTGAACGTTTTGATGTTTGAACGGAGTTTCTGCGATGTTGAATGTGGGAGGAGAAGACGGACAAAATAATTGGACGGAATAATAATAAACTTTTCGTCCGTAGCATAACATATAGTTGGAATGCTGTATCAGCATTCCCACTAAATTAACGTGTTTCGGTGAGGTGGTGTGTGTTAGTCGTGTCTTGGCTTTCTGTTCGGTCAAATATTAAAGGTGGGGTAGGTACGTTTGAGAAACCGGCTCGAGATACACTTTTTGTTATATTCCATGGAATGCTCTTAACATCCCGATAGCAATGAATATCTTAAGTGCTTTGACAAAAAATCCATAAAAAAATGTCATCTGTGGAAGCCGTAATACTGTAAAAAGCACGACCAATCATTTTAGCCGGCCAGGCTAAAATAACTGGATGGCCTACCTGCGTGTCAGCCTTCTATCTGTGCACAAACTTATCTCGTGCCCTCATTGGTCATGTGCGCGTTTGTGTGTGTTGGAGGAGGGGCTCTGTAAGGAAGTGGCAGATTTTTTCCGGCTGTGTATTTTCAAATTCTAGCGATCTCGAGCTGGTTTCTCCAAAATTACCTACCCCACCTTTAAAGCTACATTTGCGCGTTTCGGAGAGTTTATGTGTGTGTGTTCCTGACAGTAATTAGCCGTGTCCCGGCTCTCTGTTCGGCTAAGAATTGTAGCTTGTTAGCCCCTGCTAACAAGCTACAATTCAAGTGATTCTATCCTTGCAACGTTTTTCTGGTTCAGCTCACGCCATTGAACGAGTAAAATGCTAATTGTGTTCAGAAATAGCATTTATATTGTGTACGAATGCTATGTTCCACTCTTGAAATGGAGACACATTTGTATTTCTGCTTTTTATAAAATATTTTATAGAAAACAAAGAAATATATTTAGTTTATTTTATTGAAATATGGTGCCCATAAACTACATGTTCCACAATGCATTTCGTTCTGTGACTTGCGCACTGAAGCGTCTTAATATCAGCCGTTTCTAGCAGCGGGAACAGTCGGTGCTCAAGGCACTTAAAAATGTTGATCTTTGATTGATGAGATTATTGTTATTTAATCTAATAAATTAATGGGATGTATGTAATTATAACACAGGGAAAGGTTACTGTTCACCCACAAGAATAAATAAGATGTACATACAATGGTTGTAATTGTTAGATATTTATATTATAATAAAATAAATAATATTTATACATTAACAATAATTTTTCCTAAACTTCTGCTTTCAGAGGTAGTCAAGTTATTACTAAAAACCAATAATAATCCACTGAATAGTCTATGGAAAATAAGTGCAAGCAAATAATCAACAATTACAACCATTGTACAATTTCTTTAAAGTTTGGTATAAAAATAGTTTTTTCATTGATATAATTGGATGCACACTAACCTTTCTTTCCCTGTTATTATTACATGCATCCCATGAATGTATTAGATTGAATATGCCTCATCATATCTCATCAATCAAAGATGAACATTTCAAGTTGTTTATTTATTTAAAGTGGACCTATCATGCTATATTTGAATAATATAGTGTAGGACCATACCTATATAAGGCATATTTATACTTTTTTTTTTTCAAAATACCAAACAGATCATGCATTTTAGCCATGCCTCATTTCGCTCTATTTGAACATTTTTAGCTCTGTTTTTGCAAGGGCTCATTCTGTGAGAACAGCACCACCTACAGGCCTGACATATGTACTACAGCGTCTCCAGCGCTTTCGAACGGCAATGGCCGTGGCTGTCTCCTCCTGATTGGTGGAGTTGGCCTAATAGCCGTAGCGCCACTGTCCTGACGTCAGGACAGTATTCAAATCTGGATCAGTTTTTATCAGATCCGTTGCAGCCCCTTTTTTAGAGATTTGGGTATGGAGGAAAATAGAGAGGGTTGTGTTTTCTGACACTTGGTGAGTTCCCTGGAACACCGGGGACACATATTCATGTATAAAAGACGTACAAAAGTGCATTTTGCATGATAGGTCCCCTTTAAATGAAGCACTGTTTAAGTCTTTATCATATGAATTCAGGGATAATATTGTAATTGTGAAAGCCAAGGCTTGTAGTTTATGGGCAACGTAACTGTTGTAATTGTGTGCATCTTATTCTTTGTCATGTTCTCAGTTCTTATTACTTTATTAAGGCCTGCTTCATAATGTACCTAAATGTGTGTTCTCTATTACAGGTACAGATTTTCGAAGATTTCCGTTTTGCTGCAACTGGATGAAGTGGACTTGTAAGTTTTGCAGGCTTTCCAGTTACAATGAGAAGGCAATTGTTAATCATTACAAAGAAAAGCATGGACGTGGAAGACGGGGTTTCTGCTGCATTTATCCAAACTGTCTAACAGTCCCCCAATCCCATGTGGATTTAACAAAACATTTAAAGGAGCACAAAAAAGGATCTAACCCAGTTGCCAAAATTTGCTGCGAACTTTGTACTTTTTCAGCACCAACTAACATCAAGCAATTTTTCCTTCATTTGAAGAGACATTTAAGAACAAGAGAGACTGAATTGCCCGTTCGCGGGATGCTCTTTTAGGTCTAGGGTAGTGACAACCTTCACTGCTCATAAAAGTCGGTACCACCAGGAATCTACATTTGAACATTTCAGACCTGATCTTGTCATTAAATCTCCCATTCAGGCATCTGTAAATGATGAGCAGGATGAATTGAACAATTTAGTTTTGCCAGATTTGTTGTTGCCTGAACCTGAATTTCAGCCAGATCAAAATTCTGTTCAGCGGCGAATTGCATCCCTTTTACTACGGCTGCAAGTAGTCCTTCACGTATCACAGTCAGCAATTCAAGAAATTGTGGATGATTTATTTGATATTGGTGAATTTGCTGGACAATTAACTAAAAAAACGATTGAAAATATTTTGAAGGCACATTGCACATCTGAGGGACTGATATCATCATTGACTGAAGCATTACAGAGTGCAAACCCACTTAATTTGCTTTCAAGAGAAGGGCCTTTAGGCACAGAGTATAAGAGACAATTATTTTATAAAAAACATTTTGTTGTCATTGAACCGGTTGAATATCTTTTGAACACACAAGAAGAAAAGCATACAGTTGTTTATATACCTATTCTAAAAGTTCTCTCCGAAGTATTGAAAAAAGACGAGGTTTTGCAAGTATTGGAGATAAACAAACCATTTGAACAGTCCGGCCACTACAGGTCATATGTGGATGGTGACTATTTTAAAGAAAATCCAATTCTCTCAAGTGAAGACATTACTTTATCCATAACATTGTACATTGACGATTTCGAAGTGTGTAACCCTTTGGGCACATCGAGAAAAAAACACAAAGTCTGTGCTGTGTATTGGATTCTTACAAATTTGCCAAATATATACAAGTCATCGATTTCTTCAATCTACCTTGCTTTACTGTGCAAGACTGATCATATCAAACTATACGGGTATACAAAAGTTTTGGAGCCACTGATTAAAGATATTCAATATCTAGAAACAGTTGGTTTTTCATAGAGAAACTTGCTTGTAATGTAAAAGGGACCATCTTGTATGTGGCTGCTGACAATTTGGCTGCACACTCCTTAGGTGGATTCCAAGAGTCCTTCAATGTGGAGAAGTGTTGTAGGTTTTGTCTGATTAGCCGCGAAGACATACAGAAATGTGATGTTAGTGGTGGGAACTTTGTTTTGAGGTCACCAGAGTTGTATGATGAAGCTGTTAAGGTTTTGAAGCAGACTGAATGTGTGTCTGTTGATGGTATAAAACGAGAATGTCCTCTTAACATATTGACAGGTTTTCATGCATGCAAAGGCTTCCCACCTGATTTCCTACATGATGTTCTAGAAGGCATTGTACCTGTAGAACTAAGTCTGTGCTGATTTTATTTCCAAGAAGTATTTCACATTAGAAGAGCTAAATAGTGAAATACAACACTTTCCTTTTAAGTTCTCTGATAGAACAAACCGTCCACAGAAGCTTCCATCAACTTTTCAACGCAACAAGACTATAGGAGGCAATGGACACGAAAATTGGAGTCTTGTTCGTTTCCTTCCACTTATCATCGGTCACCGTGTTCCAGAAGGTGATAGGACATGGGAATTAGTCCTTGAGCTCAAAGACTTGGTGGAGTTATTGTCAACTCATCATTTCATTTCACGCTCTCTTTGTTATTTACAATCCAAAATATCAGACCACAGACAGTTGCTGCTAACAATTTTCCCTGATAACAAGTTGCGTCCCAAGCATCACTTTATTGAGCACTATCCATATCTCATTCAAAAGTTTGGGCCCCTCATTGAGTGTTGGACTATCCGATTTGAGTCAAAACATTCTTTCTTTAAAAGGGTTGTGCATAATGCAAACAACTTTTAAAATATTCTTCTCACTCTGGCGTCTAGACATCAACTGATGTTGGCTCATTATCTTGACATGCCAAGCCTATTCAAGCCTGAAATTGAGACTGGGAAGGTGTCTGACGTGTGCCTTGAAGTACTAGATAGTGGAGTCAGACAGGCTGTCTTGGATACATTCATTGATGTCGACACAGTTGGACTCACACCTAACGTCTTCCTAAATGGAACCAAGTATTCAAAGGGAATGATTGTTTCTGCTGGGAATACGAGTGGACTGCCAGACTTTGGGAAGATTTTGGAAATATGCATTGCGTCTAGTTCCGTTTGCTTCATCATTGAACCTTTTACTACGAACTATGTGGAGCATCTGCGGAGTTACCACCTAGTAAAGAAAACACCATCTGTATGTCTTCTGGTGAAACCAGATAATCTCAATGACTACATGCCATTTGTGTCATACTTCATTCAGGGACGCCTGTTGGTCACTCCCAGGACATTCTTGCTGAAATAAACCTGTAAGTTAATACACATTGAAATTGGGGGTTAAAGCATTATATTTGATAATAGTGTTGAGGGACGGATGTGTGTGAGTTGGACTGATATCATTACTTGATATACTGAATATTTGTAATTGAAATTATTTTTTTTATTTTTTCTCAAATACAGGTAAAAGTGGTCTACAATGCTGCTAAGAGTCATCATATCCCAAAATGATATCAGGCGCCTCCGGATTGAAAATATACCCACCAGCATTGAGGGGCTGAATCTGGAGTTAAGAACAAACCTAGGCCTGACAGGTGGATTCATCTTACAATTTGAGGATCCTGATTTCAATAATCAGTTGTGCAACTTGACAGACATCAAGGACCTTCCTGTGGAGCGGGCAACATTAAAAGTATTGTTCACAACTGATGTGGATGTCTCAGATTCCACATTGGACACATGCAGCCTTCCGTTGGTCAGCAGTGGGGATTCTGTTGAATGGCCAAACCCCTTCCCAGTTCCACAGTTCTCACATGACGTGGAGCTTCTGCTGAAACAAGCTAATTTTCGGCATGCTAAGGATGGAAGTGTGATGGTGATTCCTAAGGGTGTAAAGACTGATATCCTTGACACGCTTGCAGACGTTATGTTCAAAATAAATGCCTATCCCGAGAAACGGCACTATGAGATTGTAGTAAAAGCACTTGTGGAGAAACATCCCGGCCTGAAGGACCCAGGGCCCGAAAAAGGATGGCAATCCTGGTTTTATAGCCTAAAGTTCAAACTGGGGAACTATCGGCAGAAGTTGAGTGCCGCAGGATGCCATGAAGTGGTAGTAAACAAACGAAAAGGAGTGGAAGCGAAGGGGAGTCGTCATAAAAAGCCGAAGAAGGGTGAGGTCAACTATTGTCCAGATCTCCCTGAAGGACAGAGTACTGATGACATGGAAGAGAAGCGTCAACAAATGGAGATGGAAATGCACAAAAAAGACCCTGATCACCAATTAATTGAAGCATTGATGAGTGATACATTTTCTCAGCGTCGGAGAGAGATCGTTGGAGATCAGCCACTGATCACAGAAGTAAAGTCCAGGTGGCCAGCTCTGTTCAGTGAGAGACAGGTAATCAGTCATACAATTGTACATTCAAACTATTTCATATATTTTATCGGTCTTATTCAATCATGTGAAATGTGAAAACTTTAAATCACGCATGTAGAGAGACAAAATTATCACGTTTATCAACGTGCATGCATGCATCTTGGAGACTGTTGGTAGAATATTTTCTATATGTCTGTTTCTCCTCAGATTCAGGCAGAGTTCCAGAGAATTGTCACTACGGACCTGCTTTCATCGTTTCTGGATGGACTTGATGGCCTGGCCCCAACATTGCTGGAGGTCTACAAAGGTGCGTCCAGCACTGGAAAGAAGCCGGCACTAAAAGGCCTTTTGGACTGCCTTGAGAAAGATGTAAGTGGAGATGCTGATGACCATCATTTAGCCACCATTTGTTTGCTACAAATGTTTATATCCCACTGCATTTGTTGTCCTGCAGGACACAAATGAGAGGAGGAGGACTGCTGCTCTCTTGGGACTATCACTCTACATGTCTGGCGAAAATCAGGCAAATGTCATCAGGATGTGTGATGTAAGATCATAACTTTCTTTAATTTAGTGGGAATGCTGATACAGCATTCCAACTATATGTTATGCTACGGACAAAATTCTTCTTATTATTATTCCATCCAATTATTTTGTCCGTCTTCTCCTCCCACATTCAACATCGCAGAAACTCCGTTCAAACATCAAAACGTTCAGCTCGGTCGGGAATCGATGGCTATTACTTTTATCATTCATAACTTTCATAATTCCAGAGATACATCCCATAATTCATCCAATTTTTAACATGGAAGTCAATGGAGACATTCTTCAGACTTCAACAAATCTTCATGCGACTTCAACTGCTAACTGTTCATTCATACTTTCACTCAGAAACCTCATTCCAACTTTAAAATGTTACACATCTTTCTGACATTATTCGTGTAACACAACTTTTAAATCTGATTCTTACTTTTAGAGATATTAAACATTGTTCAGACCTTGTTAAAGAGGTTTTCTTCAGATTTTAACATTAACTAGAGTGCGTGATGTCACAGCTAGAGGGTAGGAAATCTTGAAATTTGCCTTCATATATTTTTTTAAAACTGCCATAATTCCCAAACCCTACATTCTTGAGACATAATGTTTCATGACAAACGTAGGAAAACATCTCGTAGCTTGAAAAATGACGAATAATTAAGCAAAATAATTAAACAAAATGCCTCTTGAGAGCATGAAGTGACAAAAACGTTCAACATGTCTCCATTAAAGCCCATTGTAATTTCAGGCAGATATTTCCTCACAGCAGCAGCCGCACACCTTTAGTTAAACTGCCAAAAAGGCCACATTATTAACCCGAAAGTACACAAAAATTACACTTCAGATACTCAACTTCCTTGACATGCTTCACGTTTTGAAATGTCACAGATATCTGTTATCGTTCTTCCACAAAACATTCACATGTAAGAGGTTCATCTCTCATTCAGAACAATGAAACCTTTGAAGTCTAGGCACCTCGTTAGCTCAACTATAAACACCTGTGCAATGGAACACGATGATGTCATCACTCCAACTGACTTCAGATAATGGTTAATGGTCGTGCCCTCAACAGCTCTACGTCAATTATGGGGTGTCATCATATGCCGTTCAAGAGAAGAGAGAGAGGGCGATCAAGAGTCAGTTCTAACTGCTCTCTCTCTCTCTCTCTCTCTCTCTCTCGCTCTCTCTCTCTTCCTCTTCCTCAATATCTTCCTTAATCTCTCTCTCTCTCTCTCTCTCTCTCTCTCACACACACAATGTTCCAAACGGCCCAAAACTTCACAGGTTTGGTAACGATGCAGCCATCAACGCATCTAAGCGTATTATGGGGTGTCATCAAATGCCTCGCCATAAAACACGATGTCCCTTTAACTCCTATGAAAATGTTCAAAAAGTGCTCAAAATTCACATGTGTGCTAACAGTCCAGCCGTGAAGACATCTACGAGACAGTTTTGAGATTTCTTCAAATGCCGTTGCCATGGCAACACAATGCTCGCCATGAAACACGGTTTTCTCATAACTTCAGTGAAAATGCTTCAAACGGCCCAAAACTTCACAGGTTTGGTAACGATGCAGCCATCAACGCATCTAAGCGTATTATGGGGTGTCATCAAATGCCTTTGCCATGGCGACAGACCACTCGCCATGAAGCACGATGTCGCTGTAAGTCCAATGGACACGGTCCGATCGTCCCCCAAACTTCGCTTGTATATCACCGGTCCAGCCCTCAACAGCTCTACGTCAATTATGGGGTTTCTTCAAATGCCGTTGCCATGGTAACACAAGGCTCGCCATGAAACACGGTTTTCTCATAACTTCAGTGAAAATGCTCCAAATGGCCCAAAACTTCACAGGTTTGGTAACGATGCAGCCATCAACGCATCTAAGCTTATTATGGGATGTCATGAAATGCCGTTGCCATGGCGACAGATCATTCACCATCAAGTTAGTTCAAAGGTTTGCAGTTCAAATATTCTGCTGCTTTTCCAAGCTTTTTTACTCTCTTTTCTTCTCTCATCACACATTCAAGCCCCCAGTGTTCATGTATCATTTCAATCTAAATTCTTCACTTTCTTCTTACACATTACATTTCAGCATAGCAGTTTAGCGTCAGATTTTCAGCATAAAGCATTCCCACAAGCAATTTCTTCAGGAATTGCATTCTCTAGTTACTTTATGTAATTGTACATTTTTAACATAAATCAACCCAAATCACCCTGTGCCCAAAGTTTCCTTCAAAAGTATTGTTTACAATTACCTTAATTTAACTAAAAATAATTGCAATAAAGAATGATACATTTAATATAAACAAAAACAGCAAGAAAATAAATGTTTAACTATTAAATAATATAAATAAATATATAGCTCAAACTGTGAAAAGGGAGGCAATTGAAATTATGTTCCATCACATTGCACTTCTACAATGTGAACTGTAGATTTTAGCTTCTATGTTTATAGCAGAGGCCTCTTAATTAGCTTTGTAGAGAAAAAGTACTTGTAGTACACTGAGCTCACTTTTATTTATCCTTTTTTAAGGTTCATGGAGACATTCTCGAGGAAGCCACGAAGGGGATGCAAGTTGGTCTACTCGTAGGCTACGAAGGTGAACGGGATGCCTTTCCTCAGCAGATATTCAATGTGGCAGTTGTGGTCGAGGAGAAAATTGTACTCTACAACATGAAAGATGTGGCTTGCGGCTTTGCGATGCTTCTTGGACTAATATATTGCTTGAATCTTCAGTATCCTCTGGAAATGAAATATTCATTTGAGTTTCTCCAGAGGGTTGTTATGAAGATACAGCCAGACCAAGCCTCTGCCAAAATACATGGACTAAAAAACAAACTAGGTAGGAGGTAGATCATCAAAGAGTGTAGAAAGTGAGTTCAATTTAGTGTTGTTCATTTGTATGTTCAAGGATTTTGTGCCTCTACAGCAGGGCTTCTCAAACCCCGGATCCGGACCGAACTGCAAATCAATCCGGACCGAACCCTGTGTCCCATTATATAAAAAAAAAAAATTATAAAAAAAAAAAAATCTGATTCTGATAAATTAATGTACATCATTATGTACGCGCGTCTTGTGTCTGACGCGTAGTGAGAATGAACGTGCATATATATTTACTTGTGTGCGTGAGCGTGACACTCATTGCAGACCGCAAGTTAACCGCAAGTTTACCTTGACTTTCTAATGCTTCTAATGCCTTTTTTGCCGAGGTTCAAGGCATTGACTACAGACAACCAGCCAAGCCACCATACTGTATGTAATGTATTGAATGTGTGAGTGTATAAAGCGGCGCCGTTTGCCGACAGGCAAGGCAGGCAAGTGCTTGGACCAGAAGGGGGACCCCAAAGAAGGTAGATTAAGTAGGTCCACAGCAACAACATGGAACAACCTTTCATTTACTGCAACGACATGTCGGGAAACCCCCTCAAGGGGGCCCCATGCATAGAGCGCCGTAAGAAACTGCTTCTTAATTTCAGTTTCGTTTCAGGGGGGGGTGACTTTACTGGCATTGATCCGGACCAGTGACCTTGTATAAAGTTCACAAGTGGACCTTTAATAAAAAAGTTTGAGTACCCCTGCTCTACAGTGACATGTTTCGAAAAAAATAAAAATGTTTTAGGTTAGTGAGAATTCCATTTATGTTGGAATTGTCACGAAACAATTCCAACATAATGTTCCAAATGTCCTCTTAAAACTTGCATTTTAAGAGGACATTTAATGTTCATTTCAGTATTTACTAGTGTCTTGAAAGAGTCCTCTCCTCCTGTTCAAAAAGCTCTATTTGTTTCGTACTGTTTGTGCTGCACCCTCTGTCCTATTTGTAAAATTAATAACATAAATTAGATGTTATAATTTGTATGTATACTGTATATTTATGTTTATACTTGAAAAATAAAAATATTTCAGCATCTGAAGTAACTTCAAGCCTTGATCTCCTTTTATATACATTTGGGTGATGTTTAATGTTCTAAGTTCAGTCAGTAAGAAGTTTAAGGAAGCTGGGGAACTTGTCCTTATAATAAGAGTTAGAAATAGAAAACACTAGTTTACTTAACATGAAAATGTAAGTTCAATTGCTTGAAAACATGAGTCAACATAACTTGAATTTGTCAGTCGGTATAAATATAGTTAAAGTTATCCTAACTTAGAATTGTGAGTTAAGATAAGGTAGAAGTTAAATTGATTTGTTGATTTGACTAGATAATGAACATTTCTTGAATCTATAATGTAAAATTGTAAGTTTCTTTAAAGGGGACCTATCATGCAAAATGCACTTTTGTACATCTTTTATACATGAATATGTGTCCCCGGTGTTCCAGGGAACTCACCAAGTGTCAGAAAACACAACCCTCTCTATTTTCCTTCATACCCAAATCTCTAAAAAAGGGGCTGCAACGGATCTGATAAAAACTGATCCAGATTTGAACACTTTACTGACGTCAGGAAAGTGGCGCTACGGCTATTGGGCCAACTCCACCAATCAGGAGGAGACAGCCACGGCCATTGCCGTTCAAAAGTGCTGGAGACGCTGTAGTACATATGCCAGGCCTGTAAGTGTAAGCTGTAGTCTGCCACAAAAGCAGCGAAGAAGACTTGGTTACCATGGTTACCCTTCTGTTCATTCTCCGCTGTGGCTTTCTTTCTCCCTCCCTGAGGCAAGCGTTTACTCCCGCTGCTTTAATGCAATGCAATCCCTCCCCGTCGAGGCAAGCACTGTAATTATCTCCGGTTAGTCCACCAGCAGATGACAAACACCCACCTCTCCGCCTCTTCCAAGGAACGAGGGGACCGTGCGGCAGAGTTTCAGTTTCAGTTACTTTCGCCGGTCAAGATGTCCGTTAAAGTTTAAATCTTCCGGACAAAATTAGAAAAGTGCCGGTCAAAGGTCTTCTTTGTTATTTATTGAGCTTTAAAACAAATGAATAACGACTCTCTCCCCCTCTTCTGACAGCCCAGCAGCTGATCAGAGCACGTCTCCCCTCTCCTGCAGGGGGGCGTGGTCAGCAGAATCAGACCCGTAGACAGCAAACAACACATAGAGCGAAATGAGGCATGGCTAAAATGCATGATCTGTTTGGTATTTCGAAAACAGAAACGTATAAATATACCTTATATAGGTATGGCCCTACAATATATCATTTAAATATAGCATGATAGGTTTCCTTTAACTCAAAGTATTAAGTTATAACAATGAATGATCATTAGTAAAATAACTTGTATAACTTAACATTGTGAGTTCAAACAAAGTACATTTTTACTTTAAGACAACTTATATATATGAGGCAGCCCTTGAACTTATGTTTATAAGTTAAAACACCCTATTTATTTTTACAGTGTGGGATAGCATAAATGACATCAACAATTCATTTTTCATTTATGTTATAAGACACTCAAATGACCTGTTTCAATACAGCCCAGTGCTTGTACTTACAATTGGTCGGTGGACTTAAGCATCCCTGCAGTTTCTATAGGCCCAGCGCTGCCATAAGCATCTTTATCTATAGCCAGGATCAGGCTGACTATCACCAGAGGAATACCTATGAGAACACAAAAATACAATTCATTTAGAGGTAAGAAAATATAATAACACTGTGACAAAACAGAATACAATATTGAGTTTCTGTCTGTTGCAGTTTGCGATTATGACATTCATTCTCAAATGCAGAAAAATTGGTCTTTTTAATTGCTAGCCCAACTCACAGATCAACTGATCATGCAGTTATGTGTAATTTATTAGAATCTGAAGAAATAATTAAACGTGGAAAGATGAAGTTTTTAATGATATATAACGAACAAATAAATATGAAATGGGTTATAAATAAGGACATTCCTATTTTCTATACAATAAATTATATAGCTCTTTGAAATGACTGAAAAGTATTGATCCTCTTAAACAAAGGGATACCCAGCCAAACCCCAGCTTCTTGATCCAAATTAATCAAAATCCTCTCCTGAACCCAAATCAACCCAACTGGACTTTTTTATTAGAGTTATAGCATTATTTAAAGTTGTGTCTCACCCCATCCTGCAGCACAGAACTTGAGGATGTAGGAGGGAACGTAGATGTTGAAGACCTTGACAAGTGCGAGGTACATATGCACGGCCTCCAGGCCCATCCAGGTGAAAGAAGCTAGCAGGAAGTAGTGCAGCGTTGCAGCAGTGGCGATGCACAGCCCGTAGTTTGAGAAGGAAGAGAGCCAGGAGTTCAGGAGGAAGAGCATGCACAACCCCAGCAGGGCAGCCGACAGGTTGATGAGTATCTTAGATGGGTAGTCTCTCCGCAGCTTCCTAAAGTGTTCAACACACAGCGAACAACTCAGTCTAAAACGATAAATGAAAAGTCTAAAATCTTGTAAAAGGTATCTGGATTTCATCCTAATGCAAATAAGCAACATTTGATGTTCTTGGCCAAAACAACAACTATAGTATGTAGTGTTTTATTAACAAATCCTGAAATTAAATTAAAACAGTAATGCTTAAACATTCATTTATGTAAAGAGTGTTGTCGAATACTACTGCAAAATCTTCGCTTAAATATGTTCTCTACAATATAAACCTTTTACAATGTGAAAGTATAGCTCAGACTGAGTGACTTACTCAAAAGAAAGGTAGGTGAGAAGAGTGATTCCGAGAAATATGGCAGATATACCACAACCAAGATATGAGATCACTGTCAGAATCTGACTGTCAGCTTCACCTATGGGTGTTCGGGATACATCCTGAAACACACCACGAAAACAGAACAAAATGTGTTGTTTACTTGTGTTTGAAGTTCCCTAATGATCGTATCCAAACAAACACTAAAGGAAGCAGCAGTGCAAGCTGTTAAAACTAATCTGATTATAATTATTTGAAAATGATTATATGATTGAAAATACAATCCCAACATTGTAACAGCTTGTTGTTTAATTGGCAGAAAACAATGTAGTGCAGCAACTGGCCAGATTGCACACAGTGTGTTGCTGCTTGTGGGGGTTTCTGTTCCCTGGTTAGATTTATTTTTTAAAAAGCAAGGAAATGACTCACCAAGAGCACAGCGAAATGTGTGAGGTGATCACAGAGACAGCTGGTCTGATAATCAGAAATACTGCGGGTTTTACATCCTCTGCTGTTCCAACCACCCTGCCCACCTGTCACACACACACACACACACACACACACACACACACAGACACACACACACACACACACACACACACACACACACACACACACACACACACACACAATGCTTCCTGTGTTTAGGGGTCTTTTATTTATGTTACTGATTCCAAACAAAACCATGTCAATTACTGTAAATCATCGAAATCCAGCTGAAACACATAATAAATGATGATTAACTCACCATTCTTCTGGAAATCCCAAAACATACACTGCACCTTGTCCCCTGGCTGTACAAAAAAACGTAATAATGGTATTATAAGAGTGAATTACAAAACCCTTGTTCTTGCTGGTGAAAGTATCCATTAACCTTTAGGGCTGTTTGATGGCTGAGGGTCACCACCACTCGATCCGTGAGGTTTCTGACCATGCTGTTATTGATACTGGCAGATACTATAAAGGAATTCAATTTCCAGCTGCTCTGAGTTGCATTGTTTGTGTACGGGTCCTGTTAACACAAAGAAAATGGTCACAATAAGAGGCAAGGAGGATGTCATTGGTCAATAAAATATGCTACAGTAGGAGAGAGCAGATTTGTCCATTCATTGCTTCTTCATCTCTAAAAATCGGGGGAAATGTAATTAGTTTAGTGTCACGTTTATCTTGTAATTGTTTCCTTGTAGTTTGACATATTTTGGTGATGGTTTCTTGATGAGAGTTACATTATTATGTTTAATACCACTCCCCTGTGGTAAATATGAAGCTACAGTATCTTGACAGTATAGCAATCAGCTGGTTAGCTTAGCTTAGCACAAAGCCTGGAAACAGCTAGTAAGTATCTATTTAGAATCCTCTACACCCCTAAATTGATTCTTTCTCACAAGACAACCAATATTTGACAGTTTTAAAAACGTTTTAATAGTGAGATGCGTATAGGCGTTTCTTTAGCTTTGGACTCAGGTTAGCAGCTAAGCTAAGCTATTTAAATCCTGGCTTTATTTATTGCACAGAAATAGGTTTAGTGTCAATCTTCTTATTTGACTCTCTGCAAGACTGCAACTGGGCTTATTTTGTCACAACTGTAAGAATGATTTGGTCTGCATAAGGTATTGTATACTGGAAATCTAAAATATGCAACAATAACAAAACAAGATGACAAATACAAACAACAGAAAGTACCTGAAAGAGCTCGTTTGTTGCATAGAATTGAAACTGGATACGAGTCGTATTTCTTTCTCCAGGAGGGAAATAGTTGTAGAGTTCAGAGGGCAGAGCGATGGTTGCATTTGTGTCAGGGAGCGGTTCACTCTCAAAGTTTTGGTTGATGAAAATCTGGGAAAAGCAGATCAAATTGGAGTCTAAAAAAAGTGTCTAATACAACCAGTTCTTGTCATTTCCTTAAAAGCTATATGTGACTCTTTCAGGGCATTCATGAAACAGGAAATGTTAAGTTGAGTTACTTTTGGAGTTCAAAGACAAACTGAAAAATGGCAATTTTTTTGCTTGTGGATATTTCTCACTAGTACAGTTTATAAACATATTGCATATATCATTTGTAGCGTCTCACCTCTGGATTCAGGGTTGGGGAAACTGAGGAGACACCAAAGGTGAGGCCACTGAATTTATTACGATTTACATTGATGAGGGACAGGGCCAGCAAGGGGGCTGTTATACTGACTGATTCATCTGGGAAATCCATATTGTTCGCCATTCTATCTGTCAGATTAAGGACACTACCAAAGACAAATGAAAATGAGAGTAACAATATAACATCAACATTTTAAAGGACAGGATTTAAAAGGAATATACATGTCTGCTGATCACATTTACAGAGATGCAACAGACCCTATCCACTTACATGCCAGCCACAGGAGTGAGGTCAGTTTTAGAGAGCAGGATATTTGCTACAATATTGACGATGTTTGCACCAACAGCAGGTGTGGTGCTGCTGATGTGAACCACCTCACGGAGCTTATCCACCACAGTATCCAGCTCAAAGGAAGAGAGCTCACTTTCACTGTCATTCAACTGGACATCTATAAGGTCCTGAATCATGTCCACAACCCCAGCCGCGTTACCTAGAAATCAAAGATGTCATTAAAGGTCCCATATTATACTGTTTTTCATCAATATATTATAGGTCTCAGATATATACAAAACATGTCTCTGAAGTGTTTGGCTTGAAATACCAAACAGATCATTGCAGCATCCCATAATCCCCTCTGTTTCAGCCCTGTTTCAAAAGTGCTGATTCTCTGTCTGTTACTTTAGATGAAAATAAGGAGCCACTCCCCACGCCCCTCTGAGAGATATTTGGTGAAAAAGAACACAATGGTGCTCTAGGAGGAGATTCAGGTGATAAGGTGGGTGTGTGTGGGGGGGGGGGGGGGGGGTTACCTTGGTTGGTGATTGGCTAATGGTTACACAAGCCAAAAAACCGTTATGACATAAAGTGGCCAAAATCTGATCAGCTCATTTTCAGACAGGTTTTTATATAAATGGATCGGGACAAAAAGTGAGCAAATCTTTTTTCCTGAAACTTTCAGAATCTCTTTACACAGAGGGGACACCTGTTTATGTACAAAAGACATGAAAAAGTGGATTTTGCACAATAGGTGACCACTAATGCTTTTTTTTGTGTTTAAGGCCACATTTTCCTCCTTGTGATTTAGTTTCGATGGAAGGAAAAGGAACAAACAAGGACAGCAACATGTTTATATTATCTTAATGAAAAAGTAATGAAAGTTCAGACTGAGTGTTTGACTACTTACCAGTAGTGACAGTGATATTGTCGAGGTCTGATATGGTCACAAGCTGCTGGCAATTTCTCATATCAGGATCAGCCCAGCTTGTCGTGTCAGTTTCAACGTCTAACTTACTGAAGAGATAATCAGAGGGAACAGAAATGACAGAGACAATTCATTTTCTCTCCGGTCGGTTTCAAAATTAATGTTTGTATTGGACCTCAAGTAAAGATAAAGATTGATAAAAAGCAATAAAAACACCTGTCCACTGCTAATGATTCAGTCTTAACAAGCATTAACAGCTTCACTAGTAGGACCATAAAACGGATTGCCCATGTCGTCCCTGGACTGATATTTATATTACATTTGGTAGAGATGATATGGAGGCCGTCATTACTCTAATAACCTGCTTATAGGAAATATATTTTATTTGCCTGAGCTGCAGGCTGGCAGGGCTCCATCAGTGTTTCATGTGTCAGTGTGTGCAGAGTGGGGGAGCGAGTGGAAACAGGACATTGTAATTGTCTCCCTGAGGTGTCTCTATGGCAACAGGCTAAGGTAAATAGGATCCAGCGAATAGAGCAATCTAAAGAAGAGTGTTGGCTCAGGCGATTCAGGTTTGTGTGAATAAATCATCATTATAACATTTTTGTCACAGTTGTAAATGACTATGCTTTATGATTGTATGAATTACATTATGTGATTTGCTGCTGTATAATGAGAGACAATAAAACACTTAATCTTTTTGGACAGCGTGATGATATGAGGATAAGTGCTGCTTATTGGCAAGTGTTTGGATTATAATCTTGATAATTTAATTGTCTGTGGTCATATATTATATACACTGAATAAATGGAAGTGAATATCTTACCAAAGCCTGAAGGCTCTTTTTGATTTTGGCTTATTGCATCCCATTTTTTGATTCTCCTGTGGAAATGATTCAGGCCAAATATATTCTCCGTATATTGTTGAAGTCTTTTCTTCCAAACAGTTTGCTGGCACTGAAAAATATTATATAAAGTTCTTAAGACTTTTCCATAAATGAATTCATATCTTTAACTGTGTACAGATATCCAGCTTACCTATGTGCTTGATAGCCACTTCCGTAGTTTGAATAATAATGGAGTTATTTACATACTTTGCTGTCAAGGTAGCATTAATAAAAGCTATACTTTCTGCCACAGTGTTTACGTTGTATTCCTGGACATTGAATGTGCAGTTATACCTGTGGATGAAATACGCAATTAGTGGCATAGAAAGCAGGCAGATCAGGTATTTTTCTGCAACATAAATCTTTTATAATAACCTACAGTTTTGGTTGGCTGTTAAAAATCTAAAAGAAAGGAGAGTAGAGAGATGGTACATTGTGAATATCAGTTATGGCAGTCGTATTAAATATGGTTGAAATGTACAGAACTCATAATATGTTAATCTAATTTGTCTTGTCTCACCATCAGTCCATTCGCCATGTTCCTATGAAATATTACAGACGAACAATAAGTCATCCAGAGCTTAAATATCATGTCAAATTAACATAGGATGCTATTGTAGTTTTGCAAAAATACCTGAAACTCATGTGACCCACCTGCCTACATTCTCCTTTATGATGACATTCAGCACTTCCATGGCATTCACCTCCAGCTGTTCTTTTAACTTTTCCAAAAGACAATAATTTAGTGTGCACACATTTCCTTTTTTGTTGTAAAAACTGCTTTATCCTGCAGTCGTGTGAGTCTCTTACCCATTTCTCAATAACTTCCTCTGGTTTTGTCGGGCTGCCAGTCATAGACAAGGTTAGATTCACTCTGAAGAACGTGTCCAGTGCAACAGCTGGAGTGTACAGACAACAGATAACACAACAGTGCATCTATACAGTACATGTGTATTTAATCATAATTCTGACCGATCATATTTCTGTATCACATTGTCTAACATTTTACCAAAACAAAAACGTGGTGTTCCTTGACTCAACAGCTGTTTTCTGTCCACTTAAGTGTATTCCCTTCACACCATAATATTTCCTACAAATGACCAGTTTGTCATTGTGACACTAAAATCAAGCAAGTAAAACGGTTTATGCCAGTCTTTAAACAAATGTGTCTGGTTGGGGATTGGGTTTCCAAAAATAATGCACGCAACCAGTACAACTTTACATTTATCACATTACATTATCACTTTAACACTGAATTCTAACATAACAATAAATTAAGTCATTGTTCCCTTCACATTTCATCTTGTCCATTCTCTTGTTTTTTCTTGCTTTCATCACTGTGTTGTGTATTGTTTTGTGTGCATTAGCAACTATTTTAATGTCTTCAGAAGTCTTATTGTGTTTTTGTTACATAGTGTTTTTTTGTGTTTATTTTGCTGCCATTCAGCAAGAAATATTCTTCTGTTATAGGGCAAAATGAAAAACTAAATATTGAGTCACACTTGGTCACAACTACAAACTTTGTTTTTAGAAACACAGAGAAGAATGTCTCTAGAGTGGGGCTAATGTTTTACTGCAGTTGTGTGTATGCATCACTAAATTAACCATTCACCAATTGCAGAAGAGTTCATTGTACTCTAAATTATCAGTTTGTTATGTTCGCACATCAAGGGACCATTTACAGTTAAACCCAGTGTCTGCTTACTTTCTATAAAACACAAGAACTGAACCAATATCATACAATTATGTACGTAAAGGTACTTTCAATAGAAAAGGTCAACCTTATGTGAAATGAACATACATCCTTATTTAAGACTATAAGAAAGGTCATAAAATGAGTGTTAATGTTTGACTGGTGCAATAGTCCATTAAAACATAACAGGAAGTGCATTTAGTGCGCAGTCTATACGTACCCACAGGCAGAATACTGATGCTGTTAGGGTAAGCTGTCAGGTTGAGGAAGTCGTAAGAGAAGGTCGAGTTCAACAACGAGAGAATGCTCGCCTGAACCACTTCAACTTCAGCAGCAGGAGTCACGTTGGCATTGACTTCACATCTGAAACTTTGCATTTATCACAATATATCACATAACAGGATATGTTGCTTGTTTTATGCAGCTTAAGGCAAGGCAAGGCAAGGCAAGTTTATTTATATAGCACTTTTCTGTACGCGACAATTCAAAGTGCTTTACAAAACAAATTAAAAGACTTTTTAGGAATAAATACAGTAAACACATTATATAATGGCATTTTACAACAGGCATTACAAAGCAATGTAAGTCATGCATCCCTCATATTCTGTCATTATTATTATTATTATCTTGTATTCATCTTACCACTTGTCACAGGTGGAGTTTGACAATGCTCTTAATTCCTGAAAACACACATCACATCATCAATCTTTAATAAAGAATTGTACACTTTCAGATGGTGACTTAAACTAACTGAATTATGTTAGTGTGATCCAAATCCAAAATCATTAATTTAGTTTGGAAAATTGAATTCAGTAATTTATCGTCTCAATAAAAGAAAACATTCATCCGTTCCCTAATCAGCTGGTCTTTAAGGATTTTAAGGAATTGCTACTTCTTTACATGTACAACTATTGTAATAGTGTTGTACCTGAGGTTGTTGCGCAGACAGAGCAGCAGAATTATTAACCACTCGGCAGGCACGGCTGTATGGAAACGGAGATAACGGAAATTACAGACAGGAATGTTGTGAAGGATTGCAACCATGATCACAGTATACATTTAGAATACAATATACAATGCACACAAGACCTATGTTGTTCCCACACACACACACACACACACACACACACACACACACACACACACACACACACACACACACACACACACACACACACACACACGCACACACGCACACGCACACACACACACACACACACACACACACACACACACACACACACACACACACACACACACACACACACACACACACACACACACACACACACACACACACACACTGGGAAGTGTTTACATAACCTGCATTAAATCAGCAATTGAGTTTGAACTACTTGTATTTTACTTAAGTATTTCTATTTCATGCTACTTGATACTTTTACCACGACTCAATTCCACAAACTTGATTTAAATGCTTTGGTAATGATTACTTTAAAGATAACATACAAAACAGTATGATTCACACAACATAATGCACTGTCATATATGAACGTGTCCAACAGTATATTAAATAGTTCAAATTGGTAACATCTCAACTGTCCTGTCCTCAAAAATCCTGAATTCCACATGAATGCATCAGTGTTAACAATGCAACAACATAATATATTATAGCACTTATAGAGTATTTCACAAATAATAAGTACACCGAGTAGTTTGGAAATATTTCAAATGCAGGACTTTTACTGTTAATTAAGAACGTTGCTGTTTTGCTATTCAAACTAAATACCTCAAGGTCCTACCAGCTGACAGGAGTGTTTAGCAAACACAAGTTGTGTTACCTTGGGGATGACACATGGATGTGCTGCACAGAGATGTTGTCAGGGAAGATGCTCTGCAACTGATAAGACATGACAACTAAGATTAATTATTTATCTGACTTGTTTGTCCAACGTCATTGTTTGCCCAATCCTATTGACACATCCAAACATTCGTCATACCCAGTTTTGTGTGACTTCCTCCAGTGACTTTGAACAATTCCCAGGCTCCGTAGAGGGAACCATGGATGTCCACATTTTGATTTTGTAGCGTGACCATGCTAAAGAAAAAGGAAAGAAAGTAGCTGATTCAAGTAATGCAGTATTAGTTTGACCCATAAACAGGTTTATGGCGAGCTGCTGCTGGACTCAGGAATGTGTTGTTTGCCTTTTCTTTGACCTTAAACTGCACTTACTGAACTACAAAGTACATTATCTGCCCCCTCATTCAACTCCAACCTACTGTAGAGTGCCTTGTTTTGTGATATATATATAATATATAACTCAAACTACATGAACATGAAGTGCAAAACAAAATGCCATACTGTAATATATATAATTACCACACTGTAGGTTGTTGTCAAGCTCAGGAAAGCAGTTGGATTTCCACTGCGTCAGGTCCCACCTCACCAGGTCTCCATCTGCACAGCTCTGTCCCCCCAGCTCCTCAGCGCTCCACTCTCTGGCCCACATCCTGAACCGACCAATCTCACCCAGCAGATCCTTCCCAGTCTCCCGCTTCACTTCACCGCTCATGATTATATGAGACATCCCCAGAGTCAGAGTGCCGTTTGGGGCCAGCTGTTGGTTTCGGAGGGGGTTCAAAGATACCTCATACTCACTACTTCCATTTATGTAGATCTGCAGCCTTCGAGCGTGGCCAGACCAGGTGACGCAGACAGAGTACCATTCATTCAGTTTCAATCCCCATTTCAAGCTGTGTTCTTCGTCAAACAGCCAAACTGACAGCTTTTTACTTGTGCCCCCAAGTCTCATGCGTCCTCCTCCTGGTGCTCTGTAGTCAAAACCTGTCCATTCTGTGTCGACGGTGCGGCGTAAAAGCGTGCACACAGTCACCTCCTTAAGGGCTGGTAGCACAACATCTGGCTGAAGCTGCCAGGTACACTTAGCAACTATGAATACCAGCTTCTTGCCCCACAGGCTAGTACTGGCAGAGGCAGCTGAAACAGTTGAAAAGACAAAATTGAAAAATTATGTATTGGATTACACTAAAAAGAAATGACTGACAGGCACAATATATGCCATCAAAACAATCAATTATTATCGATTGTGGCACAAATAGCACAATTATAAAAATTGCTAGTATTATAGACACTTTTTGTATTTACAGCTATTACTCTTTGTACATATTTGTAACATTGTCAAGTGCTCATTTATTTCTGTGAAATCTTACTTGAACCTAGGATCTGCCAACACAGACAGATTAGAGTTATAGATGACACGCTCCTGAAGGAGTTCATGACAGCAAACGCTTTCAATGTCAGTCAAGTGGTCATCTGCTGAAAGTTAACAATATGATAAACAGTTTTTAAAGTTGCACTCACCTTGAAATAACACAATTATATTGAACATAGCTTTATGTTGTTGAATAAATAACTTGGACTTACCACAATCATATCCTTGATATCTGAAGTTCAGAAAAAATCAATATCCGCTCACGAGAAGCGTCTGAGCCATGAGTCTGCTGTCAAGCGTCACTTCATTTCTCTATAAGAAGACCTCCACGCCCTCTCCCTGTAGTTCCCTGAGTTACTCATTAATCACCGGCAATAAACATAACTAACATGTATGATAAAGTTGCAACTTCATGAAATCTTGGAAAAAGGGAAGCTCTGAATTGACACATTTATGTCATTTGTTTGCAACTGGTATTTTGTGTCAGAGTTCCAGTGAGGGTTGTAATGGTCAAATACATCTCTTATCAAGGCTTAACATGAAAATAAATACTGCAGGATGTTGATACATGACACACACCCATGTTTGTGAAGATTTTGATGACACAGACAACATGGCTTGTGTCAATACATACAGTAACACACTTCCTTTTTTAAAATTCCACATGGATGCCTCTGAGAATTGGTTTTAATCTGAGAAAAGAAGATCTTGTTATGACCCAGACAATGGGTTTTGTGTGTGTGTGTGTGTGTGTGTGTGTGTGTGTGTGTGTGTGTGTGTGTGTGTGTGTGTGTGTGTGTGTGTGTGTGTGATGTGCTTGTTCTATATGTCAGGTCTGCAAACAGTAATATACTACTTTTGTGCTTTACAGTTCTTTACAGTATACTCAAGTAATAAATGTTCAAACAAATCTAATTGGCTTTTCTTTGTGACGCATGAAGGCCATGTCTGTCTTTTTTCTCAACTGTACACAGCTGAAAGTAAAGTCAGTCCATACGGCTTTACTTATCTGATCATTTGAGCCTAACCAATTCAAACAAACAATGTAGGCTACATCAATAACAGTTTCATTTTGTACACCCATATTCTCCTGTCAGTGTGGTGAAATGGAAACAAGTCAGGACATGTTTTTTTGTCAGTTGTATGGCTCCATACTACCACAAAGTGGTCAAAAAGTATATTGCAACTGAATTATTGTATGTCTCATTTTTTACAATTCATGTCCCAACAATGTCACAATTAGCGTGCCCTTCCAGATTGGAGCCTAAGAACAAAACAGTATTGGTTAAATATTAAATATTTTATTCCAGCTTGCAAACACACTGACACACACTTACGTACACACAAAGTATCTTTGTTTGGAACACATTTGTTAACAAGGGTCTCATTCATGCATTTTAATTACCTCCCGTTCTGCTCGTCTGAGAAGCTACAGCCAAAACAAGCGGGTTCCCCGGAGGGAATATGAGAAGACCAGGTGTGACGTCGGGCGTCCAGGTGGGGGACCTGAACGCCTCGTACTCATTTGGTAGACCGTTTGGGAACCTCTCCTGCGTCATCAGTGATGCAGAATTAGGGGCATTCCCGAAGATGTTTCCCACCACTCTACCTCTGAATGTGGAGAAAGTTCAGGCAAACCAAAGTGCCACGGATGGAAGCTGCAAATGACTGATAAGTCCATGAGAGATGCATTGCTTATCGAATCAAATCTACCAGTAAAATAGATTTTTTTTTCTGTAGGTTTTTCTTGTGTCTTTGCATGTGTAATGTTTGTTCACAAGTGAATACATACTTTTTAAAGGCTGCAGTTTCAGTGTAGGAAGAAAGAGGAGATTCTCCTCAGAAAAGGACCATGGACAGTTTGACAACCGAGGCTTGTCTCCATGCTGCTCTGCTGATGGTAAGTCTGACCTTAAAACATTTTCCTTTAACAACTTTCTAAAACGTTTTTGCTACATGATGCATTTGTCATTGCACTAATCAGCTTATTGGGTTACTCATTTTGTCTTCTTGTTGTTTAATGAATAGTGAATCAATCTACTAAGAATATATTTGTATGTGTTGAATGCATATAAACTTGTCTCAAGTAATATCTATTGTGTCATTTCCCTTTAATCTAGTTTATCAAACTGGGCTATTCCTTCTTTCAAGCTAAAGAAACATTTCTAACACATTTGACACAAATTGATCAAATGTTCATCCTTAGTGCAATGAGACAGGAAAAGAAGGTTATCAGAAGCCAATTATTTATCAAATATATGATAAAAACACCATCAAAGAAGCCTTTTTTCCTGCATAATAAGTCATTTTACTTGCTGTTAATTTGTCCATACTTTATCTTAAGCAATACTTTGATTGCAGGACTTTAATAGAGTGGTATTACTACTGCAACTTTATAATGATTCTAATTCATTCTTCCCCTACCCATTATTTTCAATGTGTGTTCCTCAGGTGTGGTTCATGCTGGTACGATCCGAGCCCAGCTGCGACCAGACGGAGTTTATACACACTAATGGCACATGTGTTGCGTGCCCTGTATGTGGGCCTGGAGAACAGCTCTCAGGGGTAACAAACATAACACTTTACAGTGGCTGCACATGTTTTTTTTACTTCTCTTGCTTCTTGTTTCCAACTCTGTATCGTGCATCATTCTCAGGACTGTGGTTTTGGAGATGGTGGAGAAGGTGTCTGTATTCTGTGTGAAGAAGGGAAGTTCAGTGCAGATACAGGTGTTGCTCCCTGCATGCGATGTACCCAGTGCAATCTGCTGAACCGCCTCCAGAAGACAGCATGCTCATCCACCAGTAATGCCCAGTGTGGTCAATGCCGTCCAGGGTGAGTGACACCTACTGTACAGAATCAGACACTTGATAAATATAGCATTTGTTTTTGAGTTAAGGGCATGAATGTGGTTGTGTGTACAGGTATTATGAACTCAGGAGCATGACTGGGGAGGTGGAGCTGCCCTGTGTGCCTTGTTTTAATCATGACACAGTTCATAAAGAGTGTTTGCTTTGGACAGCACAGGGCTCTAAAGCAGGTAAGAACCACGGATAAACCATGTAGACTGGATGACCATTTTAATTACATTGTATAAATGGATTGACTGGTGATTTTCCTAAGATGTTGTCAAGGAAAACTTGTAAGTCTTGTTCCCTGACAGAGAGTGCCGTCACTGCACCACGAGGACATCTCAAAGAACCTAAAGAAAATAGTAAGCAACACTGGATTTTCACAACCAGTGTTTAAGTTTAAACTCTTTTAACTGATTTTCTAATTATAGGAGTCAAAGAAGAATCATTCTCAATGGTCCTGATTGGTTCAGCCACAGCTTCCTCCATTTTCCTCATTGCTCTGCTGCTTTGGGCCGTCCTTCTGACTGCAGAGAGATTTAGTATGTTGGACGCATGATATTTGACACTTCTGCCATTTCTCCCCAACTGTCTCTTGTCTGCATTACTAATTTAGGTCATATATACTTGTTGCAATATTCAGAGCAGGTTCCTGCGTACTGTGCTGGCCCTGAAGAGCTTTTGTCTGCAGATGAGCTGCAGTACGCTCCTTTGTACAGCCCCACAGAGAGAGCAGCCATACAACCAGAGGGCCCTACACAGACACTTGTTCCAGCTCAAGATCCCCTAATGTAATTGCAAACATACAATACTTCACTGACCCTCGATCAGTCTCTATGTTATATATTTACATTGAATTTCCTCTCTACCCAGAGGACTGAACTCTCTGACCCATGAGCATGAGGTGCATCCTACTTCTATTGTGATAAATGTCACCACCAACATCAAGCCCTGCAGTCAGAACGAGGAGAACATCACACGGGAGGAGAAGCAAAAACACTGTACCATACAGGAGGTAAAGGGAATAACTTATCATATTTTTAGGAGTCATGGTGAGTCATGGCCAAGATCAGCAATAGATTATTAAATTGCTTTTAAATACTTTAAATAAAATGAGGCACTTCGAATTTAGTTTGATTGTTTATTCATACATGGTTTAAGTCCATGTTGTCAATTTTTCTTCACACAAATCAACATGAAATGTCCTTACCTTTGTCACACAAACAAAATGAATAAATTACCCATTGTTGTTTGCAGCCAGGGAGACAGTATTGGTTTTACTTGTTGAGATTTCCGCCATTACCCCCAAATGGGATGAATGGAATTTCATTTGTGATAAACAAAAAAAACACGGGGTAATGAATTCTGTGATACTTAAACAGTTAACAGTAAGACACAGATTAAACAGACTATAATGAATGACAGGCTGACTCTAAGCTACTGATCAAGCACTGTGTCTCAGGCCTGTGCTAACAAGTACGATCATGAGTGCAATGCAGAACACCCGCCTGCAAGAGAGTGCCCAAAGCAAGACATTTAATACCATTCAAACCTTTAGTCATGTTTGGTGTCAGGTGTGTTGAGGCATATATATTGCAGGGATCAGTGAGGAGGAAGTTATATTGAAATGGCCTTGTTGTGAGACAGTTACTGCTCAAAGACAATGACTTGAACAGACTACAACTGGGGCATATGACTACCGTGTCCTGCATGAGCTAACACAACGCTTGGTTTCAGGGGATTAAAATAGCTCAACAAGCCCTCTACTGTTTTAATTCAGCACTGAACATTGCAGGGCCAATGCTAACCTAGGAGTAAAGTAACACTTTCATGTATTTTTCTGCTGTAAAAATAACAATGTCATCTTTTATGTCAATAACAGATGGAGCAAAAGCTTCTGACCATATGGGAAGTGGCTCAAGGTAGGTTTGTTTTCTTCTTTAGAGTTAGCTTGTTGTTCTTAAGTTTCAAAGATAAGAGTCCATGATAAATGTGTTGTAGTGGGTTGATGTATTCAGCTGTTGGCGCTTTTCTCTGAAGTCGACGTTGGATTTTCTAATTAGTACAAACAATTGTCTCGTTTGTAAATGCATATATCTTGCTTTCCATTGCTAAATTACAAACCTGGTTGTGCATTGTTGAAACTCAATACAAATATTTGGATCTGAAGTTGACGTTGGTGTTTCTGTTTTGACTCTGTCCAGGTCAGAGTATCGAGAAGCTGGACTATGACTCGGTCCAGGACTTGTCTCTGCTGCTTGACTCAGCTGACAACAGGAACGTGTTGAGGAAACTGGGACGGTCTTTGGGTGTCCCACCTCAGGTCAACGCTCATATTCAAGGCTTCCAGGATCTCTTTCAGTACCTGCGCACCTCCACCTACACCCTGCTGCCCCACCTGGCCCAGGCTGCTGCGCTCCTGCCTAATCCTGAAGTTGTTGCTAGGATACACAGAGCTGTGGTGAACACTTAGACCCCAGGGATCCGTTACCATGACTTCAACAGTATTTCTGACCCACTTTTCACACTGTTACCAGATGCATGACCTGATGAGTCTAAGTTTTATTCCTGGGACACAAACATATTCTCTTTATTGCAATCAATTGACTTTTAGTGGGATACTTGTAATGAAAAAGCAAATCTGTGACAAGAACTGACATATTTATTTCAGTTAATTGTCCATTGTTGTGCTTTATTTGTTTGTGTATTTGCTTTACCTCAATAAATGCATTGTTTCTAATACATGTCACATGATACTTTAAGTTAAATGAGAAGAAGTCATAATGTGTGCTGCTTATGGTGTTGAATAACACAATATCCAGGTCATTGTAATCAAACCCTACATGCAGTGTTACTTCCTGTTTACCATGTAAAATAGATGAGAGGCCCTCTGGCTAAGGCATGTGAGACGGGCCAGGACAGAGGACACAGTGTTCATGGAAAGAGAAAGAACATAGAGCCCTGAGAAAATGCGTTATTCTCTCATTGGGACAACTTTACCAACTGATCATTTTTCCTTGAACGCTTGCTTTGCAGCTTCTTCATCACCCTCAATCTGGTAAGGTTTAACTTTATCCTCACATCAATATTTTCCTAAAAAGCAACTCATTACATAATTCTCAGGTTTACTGTGCTGCTTAATACTTATATTTCTTCTTCTCTAAAAAATATGTCATATAATTAGGTTAAATGACCAATATTGATATCCCTAAAGTGTTTTCATTTTTCTAATGTAACATGTTTGTGTCATGGAAGTATCATGACTGTTTTATTAATTAAGCCGTTAATTGGCTCCAACACTTCAATGCTGGTTTACACAGTTTCTTGTGAACAAACTCTACATTAGCGTTCAACAACTGCCATCTGCCGACAGGGGGCGCTGTTGGGTGTTTTAGCTTATTAGCCTAGCATTTTACTAGCAAATTCTTAGCTCGTTTATTCATAAGATGAACCACTACGATCCACAAATACTGGCCTATCTTGCAGTTTGCACGACGTTTAGATTATGTGCAATGAAACGGCTTTATTAGCCAAGTATGTTTGGGGAATTTGACTATGTTTTTTGTTGGTAAATGTAAAGTGCCTTGTCTTTACAAAAAACACTCTATTCATATTATTAATATAATCATACATGTTATTATTATAATCAGAAATAGACATAAACCCTCAGTTATAAATAAGGACAACAAAGCTGAATATTATACACAGAGAAATATTATGCACATAATGGTGAATAAAGAGATACACACACGCACACACACACACACACACACACACACACACACACACACACACACACACACACACACACACACACACACACACACACACACACACACACACACACACACACATTAATTGGAAACAATAAGGAATTACATATGCAAAATATATATCTTCAAGGAAAAATGTATACAAAGAATATTCCAAAAATAATAAATATTGAATTAACATAGATATCAAGTATTTTGCCCTGCCCATAAGTATGTTAACATGTACTTTTCCAAAAGCAAAAACTTTACATTAACAGGGCAGCACTTTTTTTCCTTTTTTTTGTATTGAACTTATTTAGAACATACAAAAGCTCGGTGAGGATATCTTCAAGTTATCAACAAAAGTGCAACAAAAAAAAGACAATAAAATGACATTAATTCACAATAAGACAAAAAACATAAATAATACATCCAATAAGAGCCAGGGGGAAAGAAAAAGCATAAAGGCACACAAACATTTAAGAGGCATTAAGCGTACTTAAAATAATAACCATTTGGAAATGTCATTGTAAATCTTTATAGACAGGTTACAAGATTGTATTTTTAAGGGACAGACACGGCAGCATTTTGAAGGCTTAGTTCCTGTTAGGTTGTTGGTTTCCGTGAACCGGTCAGAGTGAGCCCTCTCTCTTCCTGTCTCTGGTGTCCACGTCCCCGTGCTCTCCTACCGGCTGCGATGTGTTACGCGCCCCTGCTTTAGAAAAAAACAGAGAAGGAAAACTTCATAGAAATGGCGGAGGGTACTACGACTCTCAAAGGCTTGCGAGCCCAAATGGGTAAGAAACATCTTGGCAGTCGTGGTTATTTCAACCCACTTGTGTTTTACAATGTAGTCAACACTTTGTAATGTGTGTGTGCCGCTGCCGCCGCTAACCGGGGTATTTGAACGAGTTGTAAGGAAACCAGGCTAGTAACGTTAGCTCGCTGTCCGGGTATCTGCTGACAATGGATGCGGAGAAATATGCAACTTCTTCTAAATAAGTTAATGTGGATAATCTATGTTAGTGGATATGTGGTAAAGCTCCTGGGTTTAGCGACGTAGCTAATGTTAGCTAAAGTTGTGACGTTATTTTAGTAGCCGGGTTTGAAAGCCGGTTGACATATCACGACTTGTCTGGCGCCTAGCTCAACTAGCTGTGCTTTAGCTTTGTTTTACCGCATTTTAATCTCGTTTTCTGACAAAGTGCAGCTGTGTGGATATATTAGACAAGATGGACAAACTTGTAATGCTTAGTAAACGAAGCTAACTACGTTGTAACTGCCATTCTCCAGTAGGTTAGATAACGCTGCGCATCACTTGGGGATTATTGTCAAAAGTGATCATCTGCTAACCCTATCAGGAAGAGTTCAGGAAGCTCGTTTCTTTGCACGTTAAAGTTGACAGCGATGGGAAAAGATGCCTTCAGGAGACACTTTATATTGCCATGTTGTATCTTCTTGCTCAGAACTCCTCTTGTCTTACACAAAACTGTATTTTCTCCTCTATATCCATTGGACAGTTATGCTTATTTGTTGACATATGGCATAACCCCCTCCACTCTCCGGGGAGGGGAACTATAACAATGTCTGACCTGAATTTGAAATATAGCTCAACACTGAGCAGTGTCAGACACGCATCTCTGATAAGAGAATAAGGCTGCATCGCTGCTTTAGTGAAGGAGTTTTAGTTGGACCAGCAGCCCTATAAGAGCTCTGTTAAGCAGAAGGCACATTGCTTTTTTTGTAAATAGTACTTTATTGGCCAGCGGCAAAGTCTATCAATGCTTCTCATCCATGCCTCAGCTGGCCCCTTCCAGACGCAGACATGTTTACTGTGTCTGTATCTGTGGGCATGAATGCACAGTTTGTTATGACTCGAGCTGCAGTTGGTTTCACCGTTTTTCTTAGTGTTTTAGGGCAAAAGGGAGTTCTCTGCATACCCAGTGTGGGTGTAGGCATGTTTTACTCCTGGCTGGATCGTATTTAGTACATATTCTTCCTGTTTCCCTTGACTTTCCATTCAGTTCTTTAAATTTGGAATTTACGCCCCCACCCAGTTCTGTGGTTTTATGAAAATATCCACCACTTTAAGAGTGATGTGAGATGTAGGAATTCTCGCACTGTGAGGAATAAAAGGATGTCCTCTTGCTCGGCCTTCAGTTAGCAGAGGACTGACAATGATCAAATAATGCCAAGAATCTTATGTGCATTTCCACAAGAATGTGAGCAAGGTTAAAATGTACCCTGCTATTATGGAAGCAGATCACACTGCTGCAAGTCACACTGCAAGCAAGGCTGTCCTGATCCTGGCTCAGCAATTGCTGCTGCAGAATTAAAAGCATGAGAAGTATTTCTGAACTGGTCGGATTTAACCAAAGGAGGAAATGGATCAGCGGCAGCCTCATTTTCATTGTCTGTTTCTTGGATCTATCCGTTTAGCTCTGCTGTTCTAGTACAGATGCTCCCTCTCTATTTTATTTCAACATTTTACATTGACTGACAGGATGTGTTACAGTATGTGTGTACACACACCAAAGATTTGAATAGCAAAACATCTCAATTTGTATAGGCTATAACTAAAGGGCAGTCAACATCAGTCAACATCCTGGCCTACCTTTCCTGAGGATTTTTTGTTTGGGGTCATTTCCCTTTTGCAATCAGTTCCAAATGTTCCACTAGTTGTATTCTCTTTTGATGCTGGTACATTGTAAACAAAGACCACAACTATAATTAAGGCGTGTCGTGAAAGTTTGATTCAATTCTGTATCATGTTACAGTATGTAGGATGTTTGGTTTGTCCCTCTTGGTTCTAATTTGTTAAATAATTACAGGTGTAAAAGACTATTAAAGTTTATTTACGGTCTGTGTCTTGGTAAGTACCTAGTACTTCCAAAATACATTTTTGTGATATATCTGTAGTGTGATGTGTTTAATAAGAACTGACATAAAACTAAAAATAAATGCACTGAAGGTTCTGGACCTAAGCGCCCGATGACTTATGATAAAGAATTTGATTTGAAAAAAGTTAAGCAACAACTGTATTAATAATGCATTTGTATGATCCCATCCACTTGATGCCCATCTCCACAAGGGAATGTGGTCCAGCTGGAAGAGGAGACTCCTCAGGAAACTGGGATGTGTCATCATTATCCTGCCAGTCCTGCAAATAGCCATGGCTTACCTTTGCATGAACACGTCCTCTGTAATCCCATAGAAGATCTGGTGTGCCGTGCATGTTAGTGCACGTGTGAGCGTGCATCAGCAGTGTTATCTGAGGACCTGAAATCTCCAGCCAGCCATGGGAAGCTCTCTATGCCATAGATAGTCAAGAAGCCAAGTGATAGACCTTGCAGGGTTCACTGAGATTTAGGACAAAATTAACAAGGTAAAAGGAACTTTTGTTTTGGTGATTGAATTAAGCTGTTATAGTGTTTGGTTGGAGTTGAAAAATCCCTATGTACTTTGAGTACTTTGTGGCAAATGTCTGTCCGCCCTTGCTTTAAGCACTTCCTGTGCAGAAGCTACTTAATTGTCCTGAGCAGGCGGGCTCATTAAAGGCTGCAGAAGAGGGACAGAAGACGGTCAAACCCACTCTTACTTACCAACATTACCAACATTGTCTCCTGCCAAAATATGTCCAAATGATTCTTGTTATTTAGAAAACTAGCATTTGATCAGTGTTAGCATTCGGACATAAGTGTTATGAAGTATTGTAGGCTGCCCTGTTTCCTGTTAAGTGTTTTTTTCAGGCCTGCAGAGCCGGGTCATCCCCCCCACTCCCTGGTGGCCTTTACTGCCGCCATCATAACCCGGCAGCCTGAAGGTTGAACCACATCAATCAATAGGTATAGGCCTGTATGTGGCACTTAACATCCAGTGGTTTTGAGCATCTCCTAGTCTCCTACTACCTACAACTGCTGGATGATGTTGTAATAAGTGTCAATATAGCTAAAGAAATATACATATTCAATCTGCTGAATATTAACAAACAGAATATTAATTTAATAAGTCATTGAAATATATATATTTTTTTATTACCACATCATTGAGTTAGAAAACGCACACTCCAGCCCCTGCTCATTGGAGTTTTAACCTGATACCCGCCCAACCCTTCTGCCAACATAAACCTGAACAATAGATCATGTAGCGTTAGATAATGAAATTGATCAGCCCAGTGTATAATGAGTGCCAGGTTAATTACTTGTGGTTTTGTCCCTCTAACTTATTAAAGTGTCTAGCCAGGTCTGTCGATGCAGCAATGATTTATGTTAATATTTGCAAATCTCCATAGTGATGATGGAGTGATTAAAGACAGCTCCTCTGATTGGCTCTTTTTATTTCTATGAGCACACCTGGCTCTCTTGTGGTCTGTTGGTAAACAGGATCTCTTCTCCCATCTCATTCCAGTATTTGAATCAACACGTCAATGTGTGCATCAGATTCAGAGCAAGCGCCTCTTTCTGACTTGGGTCTTTTATGCCCTTAAATTGAACAGTAAGTTCACCGGGCAGGGACATCCTCTGTGGTTGTGGCTCTTAGAAAATTCAGTTAAATCTTAACAGTTCGCAGGTTTTGCGACTGAAAAAAATATTACAGATTGTGATTTCACACATAAGTAGTGTCTTAACAGTTGGTACATTTTCAGCGTTTTCTCTCTGCTTTCTTTGACGTACCTAATGTCCTGTAGTGTAAGAAGCTCTTACCATTGAAGCTTAATATTTGTGTTTTAAATAGTTTACAGTATTTAGTTTGAGCTGCCCCTTCATAGATTTATTATCAATCCACAGATTGCAATATCTGCATCATGCCATGATTGATTGTGAATGTACTGTAAGTTGTACAGCCCAACTAAGTAATTGTTGCTTGTAAGTTAGTTGACACATCAGTCTGATGAGAAGGCTTCAAAGCTTTACCGACATGTTTTATATGTATTTAGCTATGAGTCATGTCCTCTCAGATTCCATGTCTACCTTGATGCAGGCTTAAGCACGGCTGGCTGAGAGCTCTTCATCCATCCTGAGCTGCTCAGTGCATCACTTAGCAACAGTTACCCTGCAACACAGGCGGCCTGGCATTTATTGATTGTATTTTTGTTGCCATTTATATGAATCTTTGGAGGCTAAGAAAAACACGGAGACACGATCCTGGGCAGTCTTCTGCACAACTGGCCCCTGAGCCTCAGAGATACAACAGCTGAGCATCAATTTAAACATTTTGATGTAGAAATAAAGCTGTTCTAATTGTGTGTATCATTTGTACCCTAGATATAGATGGCATTTCCATCTGAGTATAGATCAGCTCTTTTGGCCCACAGTGCCTCGACTGCTTTTCCTGTCTTCTCTCTCGAGGAAAGAAGAATGTTTGTGTTGTCACAAAAACGTCACAAAATCCATGTGCTAAGAAACTGTCTGCTAAACATGTGTGATACCGTACCATGCTAAATCATAGGCTTGCGTTTAAGATCAGTGTGTTCTTTATGGTATTGTATTACCCACCACATATACAATCATATAGCATGGATTCTTGTGAATGATAGTCATTTGTCAAATACACAACAACAATATGCTCTATATGGTAGAAATGCATTGAAATCAAATATGTTGCTCTTTCACCCACTGTTTGGCCTACTTATGACAAGTGAGATTGAAAAAAGGAAGTCTGAGAACAAAACTAAGTGGGCAGAAGAACACTTCTACAAGGCGCTAGCTGCAGACTTTGACCCTCTAGAGCTGGATGTCATCGATGCTGCTGCAGAATACAGATAATCAGTGCATGGTTACTTGCTACAGCTCCTGCTAACCTATACCTGGTTTGTTACAGCTACTTCAGGAGGGATGTTAGGTCAAAAATGTATCCGAGACTAACGTTATCAGTCTCAAAATGATTGATTCTTATTTCTTTTGTCTGCATTAACACATTTTGTTTGGTTTAGGGGCGCAAACAATGCATATTTGATATTGAACTAATGTTATCTCTTCTTTTGTCCTGTCAGGCTTTTTGCCCGCTTTCTTGTCTGCTTTTCAGAGAGCAAGGCAGGAGAGTGTAGAGTACATTTCCATAGAGATAGGACATGCTCACCACACTGTGCACGGAGTAACCATGCTCTATGCCTGTGGTGGGCCCAGCGTGAATGTTTTCCATACGCTATGGAAACCATGGTAAAAGGTGTTGCTTATATGAACCATTCATCATCATATAACCATTCAATTCACTGACTAAGGCTGCACTTCCTATAGTTGCTTTGTGAAGAAAAGCCTTCCATGGATACGCTGATGGGAAGAGTTTGATGTGAAGTAGCAGATATTCTTTAGCTTGCATTAGCAACATCCTAATGATGTGTTCAAGTACGGGTGGGGGAAGGTGACAATACGGTATTTGTTTACTATCAGAGTTTTATCACACAATATATTGATATTGCAAGATAAAACTACCCTTCCCCTTCCCTTTATCAGACACTACTTAAAGAGGAGCAGATCTGAAGTGTGGCTACTTAATGTTGGAAATAAAATAAAAGTCCTCGAGTGCGGGTATACACTGCTTCGAGGCACATCATGACTCTGCAAATCATGACTCGGCAAATCATGTTACAAGCAATGGAAATAAGCCATGTTTTCTCTCGTCTCTCTGAAAGCTGAGGGAGAGGCAGTACTAATGGGCTTTAAGTTCACTTGGTCAACATTGGATTGGCTTTTCTGTGATACTAAAGCCTACAAATCAATATGGTTTACAAATCTTTATATTTATTTTTCCACATTAAGGGTTTTTATTGATGACCCTAATGTTTGATATTCTTTATCCAAGTGAGTCAATACTGCTGGTGTATTTGCCTGTTGTAGATTAATGACTAGAAACTGCATACACTACGACGGATCATTTTCAAGATATTTCTTTTAGATTCACAATTAATTTAACTATCATTGTTTTGTTTGTGTTAGATTCAGTAGCATACTCTCCGATTTTAGAAGTTTCTCTGGCCATGCTTTTTAACTGTATAACCACAAAACACAAGTTAATGGTGACAGTTTATGTAATTTGCAGTACAATAAATAGGCTTACACTTTGAAGAGACAAGGTTATATAAACATAATTGTAATGATAATAACAGTCATCGAAAGTTGTATTCATTTTTATTACATGCAAATTGAAATGAGTAGTTTTATTGGGTTGTAACAACATTAAAATGTTATGTTAGAGAAAGAGATTGGGAGGGCCTTTACGAACTCAGAAGTGTTCATCAGTGGTGTGCATATCACATGACTGACCCTCAGTGTCTCTGTCAGCAGTTCTGTAATGCTGAACACACACCGACAAAGTGGGAAAGAGGCTGGAGAAAAGGCTGATACCAGGACACATAAAGCTTAATCATTTCCTCACTGCGTCCTTCCTTTCCGCCCCTGTATCTCCTATTCATGATTTCCCTGTTAATAGATTTGACTGTGCTATTGGCTCTTTGTTGGTCCGGGTGGGAGAGTTCATACTTGCTACCATAAGAGCATGTTTGTAACCTGTATGTGAACTTGCTCCATAGCGTTTGGGTAATATATTAAAATGAAAACAGCATGTAGTCTATAGAATGCACAAGAAAATAAAAAATTAAACCGCTTCAAGCACAGGACGACTTGGAATTGGAGTAGTTTGGTGTAACCCTAGTAAGTTGTGCACCCCTGGCGTATTAGCTGTATACCGGGAAGCTCACAAGAGTTTGATTCCAGACATGTTTCTCACAGCAGCCCATCCCTCCTAGCTTGTCACAGGAAGCAGTGTATAGCTGGCTACAGGGTTGACCATGAGCGGGGGGTTATGTCAGACGGCTGAATAGCTGGATTGTTCTGTAGCTTCAAATCCGTTGGATCTGTCTGAATGAGCATTCCTATTGAGAACAAAGTGGCTGATTTACACTTGAAGGAGAACCCAAAGAAATTCTGATCACTAGATAGTATTTGATATCCCAGCTTTGCAAGACATGACATGATGTGGCTGTAGTTCTTGGTTTTTTAAACTGCGGATGTATGTGTGTTTCCTACAGCTGCAGCTGCACAGGCCCAAGCCGAGGAGCGGCGCAGCCTGGCAGATAACAGCCCAGGACCTACAACCAACGCTCCAGCTAAACCTCAGGGGAATAGGCCAGGTAAAAGACACCACATGGTGACACAGAAACAGATTGGTTCCCACAGACACTGCCCTGTCACCGCTCTATTGTATTCCATAATCTGAACCATTAGATGCAACACAATCCACTTCCAGCACCCTGTCAGTGTAGCTTACTGCAGGTGAAGCTTAGTCATTATCTTATTACTGTATCTACAATGACAGTCACATGCACACGCCTGCTTCCTGATTCAAAGCTGTTGTAACGCTGCGCTGCGTTCTAATTCTCTCCTTTGTTTTCTGAATATGCGCTGCTGATATGTTTTACCTTTTTAACCACATGAATACATGTATGTGTTTGCAGTCATTGACGGTGCTGCACTTAGAATAGACGACCGACTGCGAGTGGCAAAAGAGAGGCGAGAGGAGGCAGAGAAACAGCAGGGTGAGTCGGCTATCCGACTATCAGCTATGGGCTCTCAGTTCCTGTTTCAAATGATTTTAGCCGTAGCTTTAGAAATCATACTATAATACGTGTCTCTTCTTCCTGCATGTATGCACATATTGTATGTGTGATCAGCTTTGCGAGACTCTCATATCATGGATCGGGAGCGCAAGGCCAAGATGCAAGTGGAGCGGCAGGTGGAGGAGCGACAGAAAAAGCTTGACGAACAGAAAAGAAAGGAGGAACAGAAAAGATTGGCTGTGGAGGAGAAGAGGAAGCAGAAACAGGAAGAGGAAAAGGTAGCTGCAGGCTTATTTTTGCCCAGTTCATTTGACTCGTGTGGCTAAAATAATTCAAATGTCATCGAAACACAGGTTTATGTTGCAGAGTTTCCTTTGTATATATTTTATAAAGAGAGGAAATAATCTGACAGTGTAAAAGGCAAAATATAACAACTATTTATAATATATATTGTGGTTATGACATTGTTTAGTCTTCTTCACTTAAGGGTTTATACGGCTAAATGAATTGTAAATATCTCTTCCTCTCTGTGATGCTGAAGGAGCACTATGAGGCAGTGATGCGGCGGACTTTAGAGCGCAGTCAGCGTGTGGAGCAGAGACAGAAAAGATGGTCCTGGGGGGGGACTGTCCACAGACTCAGATGGACGGACAGGTAGAGGCACTTCCTTCACCCGTATACAAGTCCACCCCTTTCTCTTCTGTTACCATGGTGCATTAAAGAGCCAGTAAGGTTACATGGAAATCTCAATGCTAGACATGGAAGTCGTCACGTTGATAATGGGATTATGGTTTATCAAAGACGCAATTCTATCCAGACTAGGGCTGTGCGATTATGGCAAAAATCATAATCACGATTATTTGGGTCAATAATTGATATCACGATTATTAAATACGATTATTCATTGACTTTGAAAAAATCCATTTATTGAACTTTAAAACAAATACAAATAATAATTTGAACAGTATCTTTTTAACTGTTGATTTCCCTGAACGTATAATTCAACTGAAAAACCAATACAAAAATAAATGATACATTTATATTTACATTTAAATAAATAATATCAAAATAATAAATACCAATAAACAAGATCAACAAATATTTTGGAGCGCACTTCCACAAGCTACTAAACATATATATATATAATAAATAAATTAGACCAAAATTAATTAGATCAAATATGTTGCAGTGCACTGTCACAACCTAGCAAAGCAAAATAATTGTTTTTTCCGATATTATGTTGTTTTCGTAATTGTGGCAGGCCAAAATCGTAATTGCGATTAAAATACGATTAATTGCACAGCCCTAATCCAGACACAACACAAACAAGCAATTCAAAGCTACTTTTTGCCAGACCCTTAGCTGTATTCTGTTAACGTGCTCGCAAGCTGGTACACATGACACTTGGCCTGAATGTTATCATCTTAGGCAAAGTACTTTTTCATAAATACAGAGAGGTAACTGTTTTTTTTGTATTACTGTGATTCATACAAAAGTAACTTGTGATGCCATATTCACACAAATATGTTGATATGTTTTTCATTTGTAGGGGCAGCCGCATCTTTAATAACATTGATGTTAGCAGCTAACGGGTTATCAGTCAAGCATTATTTCTTGATTTATTTATTTCCAATGAATAGCTTCAAATCTGAATCCCGAAGCGACAAAGAGAGTCCCTAATAAGACCGGTAAAGTGGATTTCTAAACAATCTTATTAAGTCAACACTCAAATTGTTACTATATCTTGCTGACAGTACTGTCAAAATGTCAGCAGTATGCAAGCCTTGCAAGATCAGAATATATAATTTAAATGAATAGTCTGTCAAACTCTCACAACACTACCTGCATGTGAACACTTAATGCCACTGTACAATCACTCTCACAGTTGGAAGTTGCAGAAATCTGAATAACTTTTGTAACTATGAAAGACATGGGTAATTTAAATGACATTTTGTTTATATGGTTGAGGTACTATCTGATGACTCTTTGGCAAATCCTCTTATCGGTATATCTTGTAATTTAGTCACTGGGTGTCAGGCAAAGGCTGAGGGCTTGTCTCTCTTGTATGAAGGATGTGCCTCGGCATCTTGTGTTTTATGGCTCCTCTCTGAGAGCTGTCTTTCCCCACAGGAGACTCTGATGCCGGTGCCTCCTCTCCAGTAACTATAGTTATCTCCCCTGCCTCGCCAGAAAAGCCTCCAACGAGTCGACAAGGTTTTGTTTGTTGATAATATGCTCACCAATGTAGCAACACAGCATGGACTGGCACTCTAGATATCTTGGTTACCTACTATGCTTTCCACAGCCCCCACCCCACCCACCCCACCAACCCCCACCTGCAGTCTAACTGGCAGCTTTTCACTAACAGTTTTTGTATGGGTGGCCTGTGTTCTTCTGAATGTGCCTTTTTTTGGGGTGAAAAGCTGAAAGTGAAGCTTTAGGTTTTTCACTCACTCACACTGTCAAGCACCTCCGGCTCACACAGGCGACTTTGCATGGAAGTCCAATCTAATGGCACACAAAAAACAGGACTAATATCAGCTCTGGATTCTCTGGCACGGATCCTGTCGTGTTCGTGATGCTCTTTATAAGTGTGTGTTGTTCACTAACCACCGTGCTTTGCTTTAAAACCACAACAACTTCGTTATGGTTTGACAAAAATGTACATTCTCATGTTAAACATGATATTTATCGACATATTCATGCTTTATATCATGTGTTTTGCTACGTGTGCATCACTAAATGTGCACTGCATTAGTAGCACGTTAGATCAATGTGTAAGGGGGGACAGTATATCAGGGTATGTAGCTGCTATGTTTTAATCTTAGGAATAGTAATGAAACCGCATATATCCCTTTATTACCATCTTGCAGTTCCTTGTTCTCCCTTGTGTGCAACCAAATGCCCTCCTCCATTGGCCCACCTCTAGTGTAAACCCCTCCTCCCTTGTCTGTCTCTCCTCCTCCCTTGTAGTTGACAAGCGCTCCACATCCACCATGAACCTGAAACAGATGTCCGAGCCTGGCATCAGTAAACGCCTATCCTCCTCCTCTGCCACCCTTATAAAATCTCCCGACAAACGTAAGTCTCCTCTTTTCCCTCTCTCCTTCTCCTTCCCTCCCTTCCTCATTTGCTCCCTCCCTCCCTCCCTCCCTTCATCTGGCTGACCCCTTACCCTCCCTGCCCTCCTGTGCTGTCTCTAAACCAACAGATCTTGGTCCAAACAGACTTATTATCAGCCAGGTTTCTAATGTTTAAGTTCTACCAGGTGAACAAAACAAATCCTGGACTGATCTCTGATTCTTGTACTCTCCATGTCCAGGACTTTACACACAGGCTCACTGGAGCACTGACAGACTGGTAAACTCATGTTAGCTCTCTGTCTCCGTTCCTGCTAATGACAAGTATGCTACTTGCCTTCTAAATCCATAAAAAGTCATCTCTATAAAGCATTGAATCAAATTTCATTTCAAATGTTCCGAATCAGAAGGGGATCCAAGCACCAGCAGGTGATTCATTCATAAATGTGCTCATAGTGGTAAAGTAGCCTGTCACAGTATTCCTAATCATATTTGATTCACAAAAATCAACACAATTAGCTGATTTTGACATTTCACTATAATTTCACTGGACTGCCAGTTCCTTTTTCTGTTTTCTGATATTGTTGATTCTCTTTTTCTCTCAACCTCATATTTCAGCTTTTCTTTTTCTAGGCCTTTGAGAATATCTTTTAAGAAGTCCGAGATACTTTTTTCCATTCACAAGACATGACTAAATTCACCGTTGGGTGTTTCATCATTGTCTCCCAGGTGTTAAGCAGAGGAGTTCGTCTTGTAACCGGTTGCCTAACAATGGCAATGCTGCTCAGGCCAGTAAGGAAGACGGCAAAAAGCTTCAGGTGGAACCGACAGGTGCAAACAATTCCAACAATATGCTTTTGTAACAAAGATGGTGTACTGTGCACAATTTAGCAAACCACCACAGTTTATATAGAAAACCTAAGCTTTGTCACAGGTATGACAACTACAAAGCAGGCTGACTTTTTACATGCTAAAGGATTACACACTTTTTTAATACTACAACTGGGTACCTGCATCATGTCCTGAATTATTCTCACATTGGGAAGTTAGCACTCTCCTCTGTATACTTGTGTGTACGTTATCTATTTAGACTTCACGTCAGCTGCTGTCTGCCCTAGCCCGGTGACTCACACAACGCCAAATGAAGCGCACATGACTTGTAAACTGTCTTTGGGGATTCCTTGTGGACTCCAGTGCCTGCTTGGCTGTAACTCCACTCTCATGTCCATAGGCCGTTCCCTCAAGAAGAGAAGTTCCTCCCTCACACGAGTAAGTGCGGGCAGAGCACAGACTCCTGCCAAGCCTGATAAGGGGACAACGGATAATCAAGGTGGCTAGCATGAACCATCGGCAAACGTTTTTTCTAATGCCACTATCTGCATCACTCAGGCAACCCTTTTTTTAAATAACAAGCATGTCGCTATCATGTTCACAGCTTGCTCACCCTGAATTTTGCTCGGATTTTAAAACTTCATCAGCACTGTCGGCTACTAAGAGGTTTTGGGATAACACATGGCTTTTTTCAGTGTCATCGGCTTTATTTGTCCTTATAAACGGGCCAACTCTTCATGTGTTTCCTTTTCTTCTGTCTACGTTCTCTTCCAATTAAGCATTGCTCACTGACTGCTGAATTATCCCTAGGCAGCTGCTAAGCCTCTCTAAACTGTGTCTGTGATTTACTGGGAACACTAGGTATGCCTTAACCTCTCTGCTAATTGAACCTACCAGATCCCTTTCCGTGCCTGACTGTGCCATGTTTCTTACTGACAGATTATCTTTCTCTTTTAACCTTTTTTTAATTGTTTTATCAAGGAATGGTTATGTTGTGCTGTGCCTGCACTAACACAGTGAATTGTTGTGTTGTCACAAAGTGTTGATTGTTTTCTCCCTCCAAGATGACGTCATATTTCAGTCTCTAGGCTCGTGCTCCATCGTGGTGTTTGTCAGTGCCATCCCACCATTGCACCCCCAGAGCACCGGAATATTCACAGCAACTCACTGCAGTCTGTGTATAACCATTAACCACCAATGCTTTTGTTTGTCCTATAGCTATGTCAACATTCGTGCAGACCATCAAATGTTAAAATGTTCTTGTTTTGTATACATGTTTGTTTGGTGTGATTAACCTATACAGATAATACAACACGCTAAAATCATTAATTCTGATTTAAAAATAAAAAATAAACACTTCTTTACGCCATTTAACCAAAAAACTCCCAAAAGATAACCCATATATTTTATGATAACCTTAGCTCAGACTAATAACCCAGATTGTGAGTACCTGGGTGAAAAGCATCTTGCTGTGCTGCCAATCTCCAACGGCTAGCACTCAACCGCTAACAAACAAGTCCGTCTGCAACAGATGTCTTCTCGGTAAGGGGCTCCAAAGGGAAGTGTGTGACTCCTTTTGAAAGAGATAGCATTCAGGGACATGTGGCAAAATCAACCCATCAACACTTTTAACTCATCTCGTATAATATCTGCTTAGGTAGCGGCGACGGCCTAAATATGGAATTGCTAATTCTTTCATTTCATGGAAGCAAGAACTCTTTGTTTCTGCTGTGAAATCAATGTCCACCACAGTGCTTTCATAATATGCTGTCAGCCTCCTTATCTTAATCCATGTTGGCACATATTTTATATTAAATATGGAAATGTTTTCCCAGCAGAAGCTAAAAGAACTCTTGCCAGGCCACAGTCACTTTGAGGTTTTTTCACTACCCTATAGGTTTCCTCTAATGACTCTTTTGAAGTTCACTAATAAATTGTTTTTTCCCATCAGCACGCCTCCCTCAACCTTAAAAGACAATTGATTTGACCTCATTATCTGACTACTGTTTTAACTGATCTTCAGTAACCAGACAATCAGTCTTTGGTCTGTCTCAGCACTCTTCCATGGCATCCTTTATCCTCATTTAATATCACTGAAAGTTAACAGGACCTTGATCAGGAGCCCATGTAAGACTATTGACACACAACCTTTGGTTCTTAATGTTGATTCTTTCCTGTTGGTTAAATCACGTGGTGAATTCTCCAAACTTAATTGACCCCCCCTTCCCTCCTTTGTTTTACTTTCATCCCCCATTCTCATCCACTCTTTCCTTCTTGGCTTCTTTGTTCTCTTTTTTTTTTTCGGGTGCTTTTTCGGCCGTGTAGCTCGCAAGGCAGCGGTCGGCACTGTGGACGGAGGGGTCCTTAGTCGCCTGCTCACCCCCACCCAGGCCTCACTAGCTAGGAGCAAGAGCGCCGCCGCCCTGTCAGCTGAAGGAACAAATGCTCCAGGTAACCTAGGAGACCCTGACGGAGAGAAAGGATGGCTAGACAAAGACCCTGCTGCTCCCTAGTTACATCATTTTACCAGTAGCAAATCATCCCAGTATCACTTCACTACATCCAAACTCATTCCCCAGACATTGTCCTGCTGTAGATCCTCCTGCTTTTCTAAGGATCCTTTCAAAGTAAATGGTTGCCTCTTGGTGGTGGGATTACAGAAGTCGCTGCTCCCTGTTTTTAAAGTCGCTGTAAACAATCAGCTGTTTATGCTTTATGTACGGTTATTATTTGCAGCAAAGTACAGTCATGTGAGAGAGCATAGTTACACAGTAAATATTCACACACACACACACACACACACACACACACACACACACACACAGGTCCAGCTCACATGCAATCTCAGACCTGACACAATTGGCTGTTGTGTGCTGAGCTGAGCAGGTCTGACTTGGCTGGGAGCATTTCTCTGCATCTGAGGAGTCTCCGGGTCCATGCTGGGAGATTTGCTCTAAGCTGCTTACCTGTTGGTTCTTGTTACGTCAGAATGAGACTGTTGGGCTCTTGCATGTGTTCTGGTAGCGAGACTAAAGCACTGGGGACTTCAGTACACGTTGCTGAAATTGGGATAGCTAGCATATTCCGTTAAATATGAGGGCTTAAAGTCACACTGATCAAATTCAGTATGTCCCAATTCTGGCACTGGATTTGGTGCTGATATTTTGTAATAAAAATATGGCCATCTAGGCGGAGTTGAGCATCCCACAGGAGGACTTGCATGCCTTACATGTTCTTTATGTGTTATTATACAATGCGAGGGATCTACATTAGATAAGGCAGTTGTTGAGAACATACAGCGTAGTCATCTGGTATGAACCCCCTGACACACACCGATGAACGCAGCATTTTTCTTGTTCACTTTTTTTATGGATGGAAAGTAGCATACTGTAAAGCACTGACTCACTTCAAAGCTGCAACTGTATTTCCCGTGATGGTTTTAGGCTGTTGTGTTTATTGACCAGCCATTACAAACCCATTAGCAGCTATAGATCTCCTTGCTAAGTATAGCCCCAGTAGAGCGATGACACATCACATTAAAAGCAGCATTCATAGCCCATGATAGGGGAAATTTCATAGCTGCTCAGTGCACAATCGGAGTAAATTACAAAACACATTTGTGAACAGGCTGTAGCAGGGAGTGTTCTCCAGGTCCAGGATTATCACGGCTAATCCCTCAATCTGACACGGCAAGCTCATAGCCAGCGGACTACAGTCTTTACTCTCCTTGCTAAATACAGGAGACATTAAACTCGTGGTAAGGACAGTCATTTAACAGCACAGTGTCTACATTGTAGACGGTCGTGTTTACAAACTACTCCGATGTGTTTCTGAATTCTTAAAGTTACTGTAAGGCAGTGTTTGTGCCAGAGATGGCTTTGTCCTGCTATGAAAAATGTGGCATTCAATGTCAGATTTTAAATCCAGAACGTTAGAGTATTATGGCAGGAAGAATTCTAAGTCTACTACTCAAATTTGTTGTTACTTTAACTGAACACAACACTCGACACTATCAACATTCATTGTGTGTTTAGTGTACTAATGAATCTGTGTGATGTGTTTGTTGTATTGTGTTTGTGGTAGGTTTTGTGTAGTGTGCTGTGCTGTGGTGTTTGGTGTTTTATGGTGTGTTCAGGGGCTGGGAGTGTCTGGGGTTTTTGTGAGACTGTTGCTCTCTGCTCCTCATGTCTCCTGTGATCTTCAAAAAACTGTTTCCTGCCTGATGTGCTATTTCTAACAAATTGCTTTTTCTTGTGCTCTTGTCCCCTTAATAAAACACTCTTTCACTTCTTCCAAACATCATCTGCCCTCCCTTCCTCTCTCTTTTCTCCCTCTACTCCCTTCATTTGTCTTTCCTTTGACTCTTTGCTGCTTTGCTGTCCAACTCGACTGCTTTTCACGCCTCCCATTGGCTGTGCTTCCCTGGCCATGCGATGACTGTGTCCTTTACCAGAGTGTCACCTGTGTCCTCGCTCAGCCTCTGCCAGTCCCCTGAACCCACCACGGGGGGGCCCCGTGCGCAGCCGCAGCATTGACCGGCAGAAGAGCGGCATGACCACCTCGGTGTCGGCCGACGGAGCCCTCGACCCTTCAATGGTGAGAACACCTCTTTATGCTAATGTGCCTAGCACCACTGGCCTACGAAGAAAACTGAATCAGACAGAAAAGAAAACAATTGTCAGTGTTGTTATTTACTAAATGGAAAGCTTTCTCTGCCGATAGTTGTGACTTCCTGAAAGTCCTCCCTCTGCCCTTCTCCTTAAGCTGGTTCTATTACCCTTTACATAAATGTATATTTATATGGCTATGCTAATGGTTATGCAAGTACTTATCATACATGTGTGTAAAATGACAATGCAAGAGGTATACCTCAGTTTGATGCTGCATGCTACGGTATCAAAATCTGTTTGCTAGATTTGAACTGTTGCTATTTCCGATAGAACTGTGGTCTCAATGTTGAGTCATTTTACAGCCCTTTGTCAGTCAGTCAGTTTGCATTTACTGATGGAGTAACCTGGAAATATTATCACTCCTATCACAAAGTGATAACAAATTTAGCAAATGAATGACATTCAGGTTTTAAGGATAAGTAGGATACTTTATTTCTTTTTTTTTTATAAACATCATTTAGAGAATATTGTACAGTATTATGTAATTTCTTCAGTTTATAATTATGCTTTACATGAGAAAGTCATTTAATTTGACTTGGAAAATACGGATTGACTATAAAAAAAGATGTGTGTGTCTTTGACACTTTATTTCATTGTTGGTAGCACTTGAGAGAGACACCCTTTGACAGCACAGAGATGTTTTACATGGTGACAAGAAGTGCATGCTTTCCTGAATTGAAATGACATGCTTGGTGAAATAAGCCGATGTTAGCAAAGACTCTGATTTATGTGCACATATCTGGCCTCATTTGCCTGTCAAAGTATTTCTGCAGGATGAGAACAGTAGGGAAATGTTGTTCCTGCTCCAGCTGTTTGACCTTTGCTGGTCGATCATAATAGAAACTTGTTCGTAAATTGCCAAAATGTTATCCTGCTTACTGCTACTACTTTATTCAGGGACATTTTCTCTGAGTTACTCTTCTCTAAATAAAGGTTAACTATGTTTAAGCCACCCCCCAGAGAAATGAAGCAAGCTGAGCTGCAGCAATGTGTCTGCACTACCTGCAGAAGGGCTGTCGTAGGCATCGGCCCTAGAATCGACATGTGGTGTCGGCACCAAACAGAAAAGCTGCTGTACGCTGTGTATTCCAGTGACGTCACTAACTGATCATGAGCTGTTTTATTTCAGTGTTCAATAAGCTTAAAAAATTTGACACAACACTCCTTGATGGATAACAGACCTAAGCTACTGAAAAGCTATTTGATTCAGAAAAAAACACTTCCACCAAGCTGCTGACAAATGTGGTTAAACTAGTAACACTGCTTCTTCCTAACACTGATCATCATGGGTGATGGTTCAGATTTCCTCACTTTGTGGCCAGTAGTGCCTCTCTCTCTCTCTCTCTCTCTCTCTCTCTCTCCTCTCTCTCTCTCTCTCTGCCTCTCTCTCTCTCTCTCTCTCTCTCTCTCTCTCTCTCTCTCCTCTCTCTCTCTCTCTCTCTCTCTCTCTCTCTCTCGACCATTTTCCTCTCTGGCTGTGAAGGGCCTCATTGTCATCCCATGAGACAAAGGGATCCACAGTGGCCGGATTATAAAAAGATCAGACCATGCAAAGCAGACCCACCCTGACTCTGAGGCCTCTTCTCTCCTGGTCATTTCATTGTCTTTTCTCCTCCACACGCACAAACCGGTGTGGAGATCATTGAAATGCACAGCTGATCACTCACTCTGACACACTGAGTTAGGCTTTCTGACTACAAGCGGGGTGTTTCGAAAGGTATATTAGAAAACAACAATAATCGTGCAAAATGAAACTATGTAGGTCGGCTGCATGCTTACTTGTTTAAAGGATATTATTCGGGGTTTAGGTTTGTTATGGGGAAATGACTTTAGTGTAATGCTTCGAGATGACTTCTGGTGGCTCCAATACCATATTGACTTAAATAGGAAATGAAAATCTTGTCCCAGACTCCTTGTTATAAACTGTGCTCCAATTGCCTGTTTATTGTCCAGGTTATCTTTCCAAGACTTTGATTGTTAAGCTGTGTTGTAAACTCTATTATAAAGGTGGGGCCATTTCTTACATTTCCCTCCTGTTCAGACCTAGCATTTACATTTGCTTTGTTGATCCATCACAAGTGGCTTCAAGTCAGTTCACATCTCACATTATTGGACTTATCCGGTGACCACTTTGTGTTGAGAATAAACACCTCATTCCTGTTTGCATTAAGTAACTAAATACATATTCTAGCTGCAAAGAGCATCGGATAAGAGCAGGCGGGCGGGCGGGTGTCAGATATCGGCAGAGCACTGAAATAAAAATCACTGACACATCACAGGAACTATGATAACAGATTCTCTCTCTGTGGTTTCTGTGACATGAGATCTTTTTTTTGTAACTTATTTTACAGTACAGTTAAAAACAATATATACAGAGCTCAGACATTGCGGACAAAGTGATCGATTGATTTCCGCACACTGAATTTGAGCTGACCAGGACTTCGTTCAATGTGACCCACAATCCATTAGTGTACATTAGTGATGGGATCACAAAAGACGCATGTTAATACCTGGTCTGAACGTTCAGTACTGAAGGCTTGGCTGGGACAGCGCTGTATATTTTCCTGTGTGTGTGTCACATGGTTGACCTTGCTGTGCTCTCTGTCATCATGTTTACGGTGACCAACATAGCACATGAGCATTAAAAATAGATGAATTAAACCTGATCCACGGCTCCTTCACAGGAGCATTGTGTCACTGTTTAAACATAATTATATTATTCATCTTCCTTCTATTGATACTTACAATAATAATAATAGGCCCACTTGTTTTTTGGTATTTTCTTCATCAATTGTCATTTATTTCTTTTACACAAAAATATAATGTATTACTTATTAAGTTACAATGAATGCTGAACAATATTAGGGAAATGTGCGACATGCAAAACATTTTAAAGGTTGCGATAACAATATTATTTGCAGTAAACAGATATTAAAATGCACTCAGTTCTCAGTCCTGCCATTCTGAAGCTCGGTAAACTGCAAAAAAAAAAAAAAAATTGCTTTCCTTAAATGGCGGTCTCTTTTTTGAGTACATGATTTACAACTTTTTGGTTAAAGACACAATGATATTAACATTAACATAACCTAAAGGTAATTTAAAGGATTTATTTTAAGTTCTTAGCATGATCCTTTTCAGTGATTAATAGTTATTATTTCCTCACTATTGTCCCATCTCTGTGGAACTACAGAAGGACAAGACGTCTTCATCGCCTGGAGGGCAACGTCCCGCCTCCCCATCTTCTACCCTGGGACGCAACCGCTCACCATCCCCGGCCCCCATCCCGGCCCCAAAGAGGACCCCCTCCCCGGCCCCCATCCCGGCCCCAAAGAGGACCCCCTCCCCAGCATCCAAGTACGACTACTTCTCCAAAACAGCTTCATTGATACTTGACTTTTAAGTTTTATGAGTTTGGATGCAGCTTTTCCTCTTGATTTCATGACAAAGCACAAACAACTCGCACTTTGTTCTTACAGGCAGAATTCCAAGACGCGCCCGCCCTCACCAGGTGCGATGAAGCAGCGCCCCCCGTCCCCCGGGTCTTCGTCAGCCAAACCTCCACCTATCCAGAAACCAGCACTCACTCCAACAGGGCCCGCCACCTTGAGAAAGAGAGACTCCAAATCCAAGGATATGTGTCCTGTCCTGGCTGTGTCTCCTCTGCCCTCTGAGTCCAGCAAGAGCAAAGAGAAGGACGGTGAGCAATTCTCTGTCCACAGTTTAAATGCTTTATTGTTTTCGTTAAAAATGTACTTATACTGTAATGTAGTTAAACCATACCATTTGTAGTACTAACCATGTATAACAGGTCCATATAAAGTCAGGCTTAACAACCCTGGTCAGCTGACAAACTTTAATAAGTCAGTACCAATATTTGCTAAAGCTGATATTTATTCTGGCAACCAGGATGTTTGCGCTGGTGCATCGAGACGTGCTGTCAATTTCTGGGAGTGAAGTGACCCAGCATGATATCGTTTTCATCTTTACTCGATATAAATATTACCGTGGGTCCAAACCCACTTACACTCCCAAGATGGGTCCAAGTCAGATATTTGTCAAACTCTTTATTCAGATAGCTTTGTAAAAGAGATGCAGCCATCGTTCGGGCGTGATCAAGCTCATATCTCGTTGTTTTCTTTAACCAAATGGACACAAGTGCGGCATGATGGTTTTACGTGACACACACACACTCACACACACACACTCACACACACACAGGTTGCATAGACGGGTACGTCGCAGTCACTAACACACACACACTATAGCGCGCACCATGTTGTCAACGGGAAAGTTATACAGCGCAAAAAAGATAAGAAGACATCAAGGTTTCAATTTGTAACACTTTTAAATCTTAAACAACGTGTTGAGGAAGAACCGTTAAAACATTTGCAAACAACTACCTTAACCAGAGTCTTAGTGTAATTATTTCTAATATACGCTGCAAAGACTAATCTTAGAGCTCTGGTCCCAACAGCGAGACCCCTCCCTCTTCTCGTGCACCATGGAGTCAGTAGGAGGGAGCAGGCCGGGGGAACGCCCCATTTCACATTCTTGTAAATAGATACTGATTTATTAATAGTTTAATTTATAAATAGATAAAGAAATCTTGTCTCTTTTTTATATTATAGTTTATTTAACCCATACTGGAAGGGGTGGAAATAGAGCAGCAGGAACTATTGGATGAAAAATAAATTGCAGTTAGGAGGGTTTGGATTACAAAAGTGTGTGTTGTGTGTGTGTGTGTGTGTGTGTGTGTGTGATTGTGTGTGTGTGTGTGTGTGTGTGTGTGTGTGTGTGTGTGTGTGTGTGTGTGTGTGTGTGGTGTTGTGTGTGTGTGTGTGTGTGTGTGGTGTGTGTGTGTGTGTGTGGTGGTGTGTGTGTGTGTGTGTGGTGTGTGTGTGTGTGTGTGTGTTGTGTGTGTGTGTGTGTGTGTGTGTGTGTGGGTGTGTGTGTGGTGTGTGTGTGTGTGTGTGTGTGTGTGTGTGTGTGTGTGTGTGTGTGTGTGGTGTGTGTGTGTGTGTGTGTGTGGTGTGTGTGTAGCAGGGGTCCTGTTAACTTCCATCTGGAGTCACATCCTGTTACAGATCGGGGGTGTTTGCTGCTGCCACCTCCTGGAGAGACGGGTGTTTTTTTAATTACTTGCAGCCCGGCAAAGATGGTTGTCAGCTGTACATATGAAAGATGTTGAAACTAAAAAGTTCTAAGTGGCACAGTTTAGGCACATTTATGTTAATGAGTGTATAAAACGGAAATACATAACTTATATGTTATTTGATATCATCTAATGCTTTTATTAGACCAAATAACAAAAGAGTGTTTGTTTTTGATGTAACATACAAATGAAATACTTGACAAAAGTCCACATCTGACATTCTGCTCATCAATTGTTCAACATTGCCTACAAGGCCTATGACCACGGGTCAGGTTTGGTCAAGTTGACATAGATACCTTACAGAAATATGCATGCAGTAATCCACCCTCTCTTCCTCTCTCTCTCTGTCTCTGTCATACACACACACACACACACACACACACACACTAGCTCACACACACACACACACACACACACTAGCTCACACACACACACACACACACCCCGAACGACATTGAGTCTGCTGGTCTCTGTCCTTGCCTCAGGCAATACAATGATGCTATTATAATGCATAAGATAGCCTACTCAAAGTGATAAATGATATGTAATGGCAAAATCTGGGATGAACACATTTCTTTCTCATTGTATGTACTATCATATTGCTCGTCCCTGTGTACTGCTTGTGTCTGTTTGCCCTCTGAATTATTTCAAAGAGCTCAGAGACCATCATGTGAAAGTCACACAACTCAGAATCATGCCGCTTCCTCTATTATCCATGTGTCTCTCTCTGTTGAGAAATGGGTGACATCATGCAGTGCGTAACCTATTTTCTTTTCCTGCCTTGTCAGACTCTAAAGGCTCGACGGGCACTAACTCTGCTGCCGAGGCGGCAAAGATCCTGGCGGAGAACCGGAGATTAATGCGAGAGCAGAAAGAGAAAGAGGAGCAGCTCAGGTTACAGAGGGAGGAAGAGGAGAAGTAAGATTATTGGGATTATTCTCTTAATTCTCTCACTTTTACTGTTTTATTGTGAGTCTTCGTACTAACTGCTGTCTCTACCGTACCAGGGTGAGAAAGGAAGAGGAGATGCGCTTAGCGGAGGAGGCCCGTCTGATACGCCTGGAGGAGGAGAAGAAACTTGAAGAGGAGAAGAAAATCAAAGACGAGGAAGATGCTCTTCTAGCTGAGGAGGAGCGGGTGAAAATGGCCGAAGAGGAGGCGGTGAAACAGGCCGAGCTGCAGAAGGAGCGGGAGGAGGCCGAGGCGAAGGCTCTGGAGGAGGCCGAGAGGGTCCGTCAGGAGAGAGAGCGCGTCATGCAGCAGAACCAGCAGGAGCGCATGGACAGGAAGAAGGTATGGAGACACCAAGGAGTCCTAACCTCAGTGACTGCCTCTCTGTTTACATTATTCACCAGCTTGGTCTCTTCATGACAACATCTCTTCTTCCTTTTATACATATCACTTTTTCAAGCTCTTTTTTTCCATTTCAGAGAATTGAAGAGATCATGAAAAGAACCAGAAAGGGGGAGAAGAGCGAAAAGGTGAGCTCACATTCACTCAGCCAGCAGAGAGAATGCTTTACTCTGAGTGTACGCTAACACGTCTTTGTGTCTCCTCCATAGGGTGAGGCAGGAGAGGATGATGATGAGGATGAGGATGATGAGGATGATAAACAGGAGGATGAAGAGGACGATGAAGAGAGAGAGGAGGAAGAGGACCAGATAAACTGTGAAACTCAGAGTAAGTGGTCAGGCGTCCACACTGGTTACAGTTTCAGGACATTAGACTGCATGAAGATGTATGTATCACTGCCTTCCTGAATGTGGTGCCTCACCACTGAGAGTGAATGTGTGTCTTCCCCTCTTTGGGTTTGTTTGCATACACTTTACATAAAACGCCCATTTGTGGGAATTGCCATAAAACTCAACATGACTTATGACTCATCTAAACCAAATCTGTTCCTCTATTGACATCATAGGCCAGGACGAGGACAAAGCCGAGTGTGATCTGTCCTCCGATGAGCCGGCGGCGGAGCGAGAGGTGCCGCTGGGCAGCGTGAACGGGAAACCAGAGACAGACGACAAGGAGAATAACAACGGCATGAGCACAGAGGAGACTCAGGCAGTGAGGTATGATTGAGACAAGACAATGAAATAATGAGACCCTCCCAGAAAGCGCTCGGAGTAGTGCTGATAATCTCCTAAGTGTATTGTAATCTCAAACAGAAGGGGCTCAATTCATTGATTTTCTTTAAATACTACAGTGGATATCAAAACGTCAGACCCATTCATCCCTACGATAGGATAGCGTGAACATATCAGAATTGGTATATTTCAATAAGCTTTGTCAAAATAGCCGCAACAGCAGGCCGATCCCCCTTGTGACAGCCTTGCCAGCTCTTTGTATTATCCAAAATCATATGAATATAGGCGGGTGCAGGCTGGTTAGGTTTAGTAGAAGTTCAGTGGAATATGATTTTGTCCGATTGGCTAGACAATTATTCCAGCCCTATCTTTTATTAGACTGGATTTCTTTCTGCTAACTCAAAGCTGTGCTTCTATAAATCTCATGAACCTTCTGAAACTCTTTTCTATCCATCTCCCCCTCCTCTCCAGTCCCGTTCCTAAGGGCCGCCTGGTGGAGGGCTCGGAGTTCCTGAATGAGCAGGACTCCGCCAAGGTGGGCTTAGTCTCAGGTCTGAACGGTAAATCCAACCAGTGGAGCTTCGAGGAGCTCAACGACCTCAACGTCCACTCCAAGACTCGGCCCCTGATCCAGGCGGAGGACTGTAAGCAGGTCCTGATCAGCTGTGACGGGAGCTCGGATGGGACCAGGGTGGCCTTCGAGGACAAGGGGACCCCCGTCAACCCCCTGCATTCCTCTAACCAACCAATAGAAGCCCTGTCAGGTGAGGAGTCCCGCTCACCTGTTGGGAGTGTTCACTCTTTGATGAACTCTTCCTAAAGTAATCACTTCCCCCCCCCCCCCCCCCGTGTCTCCGCAGAGATTTGATGCTGCAGCCATCGCTAAGACGCCTCTCTCTGTTGCACTCGTAAAGTTCCTGTCCAGCTGAGCTCCTTCAAAACAAAAAAACGGCTTCCTCCTCTCTCTCCTCCTCCTCTTCCAGAGCGAGGAGCACAAGGAGAAGCGGAAAGACCACCCCAAGTGCTACATTTGCACCCCACATTATGAGGAAACAAATATATTAAAATGAGATATATATATTAAAAGAAAACAACGTTATGCTTCAGGGAAATTCCATATATTCCTTCAACGTGCTCGCTTCAGGTCTCTTTCCTCTTCCTCTTGTGGTTAGTTCTCAAAGTTTTTTTTTTTTTTTTCTATGTTGTGTCTAAATTTGATGATGTTTTTTTTAAGAGTTGTGTCTTTGTCAGGGGTGCATTTGTTGTAATTTATTAATTTTGGCTTTGTTGTTATTGTAATTATTACCTATGTCTAGTCTTTTTGTTCTTTTCTCTTGTATGAGAATATTCCAGGACACATGCACACTCGGCTGCGTGAATTGAACAGAGTGACTTAAAGGAGGAAAGGTTCAAACATTCTGTTCTGTCGGGGGTTTGGTGGGGAAAGCATCCCAGGTTTCACGTGTGATTCGTCTAAATTTACTTGACCGGCTGCTCTTTGCAGGATCCAATATGGCCTTAATATTTCCTCAACTACTAATTTTGAATTGTGAATATACTAAATTGCTTGCGCTGAAGCTCATTCATGCACAGTTAACTCTGTCATGTGCTTACACTTGAAAGTAGACCCTGCATTCATACTTCATTTTGCCCCCATTGTCCTGTCTCCCGGTGTGTTTCCTTATTTGGCCACTAGGCGGCGCCTGGAGCTCCATCTGTTACATTTGAAGCTGAATAGTGTTGAGGTTCACTCGCAGCACTGTAGTGAATTTGGTTGTTTGTTCAGTGAAGTTTCTGCAGTTTGTTTCTCATTTAGGGTTCGTTAAGGTTTTGTTCATTTTTACATATGTACATAGAATTTATGTTTACGAGCGACATTGTAATTTACATCAGATATGAGTTGCATCACATTTTAGTCTCATCTCCTGCTTGAATACCCATAACTGCAACATACTATCTTAGCAGTGGAAGTCCATTCGTTTCATTCATGGCTACCTCTGAGCCTCTGAGGTGGTTTGTGTTTGTTACTGAATTGAACCTTGAATATTTGTCTGAAACTACAAATGAGGTTTTCAATGATCTAGTTCTAACTTGAGCTTTTCCAACACATCCACCCATGTGAGGCTTCTTCACCATTTACATTTATTTCTCCTTTTTCAACCAACCTTTTTGAAATTCCCAAAACACCAGCTGCTACATCTGACACAATGCATTTCAATTATTTTTTACAATATAATTTGGCTGTTTGTTTATATATAAAAATACATTTCTACATATATTTAAGTGTTATTGTGTTGTGTATATAATCAGTATTAGGCAGATGAAGCCATGTGTAGGATGAGGTGGCGTCAGGATGTGGATAATTGAAGTCTCTGTTCGTGTGCTTTACGTTTCTGTTGGACTCGTGCCCTGTGACGGGATGTCAGTTTACGTTTGGGCAGCCTGGATAAACTTACATAAAGCCCTCTTCCACATGAGCTCTGGAAAAAACAAGGGGCCAAGTAGGGACCCGCTATATTTTCCCTCAAATATAGCGTTTGTTTATATGTGTATGTTTTAGCGCTTTAAGCCCCAACCCTGATTCTGAACTTTGCCTCACGGAGACTAAACACATTTTGATGGCCAGTTGTTACAGCCCTCAGCAGCATGTCTGACCCAGGATCAGTCGTGGCCCGGCCTCTTCATGATACTTTTAATGTCGTCACAATGTGTTTTATATGATGTTAAAGGTCGTGGGGATGGATAGTTCTAGTGTAGGCATATCAGCTCAGGTCTTAACTAATCCTTGTAGTAGCAGGCAGAACATGACGTGGGTCAGACATGTTTTCTGTCTCTTCTGGATTTTTCATGAACTGTAATGAAATCTTGAAACTCCCTATGCTTGAACAGTCCAAGCACGAGGTTTGGAGGACCTTTTATTGTTGCCTTGTTCTCTGCTGGCTAACTAAAATCTCTTTGTACATAAGGACTAGGGGCTTTAGATCTTAGCTTTGATTAATAAGCACAAAGAATGTAACGGACTCCATAAACCGTCCTTCATCATTTACCATGTCTCTCGAGACACGAGACTCTTTGCACTGTCACAAATGACTGGCTATGTTTAGAGAATGGTAACTGAGGAGTAGCTTTACTGTACAGACTCGTAGGAGAGTGTGATATTCTGGAAGAAAAGAGAACGTCATTTGTGGATTCCCAGATGTTTTAGAAGTCACATCCCCAAACCTTTCCTACCCCTCTAGTCCCGTGTAGCATCTGTCAGGGGGGCTGTTGTAGCTGCTTCTTAAACACACATTTCGTCTACTCCAGGTCCTGCTGCATCTCTGAGGGCTCGAGTACAGAGCCGACTGCTTTAAGTCCTCAACGTTTTCTTTAACAATAGGATAGAACGGTGCCTTAGATTGAGATTTAGTATTTTTATTGTATCACAGTTAACTAAGAAAGCTTGTCCTTACCTCGGCCTCGACAATCAGTCTCCCCACCCAGGGCGACTTTGTGAATATGAATATTTCTCTGAAAGATTTACTAACAAAGCCCTTTCCAAGTAAGATTTGTACTGTAAATATATCTAAAAGTGTACTGAGATGATACAAACTGTTAAAACAAATAAAGTCTTGCAAAAATATTCCATTGCCATTTTCTTTTATGTCTTTCTGAAAGAAATAAGAGACTTCACATCATTTTTTCCTTTTATTCTCGTTTAACATTTCAAAGTCTTGAATACACAAGCTGTTTATATTTCAGCATAAAACTCAAAGACCTCATTTTAGATTTGTATTTTTCTGATAATCCATTGGAAGATACATGTAACAGATTAGTAATCAAAGCTGGTATGTATGAGCAGCGTTATGCATGTCAAAGCATATTATTCTCTCTGAAATATTCCAGTAAGGCAGTGAAAAAGCTTTTGTCTCATAAAACTACACAGAATCCCGGATTAGATTAGACTAATAGTGCACATCACAATCCCACAAAAGAAACTCTGTTGCCATGTTAGTATCCAACACTGAAACAAGTTGCATAATGTATGAGTAGATAAATGACTCAAGCTAGTGCATAATTAGTTGAAATAACCTTTATCGTCTGCCAACCTCATAAAGAGAAGTTTCACCAATTTGACATTTGTTTGCTAAATCACAAACAGAATAACATTTATGTTCATTTGAGGCCGTAATAGCCTGTCAACAAAAAGGTTATATTTCTGCAAATTAACAGTCTAAATGTCAGTGTTGGCGCAACTCCACTTTAAACACGATCCTCTGTGCAGCTCACACCTTCTTGGCACAGTCGGGGCAGTGGATGTTCTCTCCGTTGATCACAAAGCGCTTGTTGGCCAGCGAGAGGCAGCACTTCTTGCAGTTGAAGCAGTACTCGTGCCAAGAGAATCCCTCATAGTTCACCACGTTGGTGCCGTGGCCGAACCCTGCGGAGAGCGGAGGACAGCCGTCAGTCAGCAGTGTGAGACAGGTAACCATGCTTCACACACAGATCTCTTTAAAACATTCATATCATTTGTAATAAGGTACAGCTTGGGCTTAGGTAATGAGAACATTGAGTTTTTCTGAAATTAATTTGGATGGTGTTACTGTCAGCTGCATTTGACTTGGAATCATTCAGAATGATCAGTATGATGGCTGGCATAATTTATCTTAAAGGCTAAACTGGGTTAAATAAATAATATACCAGAGTTTAAAGGAGCAGGAAAAATGGATTAAAGGGGAAATACTATTTCTTTATTCAGCTGGTCTGTAACACCTCACATTTTTCAGAACCATTCATGTAATGTTTGTACTTATAAGAAAGACATTTGAATATCTCTTTATTTAACCAAGTAAATATTGATTAATTAGCATATTATTATTATTTCAATATAAATCATATTTGGGCTTTGGAGCTGATCCACCTAAATATGTCTTATGGCCAGTGGGTTGTAATCTGTCGGAGGCCATTATAGTTGTACAGAAAGAAAGTAAAATGCACTACAAAAGTATTTCCCACTATACCCACAATGCATTCATTCTAATAAAAACATCTGCTTCCCTGACCTGTGATTGGGTTTTTGCATCCATGGCACTTCTTGGCCACATCAGTCTTGAAACAGTCCACGCAGTAGACGTCGTTCTCGTGAGAAGTGAAGCGAGCTCCAGCCAGACCTTTGTGGCAGGTTTTGCACACGAAACACTCCGAGTGCCAGGGCTGGTCCTGGTAGCTGATCCCTCCAGAGGTGATGGGCTGAGGGAGAGAGAGAGAGAGAGAGGAACATCTTAAACACTACAGAGGTGGAAAATCATTCCTGCTGCTGAAAGTGAACGGTCTGCACCACAGTTTAATTGATATAGACTTGGCTCTATACTATGGGTGAGATGATATGATATGTGGTTGTACCTGCTTGCAGTGGAAACACTTCTTGGCAAACTTCTTGTCGTGGCAGGGAGCGCAGTAGATGTCTTCCCCTTTGGTCAGGAAGCTCTGCGTGCGGATGGGCTGCTTGCATTCAAAGCAGGTAAAGCATTCCTCGTGCCACATCTTGTTCTTGTACTCCACATTCTGGGACCCTGAGACACAGAGATAAAAAAGCATTGTTATGGTTTAAAAGTAAAAACCAGTCCACTCTGTCTGACAGTGGAGTGGATTCTTTGGCATCCCCAAAGAGAGGTTGAAAAAGAGGTAAAGTACAGCTAGATCGAGTTTAAAAGCAGGTTAAATCCTTGGTAAGAAAGTGTTGCACACATTTAATAAGCCTTTTCTTTCATTAAAGCCTCTTCTTTAAATGTTTTTTCAAATGTTACTTGTTTCTCTGTTATATAAAATAGTTGTTACTAGAGAAAATCACCTTTATGGGTTATTTATAAAGAACATACTCATACATCTACTTCATCAGTGTTGCGCAGAAGTGTTTCAATCAGGTACAAATGAAAGTGTTGGGCAACCTGAACAACAATTATCATAATGTTTTATTCAAACATCCTGATTGGCAATCATCACATTTTCCAACCGTGCCTGACCCACTTCAAACCGGAAAGAAAAGCACAGATACAAACTACACAAATACAAACGTGTCTCTAGCAAAACAACAAAACTTAGCTCATTGACAACCACATCTTTTATAGTAGCAAAACAAAAAGAAATTCGTTTTTAAAGTAAGAATAGTGAGCCCACCTGGCAGGACCACCTTGTAGCAGGCCTGGCACCGGTTGCCATCCTCCCGGGAGCCACACTTGCCGCACATTATCTTGCCATCGTCCCGGGCGTTGAACGGCTCGCTGGCCAGCGGCTTGTAGCACTTGACACAGCGGAAACAGTCCTCATGCCAGTGACGGTTCTTATGGTGCAGCTCCTGAAACACAGAGGATGTTAGGAGAGGTCTCTCACCTTGTCCTCATGCAGACCTCATTAAAGTTTCATCATGGAGAGTGAGGCTCAGGACAGATTACAGAACGAGCCAATGAGACAGACGTGAGCCAAGAAGGAGTTAGGAGATTTAGATGCTAGAAATTCAATATAAAGAATTTAAACCTTACTCTTGGTTTATTTTTCACACATTCAGCTGCCTGTGACTGAGTGGTGAGTTTAATTTGGAAGCAACCACCACTACTGAATGACGGACACGTTTTATTAGAGCTTGAGACTGGATGCTCTCTGAACAGATATAGACAGATATATCATCCCTTTTTTTTAATCTTTTTGTATTAATGCAATAACATTCATAGTAGACATCTAAACAATTCAGGGTGGATATTACTTTTTCACAGAAGACATTTTAAAATGTTACGGTAGAAAAGGCAAAAAGTGTGAAAAAAATCTATGATGCCTGATTTCTGTTGAAAGGACCTATGAGCAGAGAGCAAATCAACTCAATTGATCTTGGCCAACATCTCAGTTTCAGATGTTTTTTTAATCTATAAAAGCTGAAAACATGATCTGAAACTAGTAGAAAACGATTTTAGACAATTATTTGTGATAAGTAAAAAGACTGATGAAAAACTAAAAAGACATGTAAGTGTATATGCATATTGTACAAATACGGAAATTGTAGCTAATTTATGATGGGCTGCATTATCAAATATGTTAAATAGGTTTTGTTAAATATATATATTTTTAAATGTGTCCAATTCTGTTTATTATATTTTAAAAGACATATGTCTGAGCAGAACACTGTGACTTCTGCAGCCATTTTCTGTTTATTTAAATGTTTTGATTGTATCTTCTCTTTTACTCATTAATTATTTCTCTGTGTCACACAGTGTTTTCACCTTGGAGTCAGCGCCGATGGGGCGTTTGCACTCTGCACAGGTGTTGGCGCAGAGCTTATCGAAGCACTTGGTGCACACGTGCTTTTCGTCCTTCTTCACATATTTCTTCCCGTGCAGGTTGTCCCGGCAGTAGTAGCAGTCGAAGCGATCAGTCATGGTGGAGGTGAGATAACTCCTCGGACCTCCTGAAAAACACGAGACATTATCAGACTCTAAACATCCCTACATGGCAGAAAGTCACCAGATGGGGACACTGTTGCCTTTTCTATCATCCTCGTGACTCTGAAAAAATGCAATTAATACATTTATTTATATACAACTTACAACACCACAATAGTTGATTAAAAGGGCTTTACAGAAATAAATAACAACAGAAATGGGGAACATGAATCAGCATTTAATGACTAAAGCAGCAAACTCATGCCCAAGGCTGTTACTGTAAATCTGACCTCTAAATGCAAAACAAATCATATAACTTGGACAAAATACATTTCACATGTGTCTCCTTGAACATTTAAAAGACACATGGAGCTCTTACAGAAGCATTCCAGACTGATGAGAGAAGTGAGCGTGATGTTAGAAAATGCAGCCCACAGATGGCTGTGTGCTTTCCAGCCTGCAAACTTTTTATCAAGCTCTCACTGAAAGGCTTAGGTCATATTTTTAGATCGTCTGGCTCATTCCATTTCCCTCCCAATCTCATACCCCCACTTCTCTTTGGGCTGTATTTTGTCCAGGTCAGATTATATAAGATTGTAAACACCATGTTGTTTCTTCATTTATCAACATTCCTGTATTCCCATCACAGCCGGCGTCCCCTGAGAGCAGACTGAGTGGTTTCCTGAAAAAACGGTGCGTAATGTGGAGTGTGTGGAAGCTGTATCAGAGAGAGCAGTTTGTGAACTTTTAAATTGATTTATATCATGTTAATCCAGTAAACACAAATGGAAGAAACAATGGGAGGAATGGCATTTTTTGTTTTAGTAACCATAGGAACAAGGACAATATTTATGAAAGGCGTCTGCAGCTAAGTGGGACGTGGTAAACAGCCGTGTGAAGGAGAGGAGCCTCCTGCAGTGAGGTATGTGCCCCTGGTGTGTGTGGATTGAGAGATGAGAGAGGGGTCTCTATCTGCAGCTGTGCTCCAGGGATAAAGACCGGACTGAGCACTGAGCCCCTCACTCCGCCCACACTTACCTACTGGTGGCATCTCATGGCACTAAAGCAAGGAAAACCCTCCCAGTCTGTCGAATCACACACACAATGTTGGGGTCTCATTACTGAACCGAGCCAGACCTATTTTGGAACTGGACCCTCTATTTACAGCGCTTTAACCTTCCAGAGGGGACAAATGGAGAGGGATGCAGAGTGATGACCACTGGGAGTGTGGAGCTATTGTGGTGCCATTTGAGACACGTCCAGTAATCTTTTGTTACAAACAGTGTGACAGCTGCCCCCTGTCAAACAGCCATGGTATGTTCCGACCCTCAGCCGCGGAGGGGAGCGGAGTGAACCACTGTGGTCCCTGCTTTGGAGAGCAGGAAAGGTCAATGTGAGACCAGATTGAGGGGTGAGTCAGAGTGTTGGGAGATGATCAGAGACAGGGTGACCCAGACACGATATCAGCCAAATCAAAAGCTACACTGTCAAAATGTTCTGTTCTCTCTTGACTCCTTCTTATCAGGTCATTTTAAAACTATAATATCGAGCTCTCATACTACTTTGGAGATTAACAAAATCACTGTTACTGCAAAACAAAACGAACAGAGCACAATTCAAACTCTGGAACAGCCTGTTCTCCAACATACATCAATAAATTCATGAAATGAAAGAGAGCTCCATATGTAAAAACACAGATTTCTACGACATGATGAAACCACCATAAAACAAAAAAACTCGTTAAAAAAAAATGTAATCATAAACCCATGAGATCACATCTAAAAAAACACACAATGTGGTTTAATTTTGGATGAAGAAATACTTCAACAGTTCTCTTCAAGAAGGAAAAACAAGTTTCAGATTTTAGATTTGGACATTCGAATGTTAGCTGTTAGTTTTGCTGCAAGATGTTGTTTGAACATGCCACACATCAACAAGAGCTTAAAAAAGCTGAATGGACCTTTAAACTTAGATCATATAGTTTAAGATTGTTACACATTTCAATGAGTCCTGTATTGCATAAGGACATCATAAACACACAATCCTCAAATCCTTATCTAGTGGCAAGTCTTCAAATTAGTTGATTAAAAAAAATTAAAAAAATTGAAGGATTATGTTTTTTTTATTGGTAGATAGATTATTTTACTTCTTAGGTTAACTAAAACATTTAATGTCCACTGTCACTAATCTGTAAACAAGGCTATTTTTCTTTTATGAAGTTATAAAAAATAGTTGTTATACAAGACAGTTATCTTGTGCAATATCATGTTAAAAAAGCTTTTACAGGTTCAGTTTGAGTCTTGGGCAATTTTTCACAAGCTTCACAGGGAAAAAACAGCACGTTTTTTTGGTTTTGCACCTGATTATTGATAACATATTAAATAACTTCATGTATCATCCACAGTTTGCACCAGCCATTTGTATGTTAAGTTACCTGAGTGTCTGTAAGCCATGATGCCGGTCAGGAGGAGGAAAAGAAGAAGAAATGAAAAGAGACTACCGGAGGAGACAGTAGCATCCACAGAGGGTCACTCCCAGAGACCACAGCCTGGTTCAGTTATGGGGGGCTGTATATACCCCTCTGTGACCCGCACACACCCCTGAGATCACGTCCAAATCCAACCCTAACCCTTAACCCCACACTCCTTTTTAGGGTATGGATTAGAGAATAGGGCGGATGAGGGACAGGATGAGGGACAGTATGAGGGGATAGATTAGGTGATAGAGACTGGAATCCACTGCTGTAACATCAGAAGGTACAAAATAAAAAAGGGTTTTGAATGGTGGCCCTGAGGGATCACAGATACTCCCACTGCCCCGATATAAAAAGTTTTGTTAGAGTGCTCAGGACATGTACAGATGACATGCTGGATCACTTAACATCATAACTTAAAGGGATGACTCACAGGAGCGAGATGATATAAATGACTGAGCTGAGGAGAGACAAAGAGTGTCATATAAGTCTGTCTTCTTATCTTCTCTTATATAAGTTATTAGTTTAGTATCCAGCGCTTGAACCAGCCCTTTTTAATACATTTTATCTGAGTAAGTTAGTAGGAATAGAAGAAGAAATAAAAAAGGAAATACAGGAGGAGATGGTAGCATCCACAAAGGGTCAAACCCAGAGACCACGGCCTCGTTGAGAAAGAGTATTCAAACTAAACTGCAAAGCGAGGCGAAGTAGAATATCTTAGAAAAGAGATGAATAAACGCTGCCAGTGATTTCTTTCCTGTTTATCTTTTTGTGATTCTTGTTCCAAAAGGGAAGATTTATTTTAAAGCTGCAGGAAACACCGGTTGCATTCCTGATCTCCTCTCTCAAAATGAATGCTCTCACTGAAAACATTCTTCCTCATCCATAAGATGAAGAAGAAGAAGACGAAATTAAAACCTTCATCTTTTAAACTTTAAAATAATACGAAAAAAGCCCAGGCATTTTTGATTGCATGTAAACCGGCAATAACTTTTGACTTGGCCAATTGGGCAGCAGAAACAACTGCAAATTGTTTGATAACTTATTTACTCAAGCAGTGGATACAAAGCTTTGTAAGATTAATTCAAAGGTGTGTTCTGGTCGTTTGACGTGCAATAATCACTCCTTTGAGCTCTGTTTTTGGTCTCTACCAACTCCTGAGGGAAGTATCTCACTCTCTCGCAGAGCAGCTGAGAGCCTCAGTATGTTATCCAGCTGGTCTGTAACTGTGTCAGTCTGCTGCTCGGTGCTGAGCAGGCTGTGGACTGTGAGTTCTACAGATGGTCTGCAGTGTGAGAGTGAACCAACACCGTACATTTGTGGGCTGGAAAACCAAAACAAATTAGCTGAAAATAGCAACAAAAAATCCCTGCAGAGAACTGGATGTTCACTTTCTGTAGGGTCATCAACACCTTTAACATTACATGTAGTCATGGATTGTATCTAACTACTGATTAAAGCTGCTTCACGTAAGTATTACCATTTGTATCACTGCCAACCCACTATTCTGATATAACCCATCATCATCTTTTCTGCTTCGCGCAGATGCTCCACAGATGGCACTTTACTCTGATTGGTTTGGGCCTTCAGAGTCAGACGAGCTTAAATACAGAAATGTTGGATCATGCTGGGAATGAGAGGAGACTGAGAGCCACCAGAGACCATAGTAACTCTTAACTATATCAAATAAACTTCTTCATGTATCAGATACAAAAGCAATCAATGCAGTCTGCGTGACTGTGTGCTTGGCCTTACAAAGGGCATCTGGTTGTAATTACATTATATTTGATTTGGTCCATTACCATGGAGCCCAGCATGGCGTTTGTCCTTTTTCTAATCTGTCACCCAATTACTCTAAAGCCATAAAGACTAATTAATGAGCAGGAAGGCGCCAAGACTCCCGGCCTACCAAACCTCTTCCAGTAGTGGGTCGGCTCTCTGATACAGCAGGCCATCTGTTCCTCCTTCTCTAATGTTTCACACTCCTGTTATTTTCTTAATCCCCAACCAGACACTTTGTCTGTTCTTTCCCTTGATTTCACATCTCTCAGTCATGGCATCATGCATTTCTCTCTGATTATGTAACTTGCATAAGAAAGTGTCGATCTTACTTTTATATATTATTGAGCAACAGTATTCAAAAAAAGGAAGCACAATTAGCGTTAGCAGGATGTGAACAAAGAAGAAGAACGTTTGTGAACTTGCAGAAAGAACTTTGTGAGCACAGTTGATAACACAAGAATACATATATATTCAAGAAAAATGCATATTACATATTTGGTATGAACATATTGTTTAATGCTTCAATGGCAAGTTATTTTAGAAGTAAGGTAATGTGAGGGGACACACATTACTGTACCACACCGGCAGTATAAATATAATGTATTATAACCATCACATTTGGAAAATTGTTCACTTTAGTCATTTGTTTTCTTACATATTGAGCACAGTCAAATGAATCTGTCTTGGTCAAGTTTTCTCATTCTGCATTCAATTGCCATTTTAATAATCAAGAAACACATTTAAAATAAAGTCCAACGTAGGACAAATGCCAAAAAAGCATGCATGTTTACCAGACTACCTATAGTAAACAACTGTTATTTAGATGTATGCTTTTATGCTGAAGCACTGTCTATCTGTCTTCTTCCTGTTTTGAGTTTCCTGACAGCGCTCATATGAAGTGGTGTCAGTCTCATCTCATCTCATCTGTCCTGATATGACTGGATTGCAGAGCACACATCTACACCTGCCACCTCCAAAGCCTGCTTTTAATAGAGCGGGACTAACTGCTGATCCTGTGGGACAATAAATAAAACTATAAATATATTCTTTACAAATAGAAAAATATAGCATGAAGGCTTAATCACTTTCTTTTTCACTGATGGAAACACTGCAATATGCTCAGAGCATCTCATGAATGTTTTGCTAGGTGTTGCCTCTTGGCTACAGGCCCATCACCTCTCAGAGAGGTAGTTTGCTGGTACAGAGAAACAGGAAATCTGGCATGTACTTCCTCAACCATCAAGTGCAAATCGCTCAGTGTGATAGGAACTCAAGCCCACACTCTGTTCACTGTTACCAATGGCAACAAAAAGGTTGTATCTGAGAGCTCATCTCTCAACATGACCTCTCGCCTCCGGACATCCATGAGTCTCAGTCATCCTCCAAATCTCAGTCATCCTGGTTATTGCGCAGACAGAGCAGTGACAGAGCGAGCCACACTATCATTGTCAGGGAAACAGTGACTCACCTACACACACACACACACACACACACACACACACACACACACACACACACACACACACACACACACACACACACACACACACACACACACACACACACACACACACACGGACAGACACACGGACAGACACACGGACAGACACACACTCTCATTTGTCCAAACACACACAAAAGGTCAGTGAGCGCAGCAGGCAGGGTGTGGCAGCAGGACCCAGACACATAGAGGGCAAATACGTGTGGACAAAAGGCCACAAGGGGGGCGCTATCATCACAGTAACACTCCTGTCTAGTGGATATGGCTAAGTGTTGCCCCCCCCACACACACACACACCACACACACACCACACACACACCACACACACACACACACACACACACACACACACACACACACACACACACACACACACACACACACCACACACACACACACACACACACACACACACACACACACACAGAAGCACTTTCAGATAAAGCCTTCACTGTAGGCCAGCAAGCACCTGAGCTCTCGTCTCACATGACCCGAGCCTCTAAACACAGTCAGTCCTTTCTGATGATGTGAGGAGCAGCATTTTTAAGGAAGCTGTAGTAGTGACTTCCTTGAGGATACATATAAATCATATGAAATCTTGTCTATCTCTATTTTGTAATTTCTGAGACATGTGATGTTCTGGCATCATGTTAATTTACATGTTAATATTGTATATGTATATGTTCACAATAAGAAACTATTTTTTCCCACACACAAGCAGCTCTCAGTAGCTAATCCAAGCCGATTTCTGTTATCCCCTTAACTTAAGGGTACTTTTACTTTACAGGAGTTTATTTGAAGACTCTACTTTTATTTCTGAGGGAAATATTGCACTTTCTTTGCACTCTCTTTAGCGATCTGAACAAGCTATAATAACAGTAAGTTACTAAAAGCTTTGCAGAATAATAGAATAACCAACATATGATCAGCTTCTAAAATGTGATGAGTCTTCATGGATGTAAAACCTTTCTGGCAAATTAAATACTTCTTTATGAAATACTATAATATGAGTTTACTTTTGAAAAATGTGTTTGTTCAACAACAACAAAAGGACACATTCTACTTGAATGCTACAATAAGAGGCTACTCCATTTACTTTGAATGAAGAAATATAGAAAGTAAACATTAACTGTGTTATTAATACATTCCCATCTGACTCTTGTAGCCCTGCATGAAATCCTGATCACATTAGCTTCTTCTCTTCTGAAAATCGTACAGTCTTTTCATTTCCTCTTATCCTGGCTTTTGCTCTCGCCTCTTGTCTTTCTTTCTGTTTTATTTGAAAGTAAGAATGTGCAATTCAGCTGAGGCTCTGAGCTAAAGAGAGGAGAGGAAGAGGAAAGCAGTGCAAGACAAGAAGTTCAACATCCACAAGAGAGATGATTGCCTCCACTCAGCCAACACAGACAAACAAGCAGCATTGCCTATTTAGGAGTATTGCACTGGTCTGCTGAGAGCGCTGTTTCATGTGTCTCATCAACTCGATCATCTACTGTACTCTTAGACACACCCTCTCTCTTTTCTCTTTCTGTATGTTTCTCTGCTCCATTTGAAGAATAAAAGTCACGATGAAATGTCTATAAATAAATAAAAATAAAAATAATTTGTCCCCTTAGTGTGGAAAATGTCCTCCTGCTGAATTCTACACAACATATGAATGAACAATCTGTTATGGTGCTGCTGGACTGTTTTTATGCTTATTTTATATCAAACATTTAAAATTAAAAGACTTATTATATACAATTAGTAGTCCTAAAATTGATGTATAAACTGCTGCATAAAAATCCTTTTGAAGTTGAATGTGAGTTAATTTATTACTTGGTGAAGTTCAACGTTTTTATGGCTTTTGAAGGATGGTGAAGTCATACTTAAGCCACAAGGAGGTCCAGTGTGCCAGAGAAAAAGGAGCTAATCTCCAGGTCTCTTTAATGACATCATGCATTTGGTTTGGCAGCTGCCCAAAGCAGAAAGGGAGGAGACGGTAGCTGATTTAGGTTTTCAACAGTTTCAAGCCACACATGATGGTGCCTTTGGGCTCTGCTGTTCATTATAGGGATGCCAGGAGTCCACTTACAGTATACAATAACAACATGTGCATTAATAATATCACAACACACAATGTCCTCATTGAGCTGGAGTACATCATATTGTTACGGTTTACAACTAGACATTATGTTATGTATGAGGGAGAGGTAATGAAAGTAGTATTCAGACCCTTAATGTCATATTTAAATGTCATACATTCAAAACTTCTATCTAAACTATTTTATTGTACCATAATTGTACAGCTATGTAACCAATATCTTAATGTTGTAGCTTTATGGGTTAGATGACATTTTTTAAAGTTTTGGTTGTAACAGTGCAACATTTTATGAAGTATTCATAGTTTTGTTTCCAGAACTTGCCATTTAAAAGCTGTTAATACAGTTAAGAGTAAATGTAAAGGAGCATAATTATAAATTAGCATCAAATAATAAATAAATCTATTTATTCTGGCTATTAACAACATCGCTCTTATTTTAAAAGGATATAGGTCACTGACTGATAGCTAAAATATATAACGTTTTTTTTTTTTGTAAAGGAAAAAAAAAAAGGTTTAAGTATGTTTCTCTAAAATATACGAACACGTGGGTGGAACTATAAAGATGCACGCAAATGGATAGTAACACATGTGCATTGCCAAATACAGTTCATCACCTGTTAGGCAGCAAAACACTGTGCTCCAACTAAGCTTAAGTGGACTGAAAAATGTATTTGTCACACGTTTCTGTATTTTCCAGTCAGGACGCTCTGTTTGTAACTCGGGATGTAACTGATCTCAATTATATCGGAAATCTCCAACCGATGAGTTAAACGCAGCAATTACGCACTTGACATAACTAATCCTAAATGGACCGAATAGCCGGCTGGTGATAAACTTCCTCTGTCCAGTGAACAGAGCAGCTGTCTGATAACCTGCGTGAAACAGAGCTGTGGTTTTGGACTCACCTCTCCAAAGCGAACAGATGCGCGTCTCTCTCTCAACTAGCAGCAGCAGCAGCAGCAGTGTCCGGTGGCTTCAGCTCAAATGTCAAATCTGCGGAGGCAACGCAGCTTTAAAAGACAGAGGGAGCAAGAGAAAAACACTTCAGGACATGAGCCAAACCTCTGCTAGCTCTCATAAACAATGACCTCAACCAGGAATTTACAAGATCTCTTAGTGAAGGCACGCGAAGCAAACGGGATTCTACAAAAAACAATTAAGTCATAACTTTTCTACATCAACGAGCATGCAGATTTAATAATGGCCTGTCTGTGTCAGAGGTAGGCTGTGCAGGATCTCCATTTATTATATATTTCATTGTTTTAATATGTAAACATTTCTGGTGTTTATTAAAGATGGTCTTGTTCACACTTTTGCCCTTCTTCTGTGTTGGCCTCACTCCTCTCCTTCTTTGGTAATGAAAAGAAGAATCAAGATGACTCAGTCTTAACAGCAAAGTAAATACATGCAGCCCTGTACACTTAACCCTCAAAGTTAAGCCATTAGAATTACAAATAGATGATGAAATGCACGAAAGGTGATCCTCTTAACAGATGCCAGCTTTAATTTCAGCTGTCATTGAGACTAAACAGCTCTCAGAGCTCCATCCAAGGATCCAGAGGAAACATCTGACTCCAAGGTGAGAGGGAGGATTCGTTTGTTTGTAAAGTCAGCATGAAGATATGAAGGGAAGGTTTAAAGGTCAAGTCTGTAGTGTTTAAGGTGACCAGGCTCTTATAATCAACTCTGACAATAAGTATGTTGTCTTTTCTACTCGTAAAAAAGCTTCCACTTGGTAACCCATTATTACCCCATTTCAAGTTGATTTAATTAACAAACACAATAAAAACTGATACTTTGGATAGATGTTGATAATCTGTGAGTGTCCTTTACATATCTGGCTGGAGATATTTCACTGTGCACATTTGCAAGAGTAATGGCAGGCTAGAATTTCCCTAAACAAAGAATCCAGTATTGAGTGGATGAATTGAAATGCAACAGAGGATGCAGCATAAACCTTCATCTGTTATGTATTTCAAGAGCCTCATTTTGTGGAAATCCTTGTAAGTGAAACTCTTTGCTTTATTTAAAAGCATTACATATTTTATTATGAGTGTGAAAATGGTGGAATGATCCTTGATTGATTTGACACATTCGACAAAATAAAGAAATGTGTGGAAATCAAGTGTAATGCTGCTGAGAGACCTCTATTATTATCCACACAAGCCAAAGAGCTAAGTGTCCCTTTAAAACAACTATTTCCTCCCTGGACCTACTCCACTATACAGACATTCTTGAGCCGACTGGAGGGAGTTGTGCCCATATAAGGAACATGTTACCTGATATCTAGCACAAATTGTGCCTGAGAATAAAATGCCATCAGTCTTTTGCTGTGCAGGGTGCGGCTTTCATATTAACACCACTCTGCCTCTATCTGGGGTACAATTCTTTATATTAAATATTTTTAGATTTTTTGTTTCATTAAATGTGACATAAAGAAAGACTTTTAAACTTGGTGAACGTTTTATCAAATGGCGAGAAAAAGACGTAGCTACTAAAGCAACGGTCATATTTCACACAGCGATAAGGCATTAAAACACACACACAAAACACACACATTGCAGTGTGTAGAGCTGACTGTTTGAAAACACAAAGCACAGCAGGCCTCTTTGGTCAGATACTGCTAATGAGATGATAAGCAGGATAAGAGGAAACATTCAGTATTTCTTCTCTTAATAAAACGTTTCTTTAAAGGTGGGGTAGGTAAGTTTGAGAAACCGGCTCGAGATACACTTTTTGTTATATTCCATGGAATGCTCTTAACATCCCGATAGCAATGAATATCTTAAGTGCTTTGACAAAAAATCCATTCAAAAAATGTCATCTGTGGAAGCCGTAATACTGTAAAAAGTACGACCAATCATTTTAGCCGGCCCGGCTAAAATAACTGGATGGCCTACCTGCCTGTCAGCCTTCCATCTGTGCACAAACTTATCTTGTGCCCTCATTGGTCATGTGCGCGTTTGTGTGTGTTGGAGGAGGGGCTCTGTAAAGAAGTGGCAGATTTCTTCCGGCTGTGTATTTTCAAATTCTAGCACACTCGAGCTGGTTTCTCCAAAATTACCTACCCCACATTTAAATGCAGAAAACCCCCCAATAATGACTCTTAAACTTGGTGAATATTTGATCAAATGGGGGGAACAAGATGTCGTTATTAGAGCAAAGTTCACATTTCACATGGTGTCATAGAATAAAACCATTTCTTTAAATGGTTTTTAAATTCCCAACCTTTTGAGCATACTTTCAAATGAAACAGCTTCAATCTTCAATGTAAAAACTTGCATATGTATATAAAGGCATAACCAAACTTAAATGTTTTCTTTTGACCTTAAGAATCCCAATGAGATAAAATGCCCAGTGTTACAAAAAAAGAGGAATGTCAGAAAAATCGTTAAAAGTAGAAATCTCACAAGCTTTCATATTTCTCATGTGACCCTTTGGTGGGACTGTGCCCTCTTGTTCGAAACAACTGCAACCCAAATGTTTGGAGTTAACTTTCCTTTAACCAGTCTGAATTCGACGTTATCCCACAGGAATATTTGACCATATTTAAAATCTTGTAGGCTTGGGCTATCTGCCACATTTGAAGGATATAATGGTTAGAAACCGGTTCTTAGCTACATGTGAAGTCCAAGAGTTATGCAACTCAAATTAAATCACTTTTGGCGCTAATCTCCTTACATATTTCTTGTGGATGGGATGATCCTTGGAGCTGGACAGCTGCATTCTTACACTGACATGCAATAAAAAAGGAAACAAGGTAAATGAGGAGGCCATTAGAGCGAGGGCTTTAATCAAAAGCACAGGCTTCTGTTTATTGACTGTTGCACGCACATGAACAGGTGAGAGGATATTTACACAGATGTAAACAGTCAGTACCTGCAACACAGAGGAAGAGAACATCCCTTCTCTCCCTCTCACACACACACACACAAGTACACACATCCATATACACTTGCAGGAATGACACACACACACACATTCACACACAGAGAGTTTGCAGTATAAAGATAGAGTGGACTGTCTGAAAACACAAAGCACAGCAGGCCTCTTTGGTCAGCTACTTCAGACAGGAGTTCCAACGATAAAAGCCGATCACAAGTCACCATTCAGAGAACAGAGAGACGCTGGCAGAGCAGTACGCAAACACCAACATTTCAGCTTTTGCAGATTTCACATTATTTCATATGTCAGTTGAAGATCAGGGGCACACACTCTGCTTGTATATATGTTCTATATTTTCTTCCTTTCAGTGAAAGATGAATGATTCATGCTCTGTAGAAGTCGTGTCCACAGCATCAAACTAACACATGTACCTGAATGGTGAATGGATGAGATGAAACAACAGTATAAAATGACTTATATATATCCTTCTCTGTGGTCACTGCAATGTGGAATGAATTATTTACAAAGAAATATCAATAAACCAACTCAACGTCTACTGATCAAGATTCATTAAACTGATTTAAATTAGCTAATTATTCAACAACCTCTCAAATCATAAAGGAAAATCATATAAAAGCAGCTGCGAGATAAAACACCAGAGGAAAAACAATAAAACATTCCTCATGGATGAGTGCAAATGATTCAGCTTTCTTTTTTTCATAATCTCGCTGACACAAAATGAAATAATAGCACAGACAAAAAGTATAAAATGGTCAAAAGAAAAGAGTTTCCTGGATAATGTGGTGTCAATAAGTTGTGAACACTTTCCATTAGGAGTTCCTGCACAGCAGAAGATAACTGTGGAAGGAAAAGCAATATCTTAAAGTCGTCTCTTCCTTCCACCTCTGTATCATCACCAACACACGTCCGACTATCCCTCCCCCATTTCTCATTTTTATCTTATATTACTTTCACTCTTTTAAGAAACCCTTTAATCTTCTCGGGCTTCCATTTTGCAAACACCAACATTTGTTTATTCAGCTCACCAAGACGATAGACCACAAAACGGTAGTGTTAAAATAAGTCACCACGTTCAAACTGTTTCTTGGCTTCCGTCAACATCAACACAGCGTTGCCACGGTGACACCCTATCAACACTTCCTGTAAGACCCGCAGTAACAGCTGACCGACAATCATTAACCCCTCAAGATCACAATTGTGTACAGCAGAGAGAAACATCCAGCACATCAGCAACTAATGTTGTTCTATTCTTCTCATAATGATGAACTGCCGCAGCGCCAAGCTTAATATCAGAGATACATTGATTAGAATAATAATCAGGTAGACTTTTCTGTCTTCTTCACAGACTGTATGGTCCTCATTAATCTTATCTCTATTGTTTAGTCGATTGACAAACAAAAAATGTTGATAATAATTATATTTTTTAAGCAAATATGCCTCACATTCACTGCGTCCAGCTTCTCAAATCTAAACATTTGCTTATTTTTCCATGGGTATAAAGTGAATATCTATGGGTTTGTAACTGTTGATATGAAAAACAAATCAAGCTTAATCGTATTCACAAAATTGTGAGTTAGTGTGCTTACCAGTAACATGGTACTAAGTTCTTATTATTGGTCAAAATGACTAACCAATAACAGTTTCCTTAAGAGTCCAGTTCATCTCTCTGTTTTTTCAGCTTCTTCTAATCAGAAGATTTTCATCCAAAGTCTTAAATTAATGTACGATTGAAATAGAAAATGTATGCACAAAGTTAAATGTCTATGACAAATGTGACTCGGCTTAAAATACTTAAGCTCTGTTGCAAAAATAATACAAAGGTCGTCTGCATTCTGTTTTCACTAAATGTCCAAATGCAGCACAGAAATGGCACAAATCTTTCTCTTTTAATTTCGGAACAACAGCCCTTCAATCTGCTGTGAGCGACATCAGCTTCTAAAATAAGGTGTAAAGTCCCTCTCTATGTCACAGTCAAAGGTCATTGGGAGAGATCAACAACTTTCACTGCCAGGTTACACTGCATCAGTGGCATCACATTGTTACAGACTATTTACAGGCCAATAGCACAAACTGACAGCCCAAACACTCACTGAGTATATTGCTACCTTATGGACGGAGATGTCTGGATAGTTTTTGTATTTTTTTTTCTTTTTTACAAAGGAAAACTACCGCCCATCCTGAACTGGCTCTGCTTACAAGAGCTGATCATGGGTTGTCAGGCTTACAACTACAATTCCCAGGCACTTGATTGTAACAAAACGTACAGTAAAGTCGTCCACTGGGTCAGCAACATTCAAGGTCAGACCCAAATCACAGAAAGCCCTCAGCCTCCCATACGAAGAAAAAAAAAACAAGCATCCTCAGCATGCATATCAAAGTTATAGTACTCTGGTGATATAATGTACATCCACAAATAAGCTAGTGGTTGGTACTTGCATTTACACACTAACACATGCTGCTAGACCTCTGCAATGCTACAGCAAGGTGACTGACACACCGTTTTAAGCCAAACTAAGATAATTGAATATCAAAAGATAATAATTGCAAATAAATAAGTCTATATTACAATTATGACAGATGCCAGAGAGGTGTGAAAAGAGCAGAGCGAAAATGAGGTAGAGACATTGATTTGTCACTAGAGGAAGTGAGAAAATGAAACCGGGAAGAAAAAGTGTGGGAAGAAGAGGAATGAGGCAGGAGGAAGAGGAGGGGTGTCAGGTACTGGTCTTTGCTCAATGGCTCGGGTAAGTGTGAGTCGGACGGTTTGTCTGGGTCTGCTCTGAAAGACGGTCTTCACATCCGTAGGTGGTGGTGGGGGTCTGTGAAGGGCGGCTCAGAGTCGTCCATGGGCAGCACCAGGCGCGTGCCCCTCATCACCAGCTCGTGGTCTCCGTACGTCAGCTCTCTGTCCAAGTCCTCCGAGGTGGAAGCGCCCGCAAAGGCTGGAGCTCCACTGGTGTGGGACCCTGACGCGTCGGTGCTGACTGTGATGTCACCGTAGGTCAGGTTGAGGTCACCGTCTGTCAGGATGAGGTCGGAGTCGTCATCCTTCAACTGGCATTCATTCTGGGGAGAGAGAGGAGATGTCAGATACTCACACAAACCAGAACAATTGTGCAAGATGCTATTAAGCCATTCTATATTCATTATTAAGGCTAATTTTTACTAATAAAAGGTTGCAAATCTGCTTAGTGATTATTCTCGTTCCCTTGTCTGCCCTGTTACATTTCTCAACTGAAATGTTTTTGCTTCATGACTCATCAAAGTATCTTTTTGTCTTTGGTTAAAACAGGATAGAACTTCACAAACACAATCCGGCCACAAATAGCTCCCGTATGAACCCCTGTCTGACCTCATAGGCCTGAGGGCTGGTGAGGAAGCGGGCGAGGGGTCCGCAGCAGGGGGGCAGCGTGGCCGTGAGGGGGGGGGCCGCTGTGAGTCAGGATGGGCTTCACGTAGCTGGAGAGGGGCTTGAGTCAAGGACAAAATACATAGACAAAATACATAGACAACAAGCACTGAAGGAGAGTGGTAAGACACAAAAAAGGAAAAATAATATTCCTTTATAGTGTGATTAATAAATGCTGACAGAGTATTAAAAAAGGTTAAAGGGCAAAATCATCCAAATGTAAGTAATTTAATTAGGTCTTTTACATTAATGACCTTCATTCTACCCAGTTATTAAAAGTGATCATCTGTCTTCCTGTCTGTACATGGTGCTCCCTCTGCTGACTGACGCTGAGAACTACTGATGCATCTAGTAGTACTCTCAGTACTCTCAGTACTCTCAGTACTCTCAGTACTCTCAGTACTCTCAATACTCTCAATACTCTCAGTACTCTCAGTACTCTCAGTACTCTCAGTACTCTCAGTACTCTCAATACTCTCAGTACTCTCAGTACTCTCAGTACTCTCAGTACTCTCAGTACTCTCAGTACTCTCAGTACTCTCAGTACTCTCAGTACTCTCAGTACTCTCAATACTCTCAATACTCTCAGTACTCTCAGTACTCTCAATACTCTCAATACTCTCAGTACTCTCAGTACTCTCAATACTCTCAATACTCTCAGTACTCTCAGTACTCTCAGTACTCTCAATACTCTCAGTACTCTCAGTACTCCCAGTACTCTCAATACTCTCAGTACTCTCAATACTCTCAATACTCTCAGTACTCTCAGTACTCTCAGTACTCTCAATACTCTCAGTACTCTCAGTACTCTCAGTACTCTCAGTACTCTCAATCATAATTTATTCTTTATCCAAACCAAAGGCTTTGTAGTTTTTGCCGGTTTTTAATACTGAATAACATTCTTGTTTTTGTTATGCTATTTCATGACTGATTTCCACTGTTTTCTTTTTTACAGACTTCTTGTATTTATATATTTTTTAGATTTCCTGTCAAGTGAGACAAGAGACAAAATAAAAGTATGTTTCTTGAAGTCAAAGACATTGATGAAAACCAATCATCTGTCTTAGAAGGATACTTGTGGTCAAAGTTGTACCACTTTCTGAAGAGCCAGGCACTTTCTTGTTTGGTGCTTCTTCTCTCTGAGCCGTCAGTGATACTCGACTGTAAAAGCACAGAAAATGTGGTTAAGCTGTACAGTCACATTAAAGCAACAAGTATTTCAACGGCCACACTTACTGTGTTATCTAGATCAGAGTCCACTCCCACTCTGTGGAAGAACAAACAAGCAGATGTCAGTCAGTTGCAAGTATAAACTGTGAAGCTTGTTTCCCCCGTTTAGCAAGTTCCTGAGAGGAAAGGCTGCGCGGAAATGTTGGCGTGCTGTAAAAAAGCTCGAGCATTCACCAGAGCCAAAGGTTAAATTGAATGACATTTAGAGTTGTAATCCCAGGAAAATGTTAAACATGGGGGTCATGAAGTCTGGACAAAAGAAGCATTAGTATAATTCTCTGATGTTATCTGAAATACCCTGACACATTAAACCTCTCCAATGTTCAAAAATACTAGCTGCGAATCCAGTTTGACCCAGGAATAATAATAAGAGCAGCTCAAAGTGCTTTGCAGAACAAAAAGAAAACATAACAACAATATTAAAATAAATACAGAACAAGATAAAACATCAACAGTGATCCTAATGAACTTCCCTTGAAGTAAAGCTGACAAGAAATTAAAATAGAAAAAAAGCAAAAAATTCAAAAAATAAAATAAAAAATGTAAAAAAAAGCAAAACGGAAAAAAAGACATTTCTTTGAGAATTTAAAGTTAAGCCAAATTAAAAGCCATATTAAAAAGATTTTTTATTTACTTTTAAACATTTCAAAGGAGTTTGCTGTTCTAAGATCCACGGCTGGTGGGTTTGACAGGTGAAGAGGAGACATACCCAGGGTTCATACACCTTTTCACCAATGATTTTCAATGACTTTTCCATGACCTTTACCTAATTTTCCATGACCAAAAAAATGATTCTTTCTCAGCGGTACCACTGAAAATGGTTTATTTTAACATGGAACAGGAAAATAAGGTCTGCATATGAAACATGTTGTGCCTATCTAAAACAAATAGGCTTACTAGCTTCTACACGCTAAAGCAACTAAAATCTCTCACCAGCAAAATACCTCGTCAGTTAAATGCCATTTTACGTTTCATTACTATACGATACAGTATTTATTATCATTATAGTATTACTATTTCGGCGATTAGCTAAAATATAAATTATATTTGATGCAACTTTAGTTACATTTCCATGACTTTTCCAAAACTTTGGGAAAAATATATATTTTTTCCATAACTTTTCCAGGACCTGGAATTTGCATTTTGAATTTCCATGACTTTTCCAGGTTTTTAATGACCGTAAGAACCCTGCATACCGTATGTGCTGGCAGGACAGCATCTGAGTGGTGCCCCCTCCACAAATCCAAACAGTGAAGAAGACCACCAGCAGAGTGGTGGTGAACATCATCTGACGGGCGTATGTGGCCGTGTCCCTGATGGACAGAGCGAAGGTCATCGCGCCTCGCAGTCCTGAAGGGCACAAACAAGGATGTAAATCAAATCAGGTGACAACTGTTTAAATCCTGGTTGGTTATCTTTCACTAATCCACAGTGAGCTGCAAGAAACTAGGAAAGGTTTTAGAATTCTAAAAGCCTCAAAAAGGTCTTATTTTCACCCAAATGTTTTTACCCTTTTATGAACATGTCCTCTCCAATCTGTAAACCACTAACCTGCGAACATCATCATGTGCTGGAAGTTGGATCTGATCTTGTTGCGTCGGCCCAGATTCAGGAGCAGCGACAGAGGGTAGATGTTTGCAGCTCTTCCAATGAACACAGCCACCTGGTTGGGAACGAGGTTAAGGAAAGGACAACAACACAGAGACCTACTGAAGTCTCCTCTCTTCTTCTGCAACTTAAAAGTGCTGAAATGAGTGTCAGGTCCAGATTCCTGCACTGATACTTACATCTTAGTTAAATGGTGTGATACATCAGGCTTTGGGAGCACCAAGTTATGCAAAAGATACAAAAGCTCCCACGATGAACATGGGATTGAAGACGTGGCTCTGGAAGGTGAAGAGGGCCAGGCCCATGTAGGAGAAAATGAAGTTCTCTGCCAGGAAATTCAGCAGCTCGAACAGCTGCAACAGTGGAGCTTACAATTTCAGTGCACGTACTAATGCAGTTATTTTGTATCATTATACTTGTAAAGAAGTCACCTTATATCTAATCACTTAGACAGTTAAGAGACATGAGAAAAAAGGGTTTTTAGCTTAGATTAAAATGTAGATACACATTTTGAGGGTAACCAGGAATGTGGAGAAGAATAATTATATAATATAAAATGCCGTTTGTCTTTTTTTGAATCTATCAAATCAATAGATCAATCAACAGGTGAATTGAAACGAATACATCAGAAAGTACAGCAAACCTATTACTATTGTACAATGTGAAAGTGTGTAAATGTACAAACATCTGATAGTTGTGTGATACTTTTGACTTGTAAAACAAAGCCACTAATAAAATGCCACCGATAATTATTTTTACTCCTCTCAAAATAAACACAAACATGGAGGAACCATAGAAACAGGTGGAGCAGTGGTGTGCAGGTCTGACCTGTTTGGTTCTGTCCTGGGAGTCAGGAGACAGGTTGTTGAAGGTGTAGTGAGCCTGAGTGATGCCACAGAACAACACCGCGACCACACCTGCAACACAACAGAGACACGGAGATACAGAAGATTATTACTTATACATAAACATCAACGACATTCCTGTTTACATCTCTGTATGTAAATGACTTCTCATCATTCAAAAATTGCAATACTTTGCAATACTGTGTACCATATTACTTCATTTTTGATTTTATTGATGTATATATATTTTGCCCCTTATTTGAACTTGCACTATGTCTTAGTCTGTCATTTTGCAAATGTCCTTGTTTTTAAAATACATATTTAATGAGCATATTCAGAGGGATACTGCATTCCAAGATGTTCATTGCCAAAACTGGTTAACTGAAATCGTTCTGCAGATGAACGATAACAGAACTTGAGTTAAAACACTTTGATGATATTGAACATAAATATTGAATTTAGATTTTTAATTTGAATGTAGCTGCAGCAGTTTATGCAACTACATTTATAAACAGAATTGTCTCAATCTTTTTTATCTGATCCTTTTTTATAGAATGGCAACCCTTTCAATTACAATATACTATAATTAGTCTTTCAATATATGTGTGTGTGTGTGTGTGTGTGTGTGTGTGTGTGTGTGTGTGTGTGTGTGTGTGTGTGTGTGTGTGTGTCACAGGAGATGATTGTGTACTTTTACTCCACTGTATTTATTTAATACCTTTAGTTACTTTACAGATTTGGATTAAGCATTTTAAATATAATCAACCCTTAAATAAGACTTTAATTATACATGGAGAAACATTCACAAGCTACCCTGCAGCATACAAAGTCATTCAAACTAGCTGTACCTTTACTAGCTTTGATAAACACATTAATGCCTCAATAATTATAATCAAAATATATAATATATAATTCTGAAATGGGCCATTTGCTTAATGAATACTTTGACTTGAGTAACATTTTGAATTCAGGACTTTTAACTTGTAACAGAGTATTCCTACACTCTGGTATTTCTACTTTTATTCAATTACAAGATCTAAATACTTATTTTGTGTGTGTGTGTGTGTGTGTGTGTGTGTGTGTGTGTGTGTGTGTGTGTGTGTGTGTGTGTGTGTGTGTTGTGTGTGTGTGTGTGTGTGTGTGTGTGTGTGTGTGTGTGTGTGTGTGTGTGTGTGTGTGTGTGTGTGTGTGTGTGTGTGTGTGTTACCTGTGAAGCCACAGGCCTCAGCGAGCAGGAACGTGCTCCAGGACATGAGGAAGAACAGAGCCGTCTCCAACAGCGGGAAATCCCTCAGTTTAGTGAACTTAGTGACGTACGGACAAGAAGTCAAGGAGTTTAACAAAGACACTGCGAAATCAATTCATGTTAAAGCATCTAAGAAAAGTTTTGGGAGACAGCTATGTTTAAAATATGAATGAATTAATAACGAAATGAGAGAAAAGATATGAGAGCAGTGACGACTCCGGTGGCCACTCCCAGAGCGAAGGAGCCGCTGAAAACCCCGATGAACATCCCGAAAGACTTCAGCAGCGCCATGACCTCGAACGTGTGGCTGTTGTCCCCTTGTGGCTGGTACGCTACTATAGACCTGATCAAAAGAACAGTTAGAGAGAGTAAATCATGTCAAACTTGAACGAAACTCACTTTGAAGTTAAATACACACTTCACAGCTTATCAAACTAAAGTAAAGGACTGCATTCAGAAAATGCAGAAGGCTTGAACAATACGATGTAACTTTCTAACCAGGTCTGTAAATAGAAACTCCTTGACTAAAGTAGGTCACTTTTTTTTAGAATATCTTTTATGCTTTTCTATTTCTTTATTAGATATAGCTGAAGATCAACATGAGAGGGCGAGAGAAAGGCAGCAGAATGCAGGTCTGCAGTAAAGACCCAGCCTTAGAGCAAGGGGAGAAGAGCAGTCACATCAAACACAGCACACGAAGAAGTCAGAGTGTTGGATCGAATGTGACTCAGTGTTAATAATCAACTTATAAAGTGGCATGCTTAAAAGTTACTAAGTGAAATTGCAGTGTTGAACAGTAAAGATATGTCATCTATTCTTTGGACTGCATGTGCAGGTAAGTTGATGCTATGGTCAAGATATGTTGCTAAGGTAGCTTTCTATGGGTGGCTTCACTTTGTACCTACAATACACTGAGAACATTATCTGTATTGCTCTGATCATTGCTTTGTTGATCCTGACTGGTGGTTCATATAAAGTGAAGTGGGTGCATGACAGAGTATAAGGATTGATGTGGGGGTTGTCTTTAAAATAACTAAATTAAATTGTCAATGCCTTTAAGCCAATATGCATCGACTATTTCCCAAAAATCATGTGCCGGGTTGGAACAATAGATGATAAAACGTAATAAACGCTCTGGTCTTACTAACGTTATTTTAACAACCAACCACAACAAGAAAAGAGGGACTGTGTTTTTTTTTGCCAAACATTCAACATCGTTACTTGCAGTTTTCTTTCTACAAGGTTAACAACCATGTTTTCTCAGAAGAGAAAGACTACAGAGCTACTTGTTTAGGTTTATGAAAATGTCTTTATAACACTTCCAATGTTTGAAAGGCTGCTCATTGACATATCTGTGTTATAGCTACAGTGAACTGCACAGTATTAAAGATTAAATGTGTAATCCATCGACTTCATGTCAGGTGGTAGTCAACACTGAACCATCATCCAACCAAACGGACAAAATACATATTTAAAGATCAAACCTTGCATCAAACCTGGGTCGAATATCTTTAAACTGAGCCGGGGCTGGGATGAGAAGGATTTTATCGCAGCAAAATTACTCAAAATTCAACACGACAGTTATTCAAAAAAGTGAAACAAATATTCTGCTGAGGTACTTTTGCGATAAAATGCTTTGAAAGGGATATATATTTATTTATACAATCTACATCCACAGCCCCCACACTCACAAAACAAATCACCAGGCATTTTGTCTACAAGCATTCCTGGCACCCTGCCGTCTCTTTGGCTTTTGTATATACAGTATCTCCAAAAAATAATAGGAATATGAATGTGCTGACTAAAACACCACAAAACCATTTACAAGAAACCCCAAAACTATGAATAAATATTTAAATGATCTGAATCTCTGGTTGAATAAGCCCGAGTTGAGAAAACAAATGGCTGGTGATTTGTCATGTTTGTCCCAAGGCACCGCAAAGGCCCACAATGCCATGCTTAGTGCACCCGCTCAGTGGGCCGGGCTGAGTCTCGCTGCGGGGACCGGCCCCTCCACTGCGCCTGATATTTATAATTCTGTGGAGTCCAACGCAGAGGAGGAGATAAAAATGATGTTGGACCACCTTGTGTTAAGCATAGCGTTAATGAGAAAAGGATATTATATAGGTTAGTTCAAAGGTCACTGCGGATCGATACAAAGGCATGACTTGCACATTTCTCTCATTGCAGCAGCTGTGTGTGCATTGAAGATGGACAGGGTTACATGCAGACTCATGGTTCGAGAGTGATGTGATTTCAAGACAACTTACGAGGACAGAACCACGGCAACCGCATCGTTCAGTACGCTCTCTCCGAACAGCAGAGCGTAGAGATCCACGTCCACATGCAGCTCGCTGAAGATAGCCAGGACCGTCACTGTGAACAAAAAAAACACACTCAATCCCTCTGGTCTTCTGCATGCTAGAGTAATGTTAACAGCGCACATCAAGAATTGTGTCGATCACATACATATATTAACACTGTAAAAGTCCAACATTCAGTTCTAATTCACTTTTTATTATAGTCCCTTTATTGAAAATAGAAAACAAATCAAAACGTGCACTGACAGACTTTAAACTGCAAATTAGGAAAATAAAATTAAGGAAATAAAAAGGCAAAAATGTTTTTCCAAGTTTATATAACACTTGTTTGTGTTTTCTGAGCTTTTTCCTTTGCCAGTTTAAAACACTTTTTACCAGCTGTGGATCACATCTCCATCCTCCCTTTGCATTGTGGGTAAAATAGTGTCTATCAAAGCAAAATCCAAGAACTGGGCAGCTGTAAAAGACATGATGCTGATTGTTTCAGTCTGAATGCTTTTTTCTGAGTATATTGTATACAACTTTGACAATTGTTGTTGTCGTACTTTTTAATTTTGCTTTGCTTTTCCATAACGGAAAGACAAACAATTGAAATGTATGATGAGTTGCTTGTGTCTTCGACTATTTGTGAGAACCTTTACTACATGTTCGGAGCAATTCAAGACATAAAAGTGACTCCAGGTTATAATGAGTGTAACTTGTAAGCAAATTCAAACTTTGAGGACTAAGAATAAGCATACGCACCGGGGTCTGTGGCTGAGACAATGGCTCCGAAGAAAAGACAATCGGTGAAGAAGAAGTCTCCACCCAGCTGTCCCACCTGCTTCATCAGCAACACACAGCCATACATCAGCAGCCTGACGGAGGGACAGCAGGTGGTTCAGGACATCATCATAAACAACACTGACTTTATTGGCGTTAAAGACTGGCAATTTAGAGATATGTGGGAAATCAGAATGATGGATGTCTCTTTTAGGTTTTGCAAATGAACAATCTTACCCAATAACAAAACAGGAAACAACTGTTCCCAGGAAGGCGTAGGCCAGGATGGATCCCATATTAAGGAAAAAGTGTCTCTGAAAGAAAATTCAAACAAGTTCAACTTCATGAGGAGAGGACAGTATGCCATTAGGAATCAAATGTGGTAAAAGTATTTTACCCATTGAGTTCATATGCAATAGTGGAGAGTAGCTTAAATACTACTGTACCCTTTTCAAGCTGTAGCCAGCATGGAAGATGATCGGAGGTAGGAGGATATTGAAGAACACTTCAGGGTCAAAGGTCACCTGAGTCACATAAAAAAAACACAGCATCACATTATAGTTGTTATAATTCAAATTGACCAATAAAAGAGACTACTTCTTTAATCGATACTATTTGGCTGATGCATTTTGGACAATTTAAATAAATGAATTAATCATAAACGGCACATCTGGGACGTCATGAAGTAGCTTCCAGGTTATTACAATAACAAAATATCAAGCATGGACAAAGGAGAGAGCTTTAACCTAGACATAAGTCTGAATCAATGCTATAATAAATCTTTATTTGATTTTTTGAATAAAAAATGTGGAATAATTCATGACAGAAGACATCTGATGGTGGAAAACCTCCTCTGATGGTGCTACGGCACTGTTTTGTTTACACATTTGTTGTTTTTGGGGTATGATTTTCTTAAAAAGTAGGGCACCTAATGGTCCCATGCAGTCCTCAGAGGTGCACACTGAACCACAACATGCTCATCATGGCTCCAAAAAATCAAAGGGATAACGTTCAGTTACGTTTTTGTGAACAATACAGTAAGCATTGTGCGGTAAAACATCTAATGTCAACCAATCAAATATTTCAAACTCAATTGATGGACCGTACCTTTCTCAGCATCTCATTATCTTGTATGTCGTTCACCTCGTTGGCACCGATCTCTCCTTTCAGAGTGTACTCGTAGAATTTGCCACTGACGTTGACCAGCAGGGTGGCGGGGCTGGAGTTAACGTGGCAGCTCATCGTGACGTTGCTAATGTCCCGAGGAACATGGATACCATAGCGCAACACCGCGCCAACAAGTACACCTAGTGGGGAAAAAGAGGGAGAACGAAGGGGGGAAGTTAATTTATGTAAGCTCTTTATGCTACCAAGTCCAACAAGGGAAATGTACAAGGAGAAGTTAATAGAGAAGTGGAAGTATGGTGTTCATGATTCTGGGACTGCCTGGTTTCAGGGAGGCATCAAACGTTTTAGCAAGATAACTTTGTGGTAACCAATTGAAAAAAGGCAACTTCCTCAAAAAGCCAAAACTCAATGATGGCATAAACTTAGTGTAGAAATGACATGTAACAAATGAATTTGAGAATGAATTGCCCTTTCAGATATGTGCTGGAAAAACAAGGCCCTCGTACATCCAAAGATGCAAAGCAAAGCACAGCCACACAGGTATCGTGCTGTGGTTTTAAGCTGATTATTGACTGTTGAGTGAAGCTATGCTGTGTGACAACAAATACAAATACAAATGCTTATCAAAATAAGAATGTCGCCACCTGACAAAACTAACCTACAAGAGAGTACAAGATGTCAAGCTCTGTTTGAACATGCCCACACTTTTTAAGAATATGTCGGCCTTTTTAGAACCAGACATTTTGACTTCTCAAGCAGGCAGAGATTACCCTGTGGATGGCTCTGTGCCATTTAAGTTCTCCAGTGTGCCAAGCCGGTGAGCCAGCAAGGCAACAATCCTGGAACTGGCACACTGTTGTGATTGACTTGTTGTGACGTTGTTGTGGTTGCTGTTGTTTTAAAGGGTTATTGTTTAATAGTTTGTACTGCACAATATATAATTTGTTATCTTTGTTTTGTGTATTTTCCTACTATGTCCAAATGTCTGCTGTGAAAAAAACCAGGCTATACAAGCAAAAACATATTTGCAAGTTTAACATAATTCTAAAACAGCATGACCAACTTCTCATCCATTCATAAACGTATTTAGTTTAGATTAAATCATTTTGTCAACTACCTAGAAATGCCAGTGAGTGGTGTTTGTCCAACCAGGGGTTTTGTAGTTTTTTCAGTAAAGGAGGAAACAGTCAGTCACACATTGAACATGCCCAATGTGCCTGTCAGACATTATGTGTGTTTCAAGCTCTTTTACTAGACACCACAGTTTAGAGAAGTGACATTTTGGGACTACTTTTCAATGCAACGGGTGGCAAAAAAAAACACAACAGCTGCCTGGATGTAACTTTCAAGAACAAGCAGGTTGATGTTTATACTGCCGTAACAAAGCTTGTTACCTTATAGCATCCATCTGGAACCATTATACTGCTATACCCAATTAGGTATAGAACAGGCCACCTAATATCTCTATTAGGCCCATTATCGGAAATTAGTTATTTTCCTCACATGCCACTTTTGCATGTCTCTGAACACTTTTCAATGTTATAGTCTGTGGTGTTAATCTATGTAGAATGTTTTAGAAGTGTTGACACTGAGTCAGTGTTTCCAATACACAGTTTGTTCCTCCATTTGAACTTGAAGTAATGTCTAGTGTGATGTAAAAACAAAAGGGCAATATTACAAGTATTCCCTGAAAATATATCAAATCAGATCAGATTTTCCTTTAGGAGGAAAGATTTCTTCATCTGTTGTGATTTTTGATTGAATTTTTTTTTGCAGTGTATAGTTTGCCTTATGTTCTTGTTATTTCCTTCAGTCTCTTGGTATTTCCTAAATGTACCAACCAACATGCGCCACAGCGTCATATCTTATTTCCGGGGATTGTAGAGCAGATCTAGTTATTGAAATGCAACCATTCACAACATCATCATCATCATTCTCATCATCAGTGGAGAATGACAGTACAGATGATGACGTCTCTCGGTCACGGTGGAGCAACTCACCGTAAATCATGGCCAGTCCAGTTTCATGCAGAAACCTGAAGCGCCTGTGCTTGAACAGCCAGATGGTGAGGATGGTGAGGGTGAGGAGCATGATGAAGATGAGCAGGTCCGCGGTGTCCTGTCTGTGGCTCTCCTCAGCCCTTTTCTCTGTGACGATGTTCTCCATGGCACTGTCCTCCTCCAGAGAAGATGCTGCTCGGCAAACACAGATGCTCACAGACACACTGACTAGCATGAGCAGCCACAGCGTCCTCGTTGCCCTCCAGGCGCTGCTGACAGTGAATTTAAACACCATGACGGCTTTTTTTGCAGTCAAATGCTGCAGTGTCGTCGTGGATAAAAGCAAACTTTGTCCTAATGTGCTTCACGAACTGGGGGGAGAAGAGAGCAGAAAGACGACAGCAACAGAGCAGTCGATTCCGGCCCGGAAGTGAAAACTACTACAGAAAGTGTTCAATGTTTGTTCCGATGTAAAAGCACCATGTCATGATGTCACTTGTTAAAATAAACCCTTGAACATAATTCTCAGCGTATGTGTAATTTATCCAACTTGTGAATGAACAACGACATCTATTTGGCCTTTTTTAAATTGGGTGTTTCCATATCTGGTGTTACTTGTTCTAACTGAGGACTCTTATTATGAAATCTACTGTTTTCATTATTTTTTACAGGAAGTAAAAAATAAATAGCTATTATTAACTAGTTCTCTTATTTGATCAACTTGGCACTAATATGTGCGACATTAAATGTGTTGTTTAATACAACATATGTTGTCAAAAATCGATAAAATGCACGTTTTTTTACCCAGGGCGTTATTTATTACCAGCCTACCACATAGTACAACCTATGAATACATCTAACATCATGAAAACAGATAACCGTAATATTAAAGTTTTTCTAAACACAATATATTTTAGTATGATATTTTCCCTAATATGTTGTTATTATACATCCATGTATTTTCCCCCCGAAACACATCTGTCTAACAAGTCTCGCGATACAGAAAACTAGACGAGACTAAATGTGACGTTCGGAATTATCGGAAATTACACACTAAACTAATGTGGTCCATTGTTTTTTCTGTCCAGTAGAAAATGTGATTAATTTAATTTGATTGAAGAAATGCAATGAAGTGTATACTGGATAGTTAGTTTGTAAGTCAAATACAATACCAACAAAAGACAATGCTGTTAAACAACGTAGTGCTCTAACATGTGTCACATTAGTACTCTACAACAAAATGATAACATCTATCATATTCTTTGTGGTTATTTAACAGAGTTATACTGGAAGGTATGAAGTGTCTCTGAGAAAGGGCAATACCGTTTACCTTTTTTTTGTTCCAGTACTGGAAAGTGTGCTGATAGATGTTAGAAATATTGGACATTTCCGAGGAGTACTTGAATGTAGCACTAGTCAACACAATCACCATCCCATATTTCTCTCAGCCATGTTTATGTCAGCTTCGTGTTGTTAAGCTGTGTTGTCTATTAATCAAACCCAACATATTTGGGCGTTCTTTTTTACGATTTAAGCTGATTTGCGCCCCTTTACTGTCCAAATTACAGAAACGAAGATGACATCTAAAGTGAAAGGTACGTTAAAAGCCTTTGTAATTGTTTAGCCTAACTGCTAAGCTAATGATAGCTAACGTTAGAAGAACTCTCTTTTGTAAACATATCGTCCCCGCTAATGCAATTTTGTTGAAATCAATTCATTAGAACAAGTAACAAGTGGAACGTTTTACGATAATGTTGCTGTAGACATGAACAACAGTGTTCACACGTTAGTTACGGTTTCATCAGGGTTGTCTGTAGCATCATACACCGGTTGCTTGTTAACGTTATGTAAAGTACAAGATGTGTAACGTTGATTCAGGCGTACCCAGAGGAGGAGATAGAAGTACTCAGATCTTGTACTTGAGTAAAAGTAGAAGTACCAGAGTGTAGGAATACTCTGTTTCAAGTAAAAGTCCTGCAATCAAAATGTTACTCAAGTAAAAGTACAAAAGTATCATCATTAAAATATACTTAAAGTACCAAAAGTAAAATTACTAATTTTGCAGATTGGCCCATGTCCGAATAATATATATATTATATTTTGATTATAATTATTGATGCAATAAAGTGTTTATCAAAGCTGGTAAAGGTGCAGCCGATTTGTATTACTTTGTATACTGCAGGGTAGCTTTGGAACTTTAAGTGTTATTTAGGTGTTGATTGTTTTTCAAATCATTAATTAAAATATGCAAAGTAACTAAATGTAATAATAATAAATAAATGTAGTGGAATAAAACTACAGTATTTACCTCTGAATTATAGTGGGGTAGGAAAACAAAGTAGGTAACATTGAAAAACTCAAGTAAAGGACAATTATTTAAAAATTGTGCTTGAGTAAAACTACTTAGTTGCTTTGTTTACACCACTGTGCATACTTGACTCAACTCGTCCTTGGTCACTCACTTGACTTAAACATTTGCTAAACACAGTCTTACATTCATACTATGATGTTTCAAACTAATTTAGTCTGCCTCTTATTTAACTAATAATAACTATTCATCTTGAGAGCCGTCTTGATAGTGTTGCCTGTAACGTATAATGATGACGAACCAGTGGTGGAATGTCAATATGTACATTTACTCAAGTATTGCACTTAAACATATAGGTACTTGTACTTTACTATTACATTACTTTAATTTCATGCTACTTCATACTACAATTTGTTGGAAAATGTTGTACCTGTTTACTCCACTACATTTATTTAACAGATGTGGTTACTAGTTACTTTGCAGACTTATGTTATTAGTAAAAATATAAATCAACAAACACATTATCATATAGTATTGAAGGTTAAGCCACCCAATAGTAATTCAAGTAATTCAAATAAACCACACTTTTACCAATTACAAGACTGAAGTGAGGAAAACATTAATGCATCAATAAGTATAATACAATAATTTAAAATATATGCTGCTTAAATAGGCCTTTCTGCATAATGATTCATTTTACTTTTGGTACTTAAAGTGTATTTGAATGTGAATACTTTTCTACTTGAGTACAATTTTGCATGCAGGACCTTTAATTGTAGCAGAGAGTATTTTCGCACTATAATATTGATACTTATACTTAAGTAGATAACGTGAATGCTAAGAAGATTTTCTACCATGGTGTTCATGCTGGTCTGTTTTGATTCTAGTGGGGAAGGCCGGCTCAAAGAATAAGGAGGACGCTCCTTATGAGTTGGAGAGTCAGTTTGTCCTGAGGCTTCCTTCGGTGAGACAAACAGAAACAGATTATTTCTATAAAATCCCATGTGACCATTTGCTGAGAATGATGTTGATTCAACATTTATCTTTTACAGGAGTACGCCTCGACAGTAAGAAGGATTGCCCAGTCAAGCAGCCAGAACATCAAAGACAGACTCACCATCGAGTTGCATCGTAAGCACATTTCTCAGTGGTCTTAGTCCTGGTTTTTGTGTCCGACCTGTGTGACATTACTGTTGAAACAACACTTTAATTTGTCTTACTAATCACTATCTTATAAAAGCTGTCTATTGATAAAGATTTAATTATATTGATTTAAAATTCAGTACAGAACATGTGAAATTATTCCTACAGTGAAAGATGTTTAGTCTTTATATTTGTTGTAGTTTATAGTAAGTTTTTAATGAGGGTACTGATATATGTCAATTCACAAACATTGGCATTTTTCCAAAATTGTTTTAACTGCAAATATGTGAAAATTGCCTTTTTTATCCAGTTTTGTTACACTACATTACTTACTACAATTATCCTCAAACTCAAGTGTCATGGTCTTCATGTCTGAGAAACATTTGTACTAACCATTTTTCACCTTAACAGTGACTGCAGCGTCCTAATGGCAATGCTTATCTCACACACAACATGCCATTATAATGAATGATGTGGTCCCTCTCCTTCGTAGCTGATGGTCGTCACGGCATAGTGCGAGTAGACCGCGTCCCTCTGGCCTGCAAACTGGTGGATCTGCCCTGTATGATTGAGTCTCTGAAAACCGTGGACAAGAAAACATTTTACAAGACTGCAGATGTCTGCCAGGTAAACCGCCGCAGTGGCATTACATTCAGGACGTCTTACCTACAGGATACATGTATAAGAACATTATGACACGTGAATAAAAAGCCTGGTAGATCAGCACCCTGGCATTAGAAATGAAAGATGTGATATTCATTTATTAAACAGTTTTATTAACATTTAATTAACATCATTAATCAACAGACTGCAGAGTAATTAACTATTTATTCCTTGCATCCATGGGTTAGATGCTGGTATGTACACTAGATGGAGACCTTTACCCTCCTTTAGAGGAGCCAACTGGAACTGACCCCAAGAGCAAGAAGAAGGACAAAGATAAGGACAAGAAATTTGTTTGGAACCACGGCAGTAAGTAGACAAATATCTAACAGAGCTGTCAGTGCTGACCTCTTGGCACATCAGCAATGCAGGAACCATACATTTACTTTCACAGGCGATGGAGCCGTTTGGCCTTAACTCATCCTGTTGTTTTTGTCTCCAGTTACTTGCCCCCTGAAGAACACACGCAAGAGAAGATTTAGGAAAACTGCAAAAAAGAAGGTTTTTGACATATTCATTTCCCTTCAGCTCTCATCCATCTCTATAGCGTCTGGTTATCCATCTCTTTCCTAGGCTCTCTTCCAACAACTCATTTACATTTCATAAAACAGAAACTGTGGTGATAGTGAAAACTAAGATTTACATATAAATAAAGCCCTTCCATCTTAGTTTGCCCCAAAGGCATGCAAAAAAGCAATTTCTCTATTGCCTTGATCAAAGTGAAAGCGAGTGTGCTTGAGCACTACACTTCTACTTTGGCTTCTGAATAAATCTTTGTGACGGTGCACAGCCGAGGCATATTGATTTGGCCCCTTCTGTTTTTAATCGCTAATGTGCTTCCTGGCATGTGGCCAGCTGCTACCTTTGTGTGTGTGTGTGTGTGTGTGTGTGTGTGTGTGTGTGTGTGTGTGTGGGGGGGAGACACAGCGATAGGGAGCGAGATAGATGCCGCTAACACTCCTTGTAACCCAATCTCTTTCTCTCTCTCTTGCAGTACATTGAATCTCCTGATGTGGAAAAGGAGGTGAAGAGATTGCTGAGCACAGACGCTGATGCTGTCAATGTTCGTATCCTTTTAGCTAGCCTCAAATATTCTACACGTCCACCTTGTGCAGTTTAGAAATCATACCAAAACATCACTGGTGTTTATCTCATATAACAGCAAGAAACGGCATGACATGTTGAATCAGATGGTTATCTTTATGAATACAAAATCCAACCCCCTTAGCTTAAGCCTTTAAGAAGCTTCAGATGGTTCATACTATTTGTCACTTTCACATAAACATCACCTCACTCCCATCTAAGTCCTAAAATAGGCTGATTTAAGACCCAAGTGGGTGTCCTGACTCCTGCCTGGTTCACCTGATTTCACTCGGTCTAATGTCTTTGTAAGAGGGAAGCACTTTGGAAGGAGGCTATTAGCGCTCTCATGAAACCTTAAACTTGCCGGACAGAATAAGAGCACAGCAGGGCAGCTTTGAGAGCTCGCTGTGTGTTAATTGAGATGGACCCACTGTTCATTATTTTTGCCAAGTTGCTTGCAGAGAAGCCGGATTCTAATGATAGCTTTAGCATTTAGCATTTAGCATTCAGCAGCAGACATACACATGACGCACTGATGAAAGTTAAAGTTGAGACATCTCCTGTAGAGTATCATCCGGTCTATACCCTTCAAGTCTACTTGAATGTTTTGAAGGACCGTGAGTCTTTTAAAAAGTAGGGCTGAAAGTGGAGGGGAGTCTGCAGAGACTCTGTTGACCTTGACACGCGATGTTCAGGGTGGGAAATCATCGCAGAAGATGAGTCCAAGGAAGGCGATCAGCACGGCTCGCTCGCCAATCTGGACTCCTCGCCCGGCACCTCGGGACACAAGATGGGTCATGGATCCTCTGGTAAGGGAAACGTGTTTTCCATAAGTAAGTCATTGGTAGGAAAAAAAAGGTTATCTCAGAGTGCATGCTAGTTATTCCACTCTGTCAAAGCTTTAAAAGGAGCTTGAAATGCTACCTGGATCACGTGGAGTGAAAAGCCTGAACACTGCTGTAAGTGTATTAGCAGATATTGATCCTCAAATCTCAAACAATGTGATGATACATTGTTTTAAATATATATTTTTACATAATCATTAACAGTTTACAAGCACTTAAAATATTTTTAGGAAAATGACAGAGACTAATTAGAAAAATGAACTTGTCAGTGCTTTATAGTGGACAAACAAAGTAATGGAGACACATTGTGAACTTCAATTCCTTTGTCCTTATTGGCTGACAAATACCCAGATATAATTAAATGTGCAATAAGACGATATGGTCCACTTTATTGGTAAAGCTCTACCAAGCAAAGGTACTTACATTCTACATTTTAATGGTCTGTTTTAGTTCTGTGCAACTTCTTAGAAATGGCACAGATTGCTCTTGTGAGTAACCCAACTGTTGTACAATGATTTATAAGATACTCTCCTCACCTCATCAGCATAGCTTTTCGTCTTCATTTTGAACATGCACACCGCTCTTGTTGGTCTCGATAGCATTTGCCCCAGCGGTTTTGAATGGAAATAGAGCGCACCAAAGCATTAGTTATTCTTCGGCCTTAAGATTATGTTTGCCTCACGATTCCCAGGCAGACCTTCTTAGCTCTTAGGTGCATGCTAAGCATAGTAAGTGCTTGCATCTTAACTTGAGTGAGTGTTGTGCATGAGTGGCATGACAAATCGTTCTTTCTTTAAAGATGTGGTAGCAAAGTCTTGTAACAACGACATTTCGAGAACAAAAACATTTTAAAACCAGTGATTTACAAACTGCTTCTGCACCAAACATCAGAGCAGAGTTTTCATTTGACGTCAGATCATCTGCTCACATTCTGGGCGTTTCCACATTCATCTGGTTTTTACTAAATCTCTTTTGACCTACATCAAACCCCAGCAAGTCTTCTTGCTGTCTCTAACTCTGTCCCCACGTTAATACCACTAATGTGTGTTCCACATGACTAGCCCAGCGCGACGAACTGAGGGAGATCTTCAACGACATCAGCAGCTCCAGTGAGGATGAGGAGGACGAAGGGGACCGGCACGAGGACGAGGACTTGAACATCATGGACACGGAGGATGATCTGGTCCGACAGCTCCAGGAGAAACTCAACGAGGCGGATTCTGCACAGCATGAAAGTGATAGGAACAACCAGATAGGTGAGAGGAGGGCAACTGTAATAGTTAGGTTTAATATGTGCAGGTATTATGTGTCAAGATTGGTAACGGCATGAAAAGGTTTGCCAAACATGGGAGATATAATTATTATAGTGTGTGAAGTCAAAACGATGAATCTAAAAAAATCCTTTAAGTTCTTCACCAAGAAAAAAAAAGTGCTTTTCAAATGTCTCTCTTTTGGGGGTTTTGGACTGTTGCGCTCTGGGAACATATGATCAGCTGTTTTCACTTGTTTCTGTCATTTTATTCTCTAAACAAACTGACTGTTGATTGATTGATTTTTGATAGATTACAAGTAAATGACAATAGTTGTTCGTTGCAGGCCCACTGCCATGGTGTATTACTTTTTGTCAGAAATACAGTTAATATCACATACAACATCCACCTATCAAAGGGGTAAAACGCAAAGGAAAAACTCTTGGATATATGTCATGACTTAGATGTATGTCCATATGTTTATATTCAACAAGATTGAGCACGTGAGCATCTGTAAGTTTTTCTAGAAAGAGCTTGTGTGTCCATACCTAGAACGAGAGCTAAATTGACGCAATAATTCATAAAGAACTTGCAGGTTGTATGAAACCTCAGTGGGATCTCTTGTTCTTCCAGCTTACCAAGTTACACTCTTCATTCATTCATATTTTAGAGGTACAGTCGCGGCTAAGAACTTTGATTTCAGAACTGACTCGTAGACTAGAAACAGTCGGACATGGAGTTAACTCAAACCCCCTCAGATCCTAGTCAAAGTAAAAAATAAACTTGATCAGAGCTGAGTTTTCTGGGTCAGACTTCTAAAACGCGCACTCATGAGAAGCCTTACTTTCACTTTAAAGCATGTGCTGTGCCCTCGCCCACAGAGATGCACACTCTCCTCCTACACTAACCAGTCTGACAGGTGTTGTTGCTCAGCGTGAGACTCGGACAGCTGTCCGTCCTGACAGCTCCATGCCTCCTTCTCTACATACATGAAGCTGTCAGTCAGCTCCTGATGTGCCGGAGTCTGGCTGTGTACGCTTCTGGAAGCCCAGCAAAGTTGTAATAAATAGGTTTTCAAGGACTCCCCCTCTGCTTGATTTTGCATATTAGATGGGCTGTATTAGGGGATGGAGTCAGTAGTGTGGGGAAGCAGGATAGACACAATTGGTTTGAAAGATAGTTGATGGTGATGGAGCTACAGGTTGTTGTTGTTGTGAGGCAATATCACTTTGGCTGGGTTGAATGAGAACCCTCTGTGGAGCCTGCAGCAGACTGATTTAGTTGTGTCTTTTAGTGCTTCGGCCTGCTGGCTCACGTCCTTTTAAATGGATTTGTTGTTCCCATTAACCGCAATTTGTCAAACGAATTGGAAGCATCCTTGTAGTTCAACAAGCAGAGGCGCATATATTACCCTCATGGCTTTGTGAGCGTAGTGCTGCTTTCAAATGATTTCACATCATCTCTCTCCAGCTCCTCTTATTTCTTTTCTCTGCAAAAGAATAAGCCTCAGCCTGAATGACATGTTGCCTGAGTGACAGCGTTAACGTGTGAACCTCCTGCCGCTTCCCTGCAGTTATGGAGTATCAGGTGCAGATCAACAGCGTCAAGGGGAAGCTGCAGGACACCCGCGCCCGAAAGAAACAGCAGGAGGAGCTCATCATGAAAGTGGAGAACCAGGCCCTCAAAGTAAGCCGTGAACACACACACACACACACACACACACACACACACACACACACACACACACACGAGAGTTCCCGTTAGAATATTTTTTTGCCGGTCAACATGTCCATGTTCCGGACAAAATGAGAAAAGTGCCGGTCAAAGGTCTTCTTTGTTATTTATTGAGCTTTAAAACAAATTGATATGATTCGATATTAAACAAACTAATTATAGTAGATTAACTACATTATTCAAAAGTGTACAGTAATTTACAAAAACGCGGGAATAATAAACGGAGCGCTCTCTGACAGCCCGTCAGTATCATGCAGCTCGCGGATCCAGTAATGAGTGACCCGACAGTAAAACTAAACATATCTATAACTAGTTTAGGAAGTTTGAGAGGTAATTAAAATAGCTACGTGTGATATTCTAACCTGAAGTGTGTTTTGTTCCGCTCACCGCTGCAGGTGATCATGCAGAGATGCGTGTCGACTCGTCAGCAGCAGCCGATCTCTCTCTCCCGTCAGATTAGACTTTGCTTGCGTTTATGTCCATATCGATCAGATCTAGCTAGTTCTAGCTAATGATATGACTACCTGCTTATTAAAAGACACCTAAACAATAAGCGTCGCTATGCAACCGGGTCAGGCCACAAAGTATAGCACAGCATTATGCATTTGTTTACATGCCCACCGGAACCCCGAGGCATTACCAACAGATCAACGCACAATCGACCCTTACAGGACATCTCTTTCTCCACATTAAGTGTTAGACATTAGAATTGACTATTCTTGTCTGTCACATACTCTTTTGTCTGTCACATACTCTTCTTGTCTGTCACATAAGTGGCGCAACTGAAGCGGTATTGCGCTAAGGGAAAATTATTTTGACCGGACATTTTGACCGGAGAGATTTAGATTTGCCGGTCTTCAGCATATTTTACCGGTCATAGTCCGGTAATTACCGGCTAACGGGAACTCTGACACACGCACACACACATCCTATCCAACTCATTCCGAAACTAGGTCTGCATGTACAGAAACCTAAACAAGAACATGCAGATGAGCTTGGAGGCAGAAGTCTTCATGTTGTGTAAGTCTCAACAGGGATTTGAAAAAACATAAAAAGAGAAACAGCTGATTAAACTAAGTATTGGAGGCAATTATCTCTTCTTTTCGTATTTTTAACGACATAAATATAACATTTCTCCCATCTGCCCTTTAACCATATAAGCTTTTCCATGAAAATATAATGGCATTAAAATTAACTGTTTTGCCAAGCACTTTTTAGTGGAGACTGTACAATAAGTGGAACATGAGCAGACATGGCCATTTTTTCATTGCCATTTAGAGCTCTTATTGCCCGGTGTTTTGGGAGCCTCGTCTCCAGCGGTTATCGCAGGGAAAAGGTCAGCCGTCTGCATTCCAAGTATCCTCTCTGTCAGGGAGGTTATGGTGACATGAGCAGACCAGGCAGACACAGATTTAAAGCCATCACAATTTAATGAGGCTCAGCATGTCGACTCTGAACAAATCATGTTTGTCTCTCTCCTCTCACAGAACCGCTTCCAAGCTTTGCTGGATGAGATTATTCTGCAGGAGGAGCGGGAGATGGAGCAGGTAAGACACCTTTTTTCGTAAAAGCCGAGTATCAGCACCTCGCTGTGAGCTCTCTACAGCTTTCAGCCCTTTGCATGAATTGATATCGTATGAATGTCAAATACCATGTTTGCAGATGGCATTGTGCTTGCTGTCCTTTTTTAGAGCCAGCAGTTTTTCACGCCTGATAGCAAAGTTCAAATTCAATCACGTGTAATATCATTTGTCAGCGGCTTCAAGCGGAGTTCTTTCTGGAGCTTTTGGCGTAGTGACCACCCACTGTCTGGGGTTGTTGTTTGTATTGACAAATGAAGGCAGCAAATTAATGTGAAAAGACATGTTAATCATCATCCACTTACCCTCCCATTACAACCCGGGGCTGGGGGGCATCAATCAACTCTTCTGTTTTCTGCTCCAACAGCTGGCCTCCCTGCAGGAGCAGCTGGACTCTCTGATAGAGAAGTGACCACCAGGGGGCAGCCTCCTGTCGTCTTCAGCCTCGCACACACACACACACACACACACACACACACACACACACACACACACACACACACACACACACACACACACACACACACACACACACACACACACACACACACACACACACACACACACACACACACACACACACACACACACACACACACACACACACACACACACACACACACACACACACACACACACACACACACACACACACACACACACACACTCATGAAGAGGAGAATAGTCTTCATCAGGGAGGAGGGAGTCTTTATTAGCTTACTTGCTGTGTCATTCCCTTGCAGTACGCATACAGCATACGTTTTCTGTATGAAGTCAATATTTGTATCAGGTTGACACAATGTGTTGTTTATGACTGTATGATGTGAGTATTTGATTGGTTTCAGCTGTAAAAATATTTGTTTTTCCATCTTAAACTTAACTCAACTTTTATGTATTTCACTTCCTGTATGAAGAATAAATGACAGTGATACAAAGTGAATTTGAAACTTTTTTTTATGCATTCCACCTCAAATTCACACATTTTGTCAGTTTGATGTTGGGCATAAAGATCCTTTTTCTGAAGGTGGATGAAACCTTTAAGTGATAAAGACAGTGATCGATGGTGTTTTAGTTACTTTGCCTAAAGGGATGTTCATGAGATCCATTGGTTGATTGATATGGCGCTTCTCCATTAGCCTCCACGCAGGCCTCCATCGCCTGCCTTGTTAGACCTGGAGGAATCCGGAAAGGGTTTGATTAATACATAATACCTTAACCAAATTATTAATATTCACAGGTCTAACAAGCTATTACGCAAACCCTGACCTTCTTATAGGTCTCTCTATAAGCTGCCCATGCTCACTAACTGTTGAGTACGACTTTCGCCCAGATAACATTTAATCGGTGAAATACGTGTAACGCTGTCAAGAGTTCAAGATGTGTCATTAAATATATTCTACATTTTTACAAGACGGAGAAAATGAGGAGTTTTGATACAGAAACACTCAAATATGCATGTTAGGAGATGAATGAACATCAGAATTAGATCCTGGGGAATGTATTTTTAATTTCACTGTGTCTTCAAACTAGGTTAACATCTAGCTGACTGGCACACAGTCACACAGTCGTTTGCATCTTTGTTACTGCTCAATCATTTAAGTATTATACATTAGTTACTGTTTCTCAGAAATCCACCCTTAAACTATAGTATCGAACCATATAGCCGACATGTGGTATTAAACATCGAGTTTATTTAACTGGCTTTCTTCAATTGCAAAATGAAAATTGATTTCAAGAAAGATACTACACATGCATAATAAGGTTACACAGGTTAACAGATGAGTGTGCTCCAGTCTCCATGACATCAACTCAATCTAGTAAACACAGGCAGCATGTTTGACCTTTTTAACCAATCAGGAGACAGGGCTGACTGGAGTCATAATTGGCCCTAATTAAGCTAAAGAGCTGCTTAACTTTAGCAAATGAAGTGCAATGAAATGATAATTACTCACAACAATTTCTGATAGTAGGAATGGCTCCAACCTAATGTCACATATTAAAGTGCTTCCTCTTCAGAGCTGCATTTAGAGGTAAACAGAACACTGATCTGCACTCTATGAATTGCTCATGTCACGTCAAAAAGGACAAAACATTTCAAGTCTCAAATGATTGAGGGCTTATTTGTGTTGTGTTATCATAAATTGACAAAAATAAGCCAAAACCTGCCATGATGATTTCAATATCAACTTATTGTAAGAAGGATAGACTAGTGGTACCTTTTCCTTTAAAGAGACCTGTTTACATGCATGCTTGTTCACCTAAAAAGGCACCAACATTTTAGACACCATGACACCAGACTAAACAGCAGGGTTTACCCCACCATTATAAGACTGTGATAAAAGACTTGCGAAGACATTGCATATTTTTGTTTACAGAGCCTGCAAGTTATTATATGTATTGTGTTAGTTGTGTGTTTTATTATTAATGTTTTTAATTAGGGTATTTTATATGTTTATCCCATTCTACTGACTGAATATTCGTGGATTGCTATTGAAAAGGGTTAACTCACATTATGTTGTTGTTATACTATTTTACTGGTGGCATGAAATGGGCTCTAAATTACAATGTTATAATTTACTACAATTTAATACGTATCTCACATTACACAGACTGAATATTCTAAATAATTATAATAATAATAATATTTAAAATGGTTTACTCACATTATTATTATGTTGTAATCTCACTTTATCAGTGGCATGAAATGGGCTTTAAATGACAATGATATCATTTACTGCAATCATTTCTGGGATAATCAATTGTCCAACAGTATTAGTTATGTTCGCAGGCCTAGTTTTAGTGCTACTTCCTGTACACTCTCCTGTGTGAGGTATGAGCTAGACAGCTGTGTCACTAAACCATGAGATTACTTTTCTTCCAGAATGATCTTAACTTGTTCGAGAGTGATCTGGGCTTTTCTCGTAGGCCATTCTCAGCCTCTCCTGCTCCTTCCTGAAGGGATTGCCCACCAATCGCAAGGGTAGCCAAGAGATTAGCTCCTCAGATTAAAGTGTCCGCCTCCAAACCCTGCCTAATCCCGCCATCTGTCAGAGAGCAGCTAACCGGCCAAGACTCTCTCCACAAGGCTAATTAGCAAGCCAGGAGAAGATAGATCGAGAGAGGAAGACAAATAAATCTCCAAAACACACTTTTCTCATCTGGTACTGCTCGAGGCAGTGACAATGGAGGACACATTCCTGCTGAACCATCCAGGAGTCAAAAAGAAGATTCTGGCAGGAGGCTCAGGACCGCTGCCACACCTTCCAATTGGGACAAAGGTAGCAAGCCACAGTTAATCCCACAACCTAAATGATACTGGAGTTAAACTCAGTGTGACAGGATATGAGCCTTGTGTAATTGCCATTGTGATGCAATTTATATTCCAACAGGAACAAGTTTATATTTGTATCCATGTGTTGCATTGCCCACTTCCATTAGGTTCAGTTGAATTATTCATTAGATGTGGGAATTTATTTTGTATCTGGCTCCAACACAGAACAAACATTTGGTCAACCAAATTGCAACATGTTTTCTGGCATATTGTCTGTGTTTCTGTTCATCCACTGATCCGCTGGTTGCCGACTTTTTTCGTTTTTCTAGTCAAATCCAGCCATATGGCACCAGGCCTGGACTCTGTGACAAAGATTTTCCATGACAATGCCAGCATGAATTTACCTGTGTGCCTGTGTGCCTGTGTGCCTGTGTGTGTGTGTGTGTGTGTGTGTGTGTGTGTGTGTGTGTGTGTGTGTGTTTGTGTGTGTGTGTGTGTGTGTGTGTGTTACCTCCCCGGTGAGGTGATTCCCGGTTGTTATCACAAATATCTTACCATTATACACAATCTGTCAAGCTATAAATAGAAGGTTACATGGAGCCAGCATGATGTTATAGTCAGCGAGATGGTTGAGGCTTTGCAAGTCTTCCACATGCACACAAACAGATGGAACACATAATGAAATGCAGCATGTATGTGTTACATAAGGAGTGATTTCATTTGATATGGCAGCATTCAATTAATTTCAAGTAAAAAACTAACATCAACCTCTAAAAAAAGACAATCATTGTCAAAGGCTAACCATTGTCACATGTCAATTGAAATGTCCATCTATTGTATTCTGTTTCGTATCAATGTCAGATTTCCAAAACAAGGTCAAAAAGGAGAAAATAAACAAACATGGATACTTACAATCCCAGAGAAGATGTTTCCATTGTAAAACTTGATTAAAAGTACAAAGTAAATATGTGGGATGTCTTTACATTATTTTTTTATTCTTTATGCAACATCAGGCTTAACTTAAACGTTTCTTTCCTAACTTTACAAACTTAAATATAACACATAAATACATTTAATGAATGCTATTTTTATTACGCGGCACCCAATACCTGATCCAGCTATTCAGAGTCATTTCATTTATTGATTTCCACTCTCTAACTCTTCCTGTCCCCTGATCCCTCCCTCCCCGCCACCCCCAGCTGGTTTTCCATTTCCAGACGCTGCTGGACGACTTTGAGCGAACAGTAATTGATGACAGTCGACTGGCAGGCCGGCCGGCTGAGATATTTGCCGGAAAGATGTTCAAGATAGAAGTCTGGGAAACCCTGCTGGGGTCCATGAGGATCGGCGAGGTGGCTGAGTTCTGGTGTGATGCTGTTGTAAGTTGAATTACAGACCTTACAACCCCCCACCCACTCACCCTCACACACACACACACAATAGATATAAGGCCTCTAAAATAGGTCCTAATGATTGTTCATGAGCGAGGGAGGGTAGCTTTTGCTCATCATTATGATTCACATGAAACAACCTTCTGAAGCCTCCTACATGCTCAGTATTATAAACACAATCTGCACAATCTTTGCACATTTTTGTGATTTTCATCTTTCATCTTAAATTTGCAATTGAAATTGTGGCCATTTCTTATGTTTTCCTTGCTGGTCTGATTGGTGCTGACTGGCGGCACCAGGGGGTTGGCATGATTAAGTGCTTCTATTTCTTGTTGCAGACTCGTTGTTCATATTGTTTTTTTGATGAGTTAATTTTGTAGCACACAGGCTTATACCCCATCGTGTCCAAGGGAATGAGGCTTGTTGCTCAAGGGAAAGACCCCCTGGAGGGCCAGAGACACATGTGTGGCATGGGAAACATGTTCAACTATCACTCAACGGGTTTCCCTGAGCTGGACGAGCTGATGAGAACTCCTCAGCCACTCATATTCATCATGGAGCTGTTGCAGGTAGGCACCGGTGGCAGAATACTGCACGACACACTGGATAGTGAAATAAGATGACAGTGTAGATTAATGAGCTGTCTCCTTCAGCTTTTCTCAGAATGTGGCACTTGTAAACCTAAGCAAACAGTAAGAAAAAACACTCACTTCATCTCTCTTCAACTCAGGCTCTCCCACAAACAATTTTTTTTTAATTCTCTGAGAAATGAAAGTCCCTCTCGGATGAGGAAAAAATATGTTATGCAACACATATTATATAAATTCACCAGGGGGTTCAGAAGCGGCAATTAAGTAAAATGATGACTATAGTTTCACAATACCTTTCCACGCACAAGTCAACAGGTCTTCAGAGGTGGAAGAAATCCTTTACATAAGTATTAGCAACAACAGAATTTGAAAATACTTTGTTACAAGTAAAAGTCCATTAACAAGTGTGCTTTAATGAAAAATACAATACAAGTTAAAGGCTTAGTTAGTAGCAACCTCCTTTACCAAGCGTTTTTAAGTGTCCATCAGAGATTTGCACAAATTCAATCTGAGCCGAAATAAAAATATTATGCAGGGCCTAAATCTTTGAATACATCAGGTTTTTATCAATTGTTTTGTATGTCAAATCACAGTAACAATAACTATAGCTGTCAAATAAAGTTAATGGAGTAAAACGTACGCATTTGTGTCTGAAATGCAGTGGGATATAGGTATAAAGTAAGCTATTCTTCGTACACATTCACTTGTGCTTCCATCAGAGGAGCCTTTATCCTGTTGTAATCTTTGTTCTGTTTCGCCCCTGCGGCCTCCAGGTGGGAGACCCCATGTCCTACGAAAGGGAGTCGTGGATGATGGAAAAAGATGAGAAGCTGCAGATGGTCCCAATTCTCCACATGCAGGGCAATGCTATGGTCAAACAGAGAAAATACAGAGAGGCTGCCAGCAAGTACAAAGAGGCCGTCCTGCTGCTAAAAACAGTCCAGTCCAGAGTGAGTGAAGGTTAAGGGAGGAAATATGACAGCGGGAGCAAAATGAGTGACGTGCAGATTTGTTAACATTGAAGTTTATCTCAGGATTTTAGGTTTTTGGGACATCCAACTCCTACTCTTCTCCAGTGGGAGCTTCCTGTTTTCCTGTTGTTGTTCTGTTTCACTGTGTGCCTGATTACAGTCAGTAGGGTGGGAGGGCTGGCAAAGGAAGGAGGAGGTAGAGCTGTGGAGCGCTGTCACAGATGAGAGGGGTGTGCAAGGATGGAGGAATACTGGAGGGAGAGTTATGTATGAGATGCTCTGATATGACTGTAAAGGATTCTTTTACATGTGAGATTTTTGGCAACTTTTGACATATTACCAAGTTAAATGTTGGAGGCTTACAGAAAGTTGGCCTGTGCACAAAGTTGGCCTGTGCACAAAGTTGGCCTGTGCCAGTGTCTCTAAAGTCATGTCATATTGTGTAAACATTCAAATGTACAGAATTCAAATAAATTATCGAAGTGTGTGTAGGAGCTGCCAATGAAAACAACAGCACTGAACATGTTGTTTTTATTTCCTTCTGTGCCTGTCTGTGTAGGAGATGCCGGGTGATATAGACTACATCAATTTGGGTCGAATGATCATCCCGCTGGAGTTAAACTACTGCCAGTGCATGTTGGAGCTGGAGGAGTATTATGATGTTATAGAGCACACCACCGAACTGCTGGAGAAACACAAAGGTAAACCGCTGAATTATAGTCATTTTATTATGCTGATTAATATTTATTCCACTAAAACACATTATCTATTTACTCTATCCAGGAAGAGATGACTGAAATATATTTATATTGTTGTATTAAAGGTCATTTTGGTTTCTAGTGTAACCTAGCTTCACATTAACAAAGCTGCATCCATTTTGGAAACATGCTTAGTTGGGAGATATAGCTTAGAATAAAGACTTGAGGAAGAGGGAAACCGCTAACATCCAAATGTAATAATTCAGGCAGGGTCATTGCTTGATTAAACAAAAAAGAGAATAATGGTAAGGTCTCTCCTCACAGTTCACATTGCAAAAAGAAATTGTAACATTAGGCTCAGCAGCTGTGGAGATATTAATGTCTGAAGAATAAAATAAGAAAACTGTATTACATGCTAATTTGAGAGCATAGGTTTAACATCAGTAGGCCTCTAGCTCTGGGTGGGTGATTTAACCATAGAAACATGGCTGGGAACAGAAAGGTCTTGTCTTGTTAATGTGACATATTACAGGGATACTAAGCTGGGGAACATTTGACTGTTTTCACACAGGAAGGCCTACGCTCACATTACCAGCACCATTAAAGCTGGGGGGGTTGTACAGGCGATGCGTGCTTCCTGTCTTATAATTTAGCACAACAATTCATCTCCACTCTGTACATTAGTAAATTGCCAGGGTTTGGGAAGCTCATTTTAGAATGAAGAAACATGCAAGTGGTGTAACCTGTTGTTTTTTAAATAAACAAGATAAACCTGTTCATTTGTAAACTTTCGATATGCTGGTCTCCTAGTTGAAATCAGTCCTTATGCTTGAATTAACCATTTTCTGTTTTTAAATACCACTTTCATAGCATATTCACTGAAAGCAAGCACTGTCCTGTAAAACACCAACTGTTCATATTTATTTGGGGTTTTTATAGGACAGAAGCACAACATGTTAATTTGTTAGCATTGGAAGGGCCTGTCAACAGAGTTTTTCACTCTTTCGACAGAGACAGATTATTCTTTCCCTCTGCTTGCCGTCCCTGTGCTAAAATAAGATGAACAACTCTTGTTGGGAGTTGTAAGAATGTTCTTTTCAAGCTTTAAGAAAAAAGCCAATAAGACTATTCTTCCATACTATTCCAAAATGTCAAACTGTTCTTTGTAATCATGTACATGAAAAGCTGCTCAGTGATGAGTAAAATGAGGGCCTGTACAGACTTCCACCCTTGGATATGACCACTCAGAGAAACAATCATTTCAAAATGTTGTATAAAACTGACAGGTCAGGGTCTCATGTGCTGTGCTGGTTTTATTGTACTGGCTGCTTTATGTTGCGGCTGTGTGTTCATAGAGAGTGTGTAGGAGGGCTCAGGTTGACATTATAGGGGTTTCACAGTTGGCGCAGCCCTGGGCATTGTACTGTCATACCCATGGCTACTCATATAATCCTGGAGGAGCTCACATTCTGGCACAGTCTCCACTTCAAAGCCCTGTGAATTATGGCCCTCACCCAGAGACAGGCTCCACTGAGGCAGCCTCTATTTTACTCTGTGTCCTTCATCCTGGTTTCCCAGTTTTATATTTGTCTCTATGTGTGTGTGTGCCTGTATGATGACTGTGCTCGAGCGTGTGTGACAGAACTAAGAAATGTGTAAACCTTGTGAGCGAGCACAAGATTGAAGCAGTTAGGTGGAGATGATGGGCAGGAACCTCTGAGCTCCTCTGGTCCTGTGCGATGCGAGTCGCCATCACAAAGCAGTTTCATTTGGCTTCTGACAAATCCCAAACCAGCATCACTCAACCTTGCTCTTGACTTCTTTTATCCTTTTTCAGTGTTTGATTTCTAATCCTTTTCACACATTGGTCTTTTTTTCTTTTTTTCCACTTTACTTGCATTCTTCTCCTTGGTGTTTTTTCTCCTGACACAAAAAATCATATTGTCCGTAGCCTATCTCTTCAAGTCAGCCGCTCTACTGCTGTTTCATCCCTTTAGCCCAGTTGTTCTTTAGAAAAGCACCAAATGGTGGCTCTCTGCAGTGTCTCAGCTTTTGCCAGAGGCGACAAAGAAATCTGTTTAAATATTGGCTGAAGATTTAGCGCAGAGGAAGAGAATATCTGAGCCATCAGAGGGAAGCTAACCAAGCACATGAGCCTATTCTGCTAAAACAAAGGAAAGACATTGTGTGTTTATGTCAATGTGTAATACAAATAGTAGGCCTATGACGTTTTGGAAAATATGCTCATTCTTTTGGTGGAGAAGATAGATATCCCTCTCATTTAGGTCGTTTAAATATGAAGCTGCCGTGAGTTAGCTTAAGCCTAGCGCAAAAACAAGGATACAGCTAACCTGGCTCTTTAATACATTATATTTCATTTAGCTGACACTTTTATTCAAAGCTACTTACAATAAGTGCATTCAACCATGAACAAACAAACTCCAAAGCAAGAATCCTGCAGGTGCATTTCTTATCTATAAACCCAACCAGATTAAGTGCTACTGCAATAGATCCACTTAAAAGCCAAATCCTTTTTAAGTGCTACACGTGTACAGCGATTTTTGTTGTTGTTGTCCCGTCTAAATATGACTATTTCTGCCTACCAGCACCCCTACAGCTCACTAAATAACACCGGTAAAACATTTTTGTTTAATTGACATTGAAATGTTGTTTTGCACACTTTAAAAAAACAACAAGTTTCATATATTTTTGCGACAAAAAGGTAGCTAAATGCCGGCTGTAGCTTCATATTTATCAGGCACACATTAAAGGGATATTCATTCTCATATGAAGCTAAAAATATTATTTTGTCTCTTGTAGCACATAAGGCTTTAGTGATGTCCACCTTTTTGATATATTTCTTTGTTTAGCAAACTTGGGGCTCCTGAGACATACACACACCGTACACACACTGCATGGCCCAACATACACACTGCCAAATGCAAACAAAATGCCACCTCAGCTTCAGCAGACAGAGCAGGTTTATTATTCAATATCTCAAGGTTAGAACATGAATAACTCACTTTGTGTTCATGCTTGTCTTTGATTTCTCTGTATTAAATGTTGTTATTCTGTTTCTCAGACTGTGTGAAGGGTTACTACAAGAGAGCCAAGGCCCACGCCGCCGTGTGGAATGAGAAGGAAGCCCGGAGAGACTTCAACATGGTGTCCAACCTGGACGCCACTCTGATCTCTCTAATCCACCGAGAGCTGAAGAACCTGTCAGAGAGCATGAAGGAGAAGTACTGGGAGGAAAGGGAGCAATACTGGAACATGCTGGAGATAAAGGAAGACAAAAGTGAAGAGGTAGGGGAAGAGGAGGAGGACGAGGTGGAGGGAAAAGCAAAGCAAGAGGACACTAAAGAGGAAGTTGGGAAAGAAAAAGGTAAAAAGCTATCTCCATCTATTCACTGTGTTGAAGCCAATGAAGAGGCGCGCGGGGGAAAGGAGGTTACACCAGCAGAGGGAATGGTTAATGAAGAGGAGACCAGCTCTTCTGAAATCAATCCAAACGATGCCAATAACAAAGAGGGGAAGGACTGGCAGCAGATGTTACGGCTGATCATGATGCTGCAGAAAGAAGGGAACTTCCTCATGAAAGAAAACCAGTTAAAAGAAGCTTCCCTAAAGTTCAAGGAGGCCATCGAATATGTGGACATCCTCCAGAATACGGTTAGTGTAATTGAATACAGAGTGAAGTTGTGTAAAACCATGCAAACAAGTAATACTTTTTTATTTTCAGGAAAGTGAAATGCCAAATATAACCTTTTAAGCGACGACAATGCACATGCAGATGGACGTCGGGATTGATGGCGAACATATTAAACAGCCTCCAGTCCTTTCAGAGCAATGAATGTGCCAAAAAGTAGTCTGACGAAAGGAGCTCGTAAACCATAATCATCTGTCATTGTTTCTTTTCCTTTTTTTACTGAAGAGCAGCTGTGGCATTGTAGGTAGGGATGTGAAGAGCAGAGAAAAGAGAGCTAAATATAACAGCACAGAGATATCACTGTGACAGCGGCGCGCGCCTGTGCTTCTTTCCCTTCCTCGTTTCTGCCACACCTCGCTGTCTAACTCCGTCACGCCTTTTACACACAACAAACTCCCTGTTATCATCAACCCACCCTCCTCCATCTTCATTTCTTCTCCTATTCTTACAAGCCTCTACACTTTACCTCATGTCTGTTTCCTTTTCTTCATCCTTCCTTTATCTTTGTTACCTGTTGTCACACTTTTCAATTTGATCTTTTCAACATTTCCCCTGCCATCTATCAGCAGCTCCGCCACCTCCTTCACACTCCTTGTCCTCTCTGTGTGTTCAGCAGGTGGTGGATCAACAGGGCGAGGACTGGGAGTCGCTGGAAAAAGTGTGTCTTCCGCTGAGTCTTAACCTCAGCCAGTGCCTGCTGGAGCTAAAAGAAAACCAGCAAGTGGTGGAGCTCAACAACAAGCTGCTGAAGAAGCACAGAGGTACGACATGTTAGTGTGAAGATAAATGTTGAGGTAGGGGAGGAAAGAATAGATGTGGATAAAGAAATAGGTACAGAAGTATATAAACATGCTTAGTTTTTAGTTGTGTTTCCTTACACACCTTTACTTTTGAGTTTTTAATATCAATATCGGTTGCTAGAACAAATGCCTGGCCTTCAGCAAAACCAGCCTTCACACTGCAACAGTCCTTGATCTTTCTCTTTACCAGGGGAAGTAGAAACCAAACATTCACAACAGCATTTCTGAGTCTCTCTTTCCCTCCCCCGGCACCCACCCATGGACATCACAGTCAAAAATGAATTCATTGTTTTCTTTTTGTTTCTGCTATGACTAAATTATTTATAGTCGAGGCTGATGCGAAATGATTGTTCTTACGCTTTCCCTTCTATTACTTTTCTCCAACTGTTGCCTTCTACTTTGTCTCCTGTCTCACCACTGGTGTTCAGTGCAGTTACTTCATCCTCCCTTTGGCAGTATTTATTTAACCTTGTAACTTTTAATTGAACTGCTCTAAAGTTTTATTCTAGCTGACCAGCTGCCTTTTCACCTGTTTCCCCATGTCAGTATTTTATTTATACTCCCACATTGTCTTTTCCCTTAGGTAACTTTAAGGCTGTTTATCAGCGGGCGAGAGCCCATTGCGCTTTGTGCAACGACGTGAAGGCTCGGAGGGACTTGGATATGGTGGAGAAATTGGACCCATCGTTCAAACCCTACGTCCGCAAAGAACTGCAGAAGCTGGGTGAGAGTGTGCGCCTAATGCAGTGCCGCCAGAATAAGACTTACTGGGATACAACCCAGGAGAAATGGGGGCCTGAAGGGAGCAAGACAAATAGTGCAGCAAGAAAGAAGAATGTCAGATTTGCACAGAAAACCACTGATGAAAAAAACAATGCAGAGAAGAAGACAGAAGTCAGTAAGATAGAAGACGAGGAAAGCTCAGAGAAGCCCGCCCCTGCTGAGACAGAGGGAGTGGATGACGCAGGAACAGGGAAAGATCCAGATGTGAAAGAAGCAGAGCTGAGCAATAAAGGGCTAGAGAGTGGGAGAGCAAGTGAAGATAATGAAAATACAGAGAGTGTCGCTGTTTCTGGGGAGGGCCAGGGTGCACCAGATAATCGAGCGACAGATAAAGATAGTGATCCCGAGCCCACCGGCACAGGAGAAGATAATGTAGTGAGCAACAGATCAGTGCAGGATAACGTCACAGAGAAGGTCAAATGTCCATCAAGTGGTGAACTGGGCCAAAAAGAAGCAGCCCAAGGGAACAAAGACCCCTGTGATAAGACAGGAAATGATGACACTCAATCAGAATAGATCAAAGGGGAAGCTGAGGGAGAGAAGAACATATCATAGACTAACAGCAATATGGATGTAGGAAGTGAAACAGCAGGGAAGTTAAGTGATGAACAGTCAAGTCTCAACAGGAAATATTGACTCTGCCACATTGAAACCAAATATAAACAGAATATCAACAACCTGCATTTGGCCCCATTCTGAGTTAAGTGTCATTATTCAGTTCTCAAAGGGATAACTACAGCCGCATAAAAAAGCACAGGAAGATGAGGAGTTTGCCAAATACAAATATTTTATTTCTGTACACAAAGAGTAGAAAGCAGCCAGTAACCCACTCGTTATTACAGTAAAAAGCCTTTCTTCAGAAAACGTTTTTATACAGATTAAAAACTCCAGAGAAAGGACAGCAAGAAGTGTTTGAGTGCTGGACAACAACATGAAATAAAAACCATTAAACAATTAACATTTTAATAATTAATGAGGTATATTAACGGTGATTAAAAAAAACAAAACCCTCAGATCATCAGTATGATATGAGTGTGTGTGAAATGATGTTAGTGTTGTCAACAGATGAGTTGATTCATTGCCCTGTGATGTGAGAGGTGACACACAAGCTTAGATGCATCATAATAGCAAAAATGGAGCTTGTTAAGCAAAGGCAGGAGAGTATGATCATTCGCATGTTGGCCGGCTACATGCAGTCTTGACAGAGAAAGCAGTGTCCTCTGGGGTGATATGGAGAGCCTTTTTCTTCAATCACACTGCTTCAGTCACGCCACAGGGAGCAGGGCATGTTCTGTGTGTTTGGGGAATATAGGGAGCATAGAAAGATGTACATGGACCAGACCCCTGGGTGACACATGGGGACAAACGGTGTGTGTGTCATGTAACCACCTTCTGTATTTATTTCTATCCTACTCCTCTATACTGTCTTAAAATAAACACAATGCTGACAGGCAGCCCTATTTTTTCTCCCACTGTTACATCAGTTTGTGTGCCCACAAACAGATGCATGGGGTTTCATCAACATGTAATGAGATATGTGAATACAAATAAATGCATGTCTATGAATAAACATTGCTTTTCATGATTTTTTTTTCTTTTATCCTCGACCCAAGCTGCTCTTTGTTTTGACCTGTGAGACCTTAACTAAAACAAAATCTTAAGTGTTGCCTGAGATGGATTCAACAGATGATAATGGCTCTTCAGCAGTTGAACAGCAACATGCTTAATTGGAGGTGGGAGTGAAGAAGAGGTTCTCTTAAGGCTATTAGCATTTTTTATTATGAACGGGAAAACATCACCTTTCAAATTCACAAACCTGTGGAACTGCATCCTTGGGGACAGTTCCCTAGCAACAGTATCAAAACTAACAGGCAGCGAGTGCTGAGGATGGTGGTGTCAAAGTGTGAGTGCTGTGTGCCTGGAGGGGGAGCCGTAATGAATGCAGCGCATGGGTTTCAAACTCATGTGTGAGGTCAGAAAGTCGCTTTAAGGTCTAAGATGAATTCCTAACTGGGTGTATATGTATCTCAAGCCAGTATGATTTACTGTGAAACACAGAGCCACAGTTTAATTGTTTCAGGCGTTCTCTCATCCTGCTCCTGGAGATTTTCGCTGTGCCAGGCACATCAAAATGGATCTCTCACACCAGCCCTCGAGCAATAAATGGATTGGGCTTTTTTTCCACCTTTCCTCTCTTGTTTCTCAGATCTTTATTCCCTCCAGGCACCCCCAGCATGTTGATGTTCACCCATAAAAGTCCTATTATAACTGGTTTCAATGTATGGACGCTCATGCCCTGTGAGCCCAATTCAACCACCTGCTGTCCCTGAATGTAAAAACAAAATGAAAAAGTCCTTACTCGTATTTAATATGGATCCAGTTTGGTTTTAAGGCATTCAATGACTGTGCTATGTTTAGAACAGAACGCACCCTATGACCCTGATACAATGAGGGCAACACCATTTCAACCAGTCGTCTCTTTGTGGATCTAAAAAGTAATTAAGTACGCATTAGCGAGGGAAAATGAGGCATGTAGAATCAATAGCTAGTGTTCTATAGAGATATAGATGGAGAGTAGGGATTATCCAGGATGATGTCAGTGTAGAGCCGCGTTATGGTGATGTGCCCTGTTCCCCCCTGTAGTGTCTGGAATTGGCCTGGTAGACAGAGAGAGAAAGAGAGGCTTTCTGCCTGGATCTACCTCCTTCTCTTTCTCTGCACACTGCAGGAGGACGCCTCTGATATTAGTCAGCAGACATTTCCTGCACAAAATCCAGTTTCTGCCACAATTCAAATTGTCTCAAAACTGAAAGCTGGTCTACATCCTGTGAGCCAGAGAGATGAAATGGATCTCCATTTCAAACGGAGGTGTCTGTATCTTTTAGAGAGGCAGCATGGCACATATTATTGATCAAACAGGGAAGCGTTTGTGCACAATGAGGGAAGGGTGCATTTTAAATAGGGAATGTTTATGTAGCAGCACATGTGTGTGTGTTTGTGCATCTATGGTGAGTGCAAGTGGTTCTGTATGAGCGTAAAGGGCTCACTTAGGAGAGGCGAGCAATGAGAGCGACAAGCAGTTTGAGAAGATTAGAGGAACACAGTGTGTGCATACAGAGGCGCTGTGCTAGCGGGCACTTTGGCTGTCTTAAATAAATCATGGATTTAACTGATGATGTGTCTTTCTCACAAAGTAAATAAGCTCGTTGTGGGTGCTGTCAACTCCCTGACAATCTGCACCACGCATGAGATACAGTCAGCCCAGCCCTGATCCTGCTTACTCTAGCAATCTCTAACAGCCTCAGTTCAAAAACAAAGAACAACAACCGTGATATCACATTCAAGGAGAAAACAAAAAAACCGAAGACACAGACATTTTTGACAAAACAAGGGGATATACTTCTTATTCCTTTTTGCATTTTTTTTTTAAAAGATCTCCTCATGGGAGGTCCAATTTGTGCTGTGGACATATAAAGCTTCACACCTCTGAACGACTACACAGATACTGGTTAGCACAGTGTCTTGGCTGGGCATGTCCTTTT